ACACACACACACACACACACACACATACTTACACACACACACACACACACACACATACTTACACACACACACACACACATACTTACACACATACTTACACACATACACACACACGCATGGCCTGCATGCTCGACTCCTTCACGCTCGCTTGCTTATTATGACCACCATTACGGTACTTTACCAGGGGGCTGGTCAGTCAGGCTTCCGGGCGCGCTTGAGCCAACCCAGGCATGTGGCGCGGCCGCCCGCCAGGTGCTGGCCTTGTTAGTCACTGTTCTTAGTACTTACTGTAATACGCGCGTGTGTGTGTGTAAGTATGGTGTGTACAAAATGCCACTACTATCACAATGGATTTGGGCTATTGCACCGGCATCGACGATCGCGTGCCGTGCTCGAGTGGACAGAGGATGCATAGCGAATTCTAAATTGCGGGGCAGCAGGCGTAGTTTTGTGTATAGGGAATGAGCAGTGCGGGACCCACGCTCAGATTCTGTTCGCAAACCTGTTCGGCGGTAGCCATGACCGCCCCCCCCCCCCCCCGTTGTGGAACAGGAGAGGACTTCATTTGCCCAAGTTTGCCCCAACACGACCGTTTCACGACTGCATGCCTTGTCATTGTGGCCGAGCATGGGCTCGTGTCCGAGTAATGGGAGTGGGTGGGCACCCATTCGGGACCGAAAAGGTCTTGGAACGACGCGATGAGAGTGGTGAAGGGCGTTGGAATCCTACGGACACAGCCGGCCTCTAACAGCGTCCAACGTCTTAATTAGCCTAATCCGTTCTGACAAGGTATCACTCATGACGCCCCTGGCCTTTGTAGTCGGCGACTCATTCGTTAGTAGCAAGCCCATGCCTGGCGACGAGGGATGCTTCCATTCCGGGGGCTGTTGGCAATGCTGAATTGCCTCATGGGGAGAGAGGATGCAGGGTATGACGGCACGGCCAGTCAATTAGTCAGTCAGTCAGCCAGTCCGACCGTCCGTCCGACGGGCAGTCGGCCAGTGCAGCAGCGGTCATGCTGGGAGCGTAGTGGTAGGTAGGTAGTAAGAGGGTACTTAGTAGCACTCGGTATGGGCGAGTGTTGGCAATGGTGGTTGTGCTCGTTGTCGAGTGCAGGCATATAGCTCGCCCCTTCACATTCTCCTATAACTGTGTCAGAGACAGTTGCAACACGGCTCGGTGACTTGATTGCGAGGCCATGCGAAGGTTTGCAAGTCGAAGAATTAAAGTTTTCGGCGTGGCCACACCCCTGCAACCGCACCAGTCTCAAACCTTGAGGCCGACTTTAGGTGCTGAGCTGACGAGTGACGGGGACACCATTATTCATTTACCTGGGCGCGGTGGGTGTAGTTGCAGTCGCAGGCGCTGGCTGATTGGCGGCAGGTCACGAGCAGTTCCTATTGCTACCGCTGTCCCAAGACATGGCACAAGGGTGGTTCCTTCTTTGAACGGCGCAGCAAGCAGTGTCGCGCCCATGGTGACCGACCGACCCCATCCCATCCCATCCCATGCGCGCCCCCCCTGCCCGCTCGGCTAAACTCTGGAGTTGATCTGCCCTGCCCCTGCCCTACCAGGCTACTCACTTAGCAGACAAGACTTACCAGGTTCCCAGGCTACCAGGCTCGCACCTGCCCGGCCCTTGCCCTTGCTTGCCCTTGCCTGCCCTTGCCCTCTTGTCCTTTGCGCTTGCCCCCTCTTAGCCCTTGCGCTTGCGCTTGCCCTGCCCTGCACCTGCCAGGCCCCTGCTCTCACCCCCCCTGCCCCCCTTGCCCTCCTCGGCGCCGTTGGCGACTTCCCTGCCGCCCAGGGCCCCGGCGCGCGCTTTCACATTGTTCGGCGGGACGATGCTGCACTCTGGTGTGTTACACCCATTCCTTCGCTTCACAGCTTGACAGCGCCCAAAACGGCACGCTCCCGGAGCCAACTGTTTGAGGCTTCGTCTAGGCTCATACCTTGCGTAGCTGCATGAGCGTCTTGCTCAGGATCTGCTTGTTTCTCCACGTGGATTCGTCTCATCGACGTGCCTGCCTGTTAATACCCTCTACTATATATACCACTGACCGCGCTACGTCCATGCCTTGTGTTACACTACTACCCATTGCCTTCTTCTTGCTTGACCCTATTTTAAACACGACGCTCCTTATCTTGTCTTGCACAAAACTCCAGTCTACTACATTCCTCCCACTCAACTCGCTCCTTCCTCTCATTTAAGACTACACTACTACTACTCAACACTCACACTCACACTCACACATACACACTACACTACACTACCTACCACCATCTCGGTCACCATTGCTACCAACAACCCCACCGCAGACATGGGTGGCAACACTGAACATATAGTCGGCCACGGCTATCTCTCCCTCGGCCAGGCCGTCAACGTTGCTCAAAACAGTGAAGGCGGTGTCGACCAGCGCCTCGCTCAGTTTCTCGAAAAACGCCTTGCCGAAGTCTGGGCAAAACTAAACGCTCATCCCGGATCCTACGTTCTTCCTCCAGACGAGTTTGCTCTCTTGAACTACTACCGCACACGCTTTGGAGACAACGAGATCGTACGAAACGCCACTAAGCGCTTTTGGGACAACCACAAGGGCAGCCAATAGCCCCGTCGCCTTTCTTCTTCCCACCCCACCCAACCACAACCAGTCAGGAGCACGGCAACCATTTCTCGCACTTTGCCAGCCAGTATTTCAATATCGCTGCAACCATGACCGTCTCAAGTTGTCATTTATTGCTCTTTCCACGAGACGCCGCCTGACCCTCTATTGATTGTCAAGGTACACAACACCTTCCTACTGCCAAGTACAAGCGCTCACACTCGTCAGAAAGCAGTCACAAATCGACCTGACCTGCTTCGTCTGGGTTTTGACGGCGCACCTATATACCGGGATTTTTTTTCTTATTTTCTTCCCAAGATACCTCTGAATACGGAGTTTACGGCGTTTTGAGCATCATACCACTGCCGACCAGTCCTCGAAACGACACGGGGCATCATGCATGGTCGGAGTTACGAGAGCGATGGAGTCTTTGGATGGCGTTATGGTGGATTTATAGAACTGGCCGCGGCGTCACTTGGACGAGCAACACCTAGCTCCGTCCTCATAACAATGTTTCTAATGCTAATCACCCTGTCCCAATCCGCCGATGTTCACAAGGGCCCGAAGAGGCCCCCTCCCCTACTCCAGTGCCTACAGCCCGTGCCGCCAGTCCTCAGTCCAGTGGACGGATGTCAACAGATTATCATGAAGCACACTTTTGCCTCCTCTTACGGTCAGCCATTTGTCAGTGAATACAATCCTCCCGACTGCAGCTTCAACAGGGTTACTTTCAACTTCACCGTCACTTCCGCCGGCACACAGTTTGACAGGCTCGGCCTTATGTTCCTTGATGACACCGAGGTTTTTCGGACTTCGACTGCAGAGCCAACGCAGACTGGCATCATTTGGAGCTACGCCAAAGACATGAGTGGTTATTTGAGCCTGTTCAAGAAGCCGCATAAAATCATTTTCGATCTAGGAAACGTCGTTGATTATAGGTACACTGGCTCCTGGAATACAACACTGACGGCAACCTTCTTTACTGCGGACGACGAGATTGAGCCAGCAGATGTCATCATTCCAATTTCTGCTCGGAAGTCTGTCGATGACTCCCCAAGCGCATTCATTGTACCAGGAACTAGAGCAGTCGACAATATCATGTTGCCGCCAAATGCCAAGAAAGCCGTGGTGACCATTTCCGCTTGTGGACAAGCTGCCGAGGAATTCTGGTGGAACAACGTACTTTCTTCCGACACCAGTGTTTTTGGGGTAGACAAACCGCTACATGGTTACTCGCCCTTCCGAGAGATTCAACTCCTCATTGATGGACAGTTAGCTGGGGTTGCTTGGCCTTTTCCAGTCATCTTTACTGGAGCCTTTCTCCCAGTGTTATGGCGACCAGTAGTAGGAATCGATGCATTCGACCTCCAAGAAGACGAAATCGACATCACACCTTTCATACCATTACTCAACGATGGCAAAAATCATATATTCGAAATTCAAGTTCTAGGCATTGCCGATGATGGAAATGGTACGGGCACGTTCACGACAGCTATTGAATCACATTGGGTCGTCACTGGCAAAGTCTTTGTTTGGCTTGACGCAAACACCACGCCTCTAACGGGAACGGCACCCGTGTCAGGCTCAGCCGCTTCTATTCGGCTGTATTCTGATACGAAGGAAGGCACATATAGCGCTGGTGTTTACTCTTTAACTTGCTCGGTCCAAGTAGCACGCAGCATATACATCGAGTCGACATTGGATGCTGCTGATGGACGAAGGACGGCCGTATGGAGCCAGAATTTGACTTTTTCCCATATGGGAATGTTGAGCAACATGGGAAACGATCAAATTACGCGCCAGTCTACTGTTGGTAAACAAGCTACACTAGCGGGTTACTCGAAGAGTTTCGAATATCCTCTTTGGGCCCGTTGGTCATCCGAGATCGCGCTGGATGGCAATATCAGCATTGATGCAAGCATGCGGCAAGGAAAACAGGCGCAGCAGTTGGGTGACCTAGCATTTCCTAATAGTTGGAAGACGTTTGACTACACTCGCTTGCCAACAGCGTTTTCTCCCAGACATACTTTTCTTGGCTCCAGCATGAACAACTCGCAGAATGCTACAGCACGTGTCCTGGCCCACCCTTTTCTAGGGAAATCGTATCGCTCAAGTAGCACAGAGCAGCATATGACGCTTAGCGGCGTTGGCACTGCACATGAGGGAACTGTGGTCCAGGATAGCACACGTGTCCCCGACCGAGCTGGGCAAGTCTGGTCAGCAAGACCCCCTTATCAGGAACTATACGAAAGGAGTATTGTAGCGGCCAACAAATCGGTTGTGTATGACGGTGAAAGTTACGGCGGTCAAGTCCGCGGTCAAAGCACCTTTTCCGCTGCCGGTGGGCAGGAGGTCAATGGCGCCGGTCACGGTGGGGCGCACGAATTTGCGGCAAAGCCAATCGAGGCAAGACTAGGGCGGGGACCCGCTTTGGCGGGAACTTTGACGAAGGTGGGGAGTAGGAGAAGAGCAGTGTGGGACTAGGCAGGTCTACCGATGCCGTGTAAGCAGCACATTTAGATGGGCAGACAATACGACATAGCATGCAAGCAGGGGCATTTGGGGCAGTTTTCTGCTGGTGCCATGGAAATTTCCATGTTTGGTAACAAACCGGTAACTGTCATGTCGCTTTGGGATAGGGGGGCAATGCGCTTGGAAGCGACGTCTTTCATTTTCTTCATTTATAGTAGTTCGCTTAGCTTGGTAGTTCCACCGCATGTATAGTGCATGCACACATCTCCGTTGTCACACTACGCCATTGATCAGCAATCAAAAACGCACGCCATGCACGCTGTTGGTGGTGCTCTGGATCATGCTCTTGCGATTGAAGCATGTCGATCTTATCGGTTCGAAGGGGCTCTTACGAATGCACCATTCAAAAGCGGTGTCTTTGGCGTGACATGCGGCTGCAGCGACTGCATCCGCAGAGGGGAAAAAATCAAACAACAATAAGGCCAAAAAAAAGAGGCACGGATAGATTAGTTATCTCCCTTCCGCCACACTTTGTGTCTGGCTCCTGGGCATTCGTGCGTTCCTAAGCCAAAAACGCGTCACGCTGCGCCACTAAATCTCCGTGTTCTTTGACCACCATGTCGGTTGCGGGTTACAAAGTTCCACAGTATGTCAATTTGCAAATCTTATATACAGAATAGGCCCTTGCCAAGCACAGTAGTTTTCCAGGCGAAAGCCTTAGCAACCGTGTAAACTTTCGCTTACACCAGGGCATCTGCCGCCTGAGCGTCCATGTTCATGCAGCTGCCGCTCCACCCCCCCAATATCATTTTTTTTGGATGCACGGAAAATCGTGGCTGCATGTACCCGACGGCGACTTGTGATGGGGCTACACATACATATGTATGTACTGTACATCATGGCCAGGCACCGGGGAGGAGGGGAGTGCATGCCACGGTCGACGTGATTTGACAGTATTTGACCGTGTCGGGCGTAACCAGAACCTAACGCATGCGGCACCGCGAAACGGCATTCCTTGTGTTGTGTTCTTCTTTTCTCAACTAGGCGTGTAGTGCTGTGGCTAGTGGCGTTGCGAAGCGCCCCCCCCGTCTGGGTACGCATGCCGTCTTTTGCGCAACTGGAGCGATAATGACCGCCCTTGCCATAGCCGGGCTCTTTGTGTGAGTAAGTAAGGCACTCACCTGAAACCCGGTCGCAGGCACAAGCGAAGGCGAAGATGTGGGGAATGGGTGCCGGCAAAGCAGACGCCTTAGGTCGCATATTGTGCCTTACTTGGTACTATAATATTACACGCCTCAGATACGTGCAAAGCGAGCAACGAAGGCTTCGCTGCGGGCAATTGCTGGCGCTTTGCTCCTTTGGGTGGTCGGAGGCAAACATGTCGGTAGTTGCGCATTGGCGCGCTTAAATGGCCAATTTCCAACTCGTCCGGATCCAAGCGTCGTCGTTTGCTTTGACGCGCGCTCCCGTGGGGTGCGTGTAAGCGGGAGATTTGCAGTGGATCCGTGCAGGCGCCGCGTCTCCTCGTGGCAAGCCTGAAACGCGGGTAGTGTGCTTTGGACCATGGCCGTGTTGCTGCTAGGCCTTGCATGCATTATTTCGACGTTGTCATATACCTCACGCGACACGAGCTGAAGGGGGGCCCCGCGGCCTCCGGCCTGCCTGCCTAACCAACCCACCCACCGCTCCCAGGGGGTGCACTTCGAAATCTTTAAAGTTTTGCTCCTCGGCATCATGATGTCATGGCTCTGGACGAGCACGAAAAATTGAAACTCAGGCCCTGCACTTCTCGGCACTTTGTCCTCGCAGCCCGCACAACTCTCTTTTCCCGCGCCCTGCTTGGCTCACAGGGCATTGCGTACTACCCTGAGGCAGATCAATCGTATTGGGGAAATGCAATCCGGATTTGGTCAAAGGACCCATGGCCATTGGACAGGATTATGGCTCGGCGCTACAAAAAAAAGCGAATTCTACAGCCTCTCACGGCACGCCGGGGATGGTCCACACTGTCGTGTTTTCTAACCATGGATGCCGAACACGCCTCGGATTTTGTTTGTCGATCCGAAATGCCCCTTCAAGATATGCCCTTTCCTGTCAACATCCGGATTGCCGGTCATCGGTTGTAAGCCATTGGACTCGCAGCTAACTGCATATATACATACGAACCTGGCACATAAAGGCTGGTGCTGTGATCGGTAGGCAAAACTCGCGTATCGCTACTGACAGCTGTCGCGACTCCAATACTCGCTTACTCTCAACCCTATAGAGATCCCAGATTTAACATTCGGAATAGCCGAGCGACGCGGACGAGTACCTGGTTGACAGCTCGGGACGAGCGATTCAGCTCTACTTTGTGACAAAGAAATAGGGTTTGGAAGCAGACAAGCAATGTGGCAGCTCGTGGTGTTGACTGGAAATGATGACCGCACGCCGCTCCACGCCTAAACCATGCCGCGGCCCGCTATTGAAAACGGCCGACTAGCGCTGTTGCTCGAACACGCACACACAGACTTACATGCTTAGTATATACCTACCATTCGTTGGTATTTTTGAGCATCATTGTTGTGCGCAGCTGGAGTCGCAGCTGAGAAACCTTGTATACTCAGCCACCAGAGACCAAGTGGTGATAGCCATATTCCACCTGGTTTAGGAATAGCTACGGCTCACGTCCCCTAATCTTTCGCCATCACAGCAGTTATACGCCTGGACCAATCATAATGGAAAGCGCCTTCGTCCATTACCAGGTCAATGGTCACCTCTGCGACGGTGCATGCACGAAATGTGAGCGAGTCACATATCTGGTCGGGTCACTTCGCCGTGCATGACTATCCAGCACCATAAGCCATCGATCGGATGGACAACCCTCCCCACTTCCGCGCGCATTATGCGGTAATACAACGTGTACATTTTCCGGACTTTATTTTGAACCCCTCCCCCAGAACACCAAAAAGTATGCATGTACTGCAGGGACTCTTGGGCCTCATTTCCCGGCATGCCCATGCCTGTGGCGGGGATAAAAGGAGATCTAGAAGTAATGAACAGTCGATCATCAGAAGAACATCAGCCCACTTTCTGGGGGGGCTTGCTCGATGCCAAAGCCTTAGGGAAACTTTATTTTTTTTTGAAGTTTCGGTGCCTCGGCGCAAATGCTCTGTGGCTTTGCGGAAGGGTTGTGTTTGGCTCTTGTGGTAATCAATAGAAGGGCCGACCGGATTACTCTAGCCTGACCGAACTGCTTGCACAAGACAAAGAGGCCTGGGCCAGACTACGAGGCGGGCAGGGCTTACTTGTATGTTTTGTGTATGATATTACACCTAGCGAGAAAAAAATGTACTAGAGTTCGTTTATGGTGTTCTAGTCTAGGAATGGACCAGGGCTTACTTACGGAATACTTGTCTAATATGTGAGCTTAATAAGGAGGAAATCGTATGGCTATGCAAATGGCGTTAGTGAGGTTTACTAGGCTAAAGAAACCTTGTTTATCGGTACAATTTATCTCTAGAGATGGAAGCTGGGAGTGGGAGATAGGTAGTACTAAGATTGGATTTTGCCGCCTCTCGGTCACATAGCTAAGTATTAGTAACTCTGGAAACCCAGACCCAGATGGCTTACCGTGGATTTTCGCCGACGTAACGTTCAAGAGTCTTTCGTCATTTCCCTTGCTTTAATTGAACGGTTGCGGACCACCGACAATATGCTTGATGATTTCATCACGTTGCATCACGTGTGGTCACGTGCATGAGCCGACGTCATCATGTAGACGTCGTCTGGAATCACGGCGAATTCCGATGAATCGCTAAGGAATGGACCTGAGCTGTCTGGTACGCTCCCGATCAAAGTACAAATATTTCCGCGAACTAGCGAGTCCGCCATGGAGCGAACGTATGGGGAACAATGGCAATCAATGGCCAAAGATGGGGAACTGTGGGGGCCACTGCGTTGTCGATGATTGTGACTCGTTGACTTGGTAGCCGCCTTCCTCATTTTCGCGTGGCGTCCATAGCTGATTAACCCACCACTCTTTTCATTCAGCCTTCCACTACGTCTCAATGTCTTCGTCACAGACCTCCATCCATCTGTCCGGATTACTACACCAGACACCATGGACCAGCCAACACCCCCGAAATCCATCGCAGACCATGACAAGACTGCACAGCAACATCCAGAGCCTAGACTCGTAGCTGAGCCTCGTCTTAAACCCGAAGATAAGGCCGAAAACACACTAACGGTCAATCGCGGGGCAATTCGTGTGCCGTCCCCAGATCCCTCCCTGGTCTCGATTGACGATTCCAACAATGTACGCATTGGCCGGACCCCAGATCGTAGTAGTATCCCTTTTTATCATGCGAGACAGTTGTCTCGGTCCCCTAGTCCCCCGCGGAGTTTCAAGGGCAGGATACAAGCATCATGGACTGCTAACAAAGGTTTGGCTCTTGTTTTGATTTCGCAGCTGTTTGGCACACTGATGAATGTCACAACACGCATGTTGGAAATGGAAGGAAACAATGGTAAATTGGTTTTTTCTGAAGTCAAGTTTCTATTGCTTGCTGACTGCAACATAGGCAATGGATATGATCCTTTCCAGATACTCTTTGCTAGGATGAGCATAACCGTCATATTATCTTCTTTGTACATGTGGTATAGGAAGACGGAGCACTTTCCGTTCGGTATGAAGGAAGTACGCCCGTTACTGATAGCCCGAGGCCTGACTGGCTTCTTTGGTGTCTTCGGCATGTATTGTAAGTGATGTACTCCATTCATGGGTTATCCATGTGTGTACAAGGGTCTGTTCAAAGACTTCCGACTTGGCTTAGTCTCGGAGTTGACAACTATTCTGGGGAGCCTTGTCTACATTCTTTTGGACTTTCTTACTATACTATTCATGGATCTTACTGATAGATTATAGTGCTGACTTGTCGCAGATTCTTTAATGTATCTTCCCCTAGCTGATGCGACAGTCATCACTTTTCTCGCGCCTAGTCTTGCATGCTGGGCATGCTCCTACCTCATCGACGAACCGTTCACTCGGATGGAACAGATCGCAGCATGTGTCTCACTCTTCGGCGTTGTTCTGATTGCACGGCCCGTCTCTCTTTTTGCCGCTCTTTCTCATTCTCCAGAGACAGTAACGCCTGTCAGCGCCAACCCAGATCCGCTTCCTGCCAACACAACGACTGCATCACCGGACCGCCTTGCCGCAGACTATGATTCTGTAACTCCTAAGCAAAGAGCGATTGCAGTTGGCGTAGCTATGCTTGGTGTTTTGGGGGCTGCTGGAGCATACACGACTATTCGCTGGATTGGCAAACGTGCTCATCCTCTCATCACTGTCAATTATTTTGGAGCCTGGTGTACGATTGTCAGTATTGTAGCCATGTTTACCATACCAGGTGTTGGCTTTCTACTTCCAAGCAACCTCGCAGACTGGTGTTATCTGATATTCCTCGGTATCTGCGGCTTCATCATGGTACGTTTTGTTAGCTTCCTTCGATGCTATTCCATTAACATTCTCCAGCAATTTCTCTTAGCAGCCGGCCTGCAATATGAGAAGTCATCTCGTGCTACCAATATGGTTTACATGCAAATGTTATTCGCTCTCTCATTTGACAAACTCGTCTGGGGCACAACCCCAGGCGCCCTGTCCATCATTGGCTCTTCACTCATCCTAGGCTCTGCGATTTATGTTGCTATGAACAAGGAACATTCAAACAAGGTTATGCAAAGGGAGAGGGGAAATGGAGAGGAGGAGATGGGGCTTATAGCCCCGGAGTATGATAATGAGCAACGAGACCATGGTGAGACGGATGTACAGATGAGGTCGTCAAGATGATTTTCTTTGATGATTGTACATGGCGTTTGCATAGGGAAAGATTGGTTGCATTTTAGAAACAACAAGTACACGGTGTATAAAGCGCAATTACCAGATATAGACATATAAGCAATGACGCTATCAGTTAATCTTTTACTATCAACACGCACGATTGGGTTTTGCGCACGTCACACCAGTCATGGAGAACACGGAACCAGTCCAAGTACCCCCTACCAGTACCAAGGCGGCGCGCTTCAAGTTGCTCCATGCAGCACATCAGGCGGAGCCTCTCCACTCGACACGATTCGCTTCAGTACCATCCATACAGTCATAACCTTTACTCTTACCATTCTGACCTCCTGTCTTCCAAGAATTTTTCCACTTGGTATATTCTCATTGATTGCAAGGGGGTGTTCAAGTAAGCAGCCACAAACAATCTCGAAACGAGGGGAAAATTGTAAATTCCGAAACCGCCGGTGAGTTTGTTGTGTAGTAGTCGACCCCCTCCCCCCGCTTTCGTGAATAACAAAGAAAAAATAAGCCCTTATCCCGATATCCCCAAATGCGCTTGAGAGAAAACAAAAACAAAAACACAAAGTTTGTAGAGTGGGTATTACAACGGAAATTTCGCGTGTCGAACTTACTCAATTATCCGAGGCGTAACTGTATTAGATTGGGTGGTCCTACACATTAGCCGACCAATATCCTGAGTATTACTCTTGCGTGCAACACCAAGCGAAAATCATTACACATTGAGTATATTTACTGTAAAAAACTCGAGTTTCACATCACAACTCAAAACCGAAGCGCATTCAGCGCTTTCGCATCCTTCCTCCGTGGCGCAATTGGCTAGCGCGTCTGACTGTTACACCAGTAGCTTATCAGGAGGTTGAAAGTTCGAGCCTTTCCGGGGGAGTTGTTTATATTTTTGCCATTTTTTCTTCTCCCTCTCTCTCTCTATCATCACTTTTCTTTTTCTTCCTTGGCTAGTTTTACCATACGGACGTAACAACATAATCCTTGCGTACTCCGATGTACACCTGCAGAATAGACTTTCTTTGCATGGGTATGTAGATTAGTGGATGCAAGTATGTAACGGTCGGGTGTTTTTTTTTGGAATTTTTGGCACCAGGGTACTAGTATACACGCCTGCTTGTTTTAGTAGAACGCCCGAGCTGGGTATTACTACAGCACGGAACGCTGGTGGCCCTGTTTTTTTTCTTCTCATAATTCTTTGCAAGGTTCGATTACTCTGCATGGTTCAATGTCGTTGCTAGGTTTCATGGACCCTTGGATCGCTGGCATGGGTTGTGTGTGTACTATGCGTCTGTGCAGCAACGGTATAAAAATGGCTCATGCGGTTATTACAAGACGTTTTAGGACCTTCTTTTTTTCCCTTAGTTCGTCCGTCATTTTAATTGGCTTCGTCTCACGATTAGCTCTCAAGAGCAGATTTTTTTATTGTTCCATGGGGGTCACGTAGATACCCGGACAACCTCGGGTATACGGAATATGCATTTTCGTTCGGAAGTTTTTTCTCGGTGACGTTCTGAGGTCTAGGATTATTCCTAGACTGAACATGAAGATGTGAAACTAGCTGGGGGGGAGTCTTGCTCGTGTGTGTGGGGGTAGATTTGGTATTCACTTCTCTGTGCAGGGATGGTTGTGGACTTAATAGCATTTGTATGCACGATCGATACGGCGTTACATTGATAAACTGAATTACGATAAACGGCTAATTTTCTTATCAGTATGCTCCCTGCTCCTTCTTCACGCTGGGCATCTTCTTGACCCGGTTCCAAGACTGACTCTCATCAAGGGGTTAAACCCTGGACATCTGCACGCTCGTAAATCTCGCTCTCCCGTCTTCAACCTTGAGCACGTTCACGGGGACTTTGGTGCGGAGCATGGGCTCCTCGCCGGGTAGATTCATAGGTGCGGAGAAGCCGGCAACACGGGAGATGGGGGTGCTGCAAGTGGGACATTTCCAGGGCGTTGTTTGTTGGGAATCAGGTTCGGTGGCGCTGCCTTCCTCAATTGCTTTGATGCATATATTGCAAAATTGGTGGTTGCAGGGGCGTACGCTGGGGTTTGATTCGTTAGTAAGAATAAGGCGAGTGAGCGCGGCACTTACATGCAATCACACAGTCGAATCTCACACGTCGTACACATTTTGGGTCTTGTCGGATTGAATTCCGGTTCCGTGGTTATACCCACATGTTTGTCCATCTGGCTGACACTCTTGACGCTGTCGAAATCTCCGCCATCAAGTCGCTCATCGACTTTCTCTTCGACAACCCAGAACTGACCGCCAGTCTTGGCGTACCTCTTCGCGTCTATGGGTGGGGGCCGAGGAACAATATGTGTGACTATTTCGCAGCTCTCGGGATCAAGCATGTGCACGTGAACGATGCGTGCTGCGGCGTGGTTCCATATTGTGGGGGGATTTCTGTCTTTCTATATGTCTTGGACTTTTATTGGTTGTTAGTAAGACCCACAGCGGAAAGCAAACATATAATGCAACGTACTTAGTTTCCCTCCGGCAGCTAAGCCCATGGTCTGGATGTTCTTGACTTGGGCTTCGGTAAGCTCTATCAATCCTTTTCTGCCTTCGTCTGCATCTTCGCGAGACCGAACATCAGATGATCCTTCACTGTGTCTTTTGTACCCTGCACTAATGCGTCGCCGTTTGGGTGCTACCAATTCGTCTCGGTGCGATAAGCTCAATGTGTCTACTGTGGTTCTATGTGCGAGCGGAGCAGCCGTTGCAGGGGATTTCTCTATGGGTCCTGAATTGAATGGTTGGAACGAAAATAACGGGCGCGTCAACATTGGCATTGGGGTAGGCATATCGGACATGAAGCAGCCCTCAGCTTTGAGTTTAACAAGAGCCGCCAAAGACGAATCAGTATTTTGAGGAAGCTTATCCCCGCCCATTTCCTCGACCTCTGAAGTGACCAAGTCTCGAATTCGAAAAGGTGTTCGGTAGGCTGCATCAGTTGCATACGATCTCAGTATATCTCCGATTTTGCAACCAAGTTCACCAGGGGTATAAGACTCTTTCAGCCCATCGTTTCGGTATTTGTTATTGCCTTTGAATGTGATGTAATGTCGTTTTGCGTACGACCACAATCGTTTGCCTTGAATTATTTCAGGTGTGACTTCGAGCTGCAGTCCTCCATGCTTTTCTTCGGAAGTTTTCTGGCCCTCGACGGTATACCCAGAACCCACTATGGTCAGCGGTTAGTGCATATGTCCCATGTTTCCTTGACCCACATACTCACATGGCATGGCAACGAACTGACGAACGATACCGGGAGCTACACAAATACCATCCAGCCATTTCTGTCCGGGTATGACGACGTAGTCCTGCAACTTGCTCTGATCTTTCTTATCCAGTTCCTTTTGCATTTCTTGCCCAGTTATGGCATTCACATGGCCGACGAAGATCCGTACTGCATACTTATGAGAGCCTTGCTGGAAGTTGAGCCACATGGCTTCTCTCTGCCACATTGAGAAGAAGACACCACCTGCTTCTTTGACTTTTTGTGGGAGGCGTTTCGAGTAAGCGTCTACGCTGAAGAGCTCATACCGTCCCAAGGAGGATGGCAGGTGGTGTAATTTGTTATCGTCGGGTATGCGTACAGTTCGCTCAAACGTTACGCAAAACCCACGATTGTCTCGTACCTCACGCCGAGAAGTACTCAGTTCATCGATTCTGAATTCAAGAGGTGGAACGTGGTGCGAATTTGCGTGTGATATTAGCGTTTCACTGATCTTTATTGTGGTGGGAGTGGAAGCTTGATCGTCTGCTACCACAAGGACTTCGTCGTGTTCTTTCACCAGGAATTCCGGCATCTCTTTTTGGTGTTCGATACCACCATTCACCAGTATTTTAGGCATCGTAAAGCCGAACTCTAACCGCCGTCAAGATATCTATGAGAGAAGGGCGGCAGATGTTATACCTTCGATTTTGTTCCAAAGCCCATGCCATATCACCTCGTCTTCATTCAAGGTCATAGAGACGGTGTACAACCCGGAGTCTTGGTCTAGGGTGGCAGTCCATTCATTTTGCTCGACATCCCTGATCTTTTGCAGACCCTCGATGACGACCTTGCGGAGGTTTGTAGGTGCACTTGACGACATTGTTGCAGTTTTGAAAGAGTGAAAGCTCGACAAGAATATGAGGGGCACTGGATAAGTTTTGGAGTTCAAGCTAAGAGCGAAGGTGCCTGCCAGGCTGAGAAGGTGCTTTTAGCCCTCATAACTGCCAGCCGCCTCTAAAACGAAGCGGGGTCGCATCAGCCGCACAACTGCGCCTCCCTTTGTGGTGCTCAGCCTGATCACCAGGCCACTGCTGTTCAGATCTCAACATCGCCATAGCAAAAACAAAGAAACGATGTCGTTTGGGTTTTCAATCGGGGACATTAGTGAGTATGTCGCTTCGCATGATGTGAGAAGGACGCTAATGGTGTGTAGTACTCCTCAGTCAACTAGCGTATGGTCTCTACTCAAGCATCAGTTCTGGAAGGAAGGCAGCCTCGCGCGATCTCAAAGAACTTGAGGACGTACTTTTCAGCCTAAAATGTGCCTTGGACCATCTGGGAGAAGCTTCCAAGGATCTGCTTGCACGACCAGATCGGCATGGAGGAGCAAATTTCAAAGAGAAACTAGATGCGATGATGAATGCCTGCGCGTCTACTCTAAAAGAACTAGAAGCCATGACTGAGAAGTACCGTTCGGTTGAGAGCACAGCTGTAGAGAATGCAGCGGCCAACAAAGGCAAAGCGAAGCTGCGCACATTAGACGACATGAAGAAAAGCATCCAAGTCAACTGGTATAGGGTGCGGTGGGACCGTGAAAAACTGTCGCTGCAACAATATCGCGAGAAGCTGAAGTCGCATACTGATGCGATAAATCTCATACTGACTTCTATGATCTGGTAATTTCTGTATCCCTGCGGTCAAATCAGTCGGAAGCTAACTGTTCAGGGCAAACTCTACCCTCGCAGACGACAAAAGCACACAGAGCCATGAGAAGACCCATGGGTTGTTAGAGCAAGTGCTGAAAAAGTCAGAAGCTGATGATTCAGTCCGAAGCATAGTTGAGGACATCCGCAATATGCTCACACAGGTCGATCTGGGTGCGAGAAAGGTCCCTGAAACTCAACCGGCCCCCGTGGTACTATCAAGTAACTCGGCATTTATCGCTGCATATGCACATAGTCCATCACCGATTATAAAAGGCAATGTCTTTGCCACGAGTTATGCACAACGTTCTGCTTCAGTCAACATAAATCTGAACCCAGCACTGCCAATCAGACCACCTCGCGGGCATATGAAAAGAGTGTTGTTCTCATCTGGAGCTGCGGAGACGCCATTCCATGATCACCAACATGCACCGGAGATTCAAAACGAGCTATCAAGCGCTGTAGGTCAGACAAACTTGCCTTCAGAGACTATTGATCTCAACGCTAGGCGCCATGCTTTTGGTGAAGAGGAGTATGAGGCCTTCAGGCAGCGCCACCCCATAGAGGAAAAAGTTAAAAAGCCATCTTTCTTGACGCCCGCGACTCCGACTATCCAAGATCTCTATGATGGCACAATATACCTCTTCTCATCCCTGCCAGAGGGCAAGCAACAGACAGACGAGCTAAAGTTTGCAACTCAACGCTGGACACAGGGACTATCCCTTCTAATCAAGAATACCACATCTGATGCAGAGTCTGATGATGGATTTCTCCATTTGCTACAGATGCTAAACAGAACTGTAGAGGGCAGTGCCAAATCAGTGCGAAAGCTCTTCTACGAGGTCTCAGGCTCTGCGGGTTTGCTGGGTGCTCTGGATCAGATATTAGCGACCTCGAAAAGTGTCAGAGTGATGAAGGAGATTGAGGATTTTCAGGATGCTAAAGAAGAGTGGGAAGACGATAATGGTGGTAATTGAATATAGATGGTCTAACGAGTAGCCGTTGACGGTCAATTTTGTAAGTGCAAGGGCTATCCTGGCACTCATCCGTCAGCTAGTATGCGGACCAGCTTTGCATTGCCATGGCCATGCTTGCTCCCTTCATATGTGCTCTTTACTACGGCGGCTGTTTTTCCGCAGGCAAGCTGGATCATGGGTTGTTTTGTATTCGGCTCTATAAACAGGCCTGGTTTGCGGTCGGAGCGATCGGCCGTGTCCGTGTCAATGACGTCGTGCAGTATCAGGCGATGGCCGTTGGGCAGCACGCACCATGGATCGCCGAGCGCCTGGTGTTTGGCAAGAACGGCTGCCATGGTGTCTGTCTCGAAATCGATGAACCGGTCAGCCTTTGTGATTTTTGGCGCATGGTCGGTAGGGCAGCCAGATTGAGCGAACCATCCGGCATCCGTGATCGGGGGTATGAATTTTCGCGATTCGAGCACGTCTACGAGCATTTGTGCTCCCACGTGGGCCAATTGTTTCTCTAAATTCTGTGATGTGATGCCTGGGGGGACTGCAATGCCTGGGGCTGGTGTCTGGGCGAGAATAGTACCCTGATCGAAGTGCTGTGGGTGGAGTGTTTGGATGGAGACACCCGTATATTTTCTCTGCTTTAGGATGGTATGCTCGATTGGAGCTGGCCCGCGCAAGTCAGGGAGCAGTGATGGATGGACATTTATGCCGCCATAACGAGAAAGGGCGAGGATGCGAGGAGGCACGAAAAGGCCAAAGGATACGGCGATGACGAGGTCTACGGGGGCGGGTGGTGCCCAACCCGTGAATGTATCAAGTGCATGGGTGGGAAGGCTGAGCTCTTCAACAGCTACCTGTTTGATAGGTACTGTACTGGGTCAACGGCCTTGATGTCGCACATGGACAGGCGTGTCTACCTTCTCTCAACGTCTTCAGTCCTCTTCCAGTAGGCTTGGCTGGGCGATGGAGCACCTGTACGCTATCTATAAGCTGGGGAACCCGACGCTTCGCATCCACGACAGCGCGCAAGGATGCGATACTGAAGTCATCTGATCCACAGAAGAGAATGCGCAGCGGTGAAGGCAATGAGGCGGAACAGCTCGGAGGGACGTAATGGCGCCGTGAGGAGAGCAGCAGAGATCGGATCGAGCCTGGCAGTCGCCACAGCATGGTTCGGAGGTGAAGAAGACGGTCGGCCATGGGCTCGGAAGATGCCGCGCCCTGCGACACGGCCATGTTGCGATCGCCATGCCGTGGGGCATCTTCACCTCCGATGACAGTGACAATCGGCCATGTCCTTGGCTCCTTATATGGTTCGGCGTCATATCGCCCTCTGCTGGTCATGGCCCATCTACAAATAGTGTCGGGCGACCGTTGGCGGGTGGCTGACAGGGTACACCTACGTATGTACATTCCTGCGTACCTACGTACATATATGCAACCGTGACGCAACACCCTCCTGCCACCACGACAGCCTAGTCAACGCGCCTCGCGACTGGCCCCCATCGGCGCATACACGAATGTCGTCCACGGCGGTGCCCAAGGTCATTCCGGCCCAGCTGTCGTTTTTGGCCATCTACAACCCCTCGCTGGGAACATCAGACGAAACATTTGACCAGCAAATTGTCTTCTACTACTCCAAAGCCGCAAAGACACGCGCCAAGCTCAGAAATGGAGACGCGCAGCAAGAGCAGGACCTGCGCGACCAGGAGAATGAAAAGCTGCGCCAGGTCGGCCTAGCACAGGGCATGGTGGGATTTGCAAAGTAGGGCGCATGATACTGCACCGCCGCTTCGCTTTGTATGCGCTGGCACTAACCCGGCGACAGGAGTTTCTCCAATGGCGAGGCGGTCGACACGGTCGAAACAGAAAAGTCGCGCATTGTTCTTCACGAGCTGGAAAATGGGTGGTGGATATTGGCTGTATGCACATTCTCATACAGGTGACTGCCGCCGACTAACATGACTCCAGTCTATCGATCTCACTCAGCTGCCCGCTGCCTCTGGCCTCACCCGAAAAGACTCCAGCACCGACACTACAGAGCCCGTAATCGAATACTCTTCGCGCGAAGTCAGCCCGCCGGCGCTCCTCATCCAGCAACTCGTCCGCGCTCAACTCATCTTCCTGCTGCATCATGGCTTGACGCTCGAGGGCATGTTTGCCAAGCATGGCCGCACCAAGTTCTGCAGCATTCTCGACAAGTATTGGTCACGGTTTGCGTCTAATTGGGATGTACTCCTCCATGGGAGCCCCGCTGTGGATATATTTGGCGGCATGAAGCTGGCAGCAGGCGGAGAATTGGGCATGGGCGTGGGCGAAGANGAGTGGGGCAGCAGCGAGCGCGACGTCTTGGAGGACTTTTCCCGCAGGACACCGGGTCTAGTTGATGTCATGGTATCTCGTTTCGGAGAAGTATCGCCATTGCAGCAAGCCAAAACATCCACGGACCCTCGGACGCTCGACGATTCTGAACTGGACCCATGGGTTGGAGTCGGGAGGACCGCTCAGGCTGCAGACGGTGTTGTCTTTTCAGGTCTGGGGGCAGTGAGCCGGAAATCGCTGCGAGACTTGTCGCACTGGGTAGAAAGCATCTACTGTTATGGCGAGTACGCCTATGGTGTGCGTGATAACCCAGCTTCCGATCGAAAGAAGCGACGGAGAAGGAATCCAAGGACTGCACTCGAATCAGAGGAACCAACGCCAGACTCACTTCGTCCTACACGACCTGAAAGACCACGCCTTGCTACATCAAATCCGAACTCAGCCCTACCCCTGGGCATTCCTCCACCCATAGTCAGAGCGGCCGAGAGCTCTCTTGACAAAGCTGCTGCTGCGGTCGACAGCAAGAAGCCTGAGCAAAATTCACCAGCACCCGAGTCCAAGTCCATGTTAGCGTCTCTGGGTGATACCGAGACGTGGACGAGGTACATGACTCTTGGTTACGGCACAGCGTGGGGTGGAAAGAAGGCAACGGATAGCCCCCAACCTTCTACTCCAGTACCAGAGCCCGCTCCAGCGCCTGAACCAGCACCTGTACGGAAACGAAGCCCTTCACCAGAAGCCATGCGATATGTTGAACCAGCACCAGACGTAGACCATGTAGAAGAGAGGGCAAAGCAACAAATACGACTGGAGAACAACGGATATTTCCTCGTGGGACTCAAAGGCGACCTACAAGACTTGGATGTCGACGACGAGAACGACGAAGGTAACTGGAACAACCGAATACCACTACGAACTATACATGTCGAGGTCGACCGCAGAGACGTCTCGTCGAGTTCACCCGACGTCGAATCCGACGAGACACCACCATACGAACGAATAATGAACATACCCCCACCAACCTCAACCAAACTCTCTCGGCTTCGGCCAGTCGTCTACATAGTAAGTCTAACCCCCACTCTCCCATCTCCAACAAACCCCTAACAACCATTTTAGCACCGCCCCTTCATCTACGTCTTCCTCTTCGAACACCGCACTCACTCCCTCGGCGTCGCCTCCTTCTACCGCGACATCCACAACTTCTTCTCTCCCCTGCATCGCTCCCTCGACAAATCCACAAGCCCCACAAACGTCGCCCAACGCCTCCAAGCAGTATCTTCCCACTACACAACCGAAGCCTCGACCGGCGGCTCTGGTCCCTCCGCTGGCCCAAACACCCAACCAATCTACGACCTCGTCTTCGATCCTCGTACCTTGACCGTGCATTCTAGCCTGCCTAATATCCCGGATCCGGGGACCCTCTTGGCGGAGGGTCTGGCGGGCAAGCAGGCGGGCTGGAGCAGGTTGGATGCGCTGAATGTGCATTCTCAGATGCTCGCGACGGTAGCATCGACGCGGAGGAATCTGAGTGAAATAGAAAGAACGTGCAAGACGAACCGCGGCTGGTGGGTCGTCTGGATGCGTCTCCCACCCTCGCATGTCGAGCCGCAGGAATCGGACTTGAACTACCGCGAGTATAGGGAGCAGCAACATCAACAATCGGATCATGAAAGTGAAGGTGGGGTGGAGCAGGAGGGATGTAGAGCATCAACCCCGATAGAAGCAACCTCCGCGCCATTCAATACACAAGATCTACGCGAAGCATTTCTTGTTCGCCGCGCGAGAGATTCGGATCCGGGAACGCAGCATGGACATAAGAGTACTGGAAGCCGTTTTGGGAGCGGCGTGTGGAGCGGGTTGGGTATGGGCGGTGGGAATGGGAGTGCACAGAGTCAGCGGATGGGAGGGGCGGCGGCGGGGTGGGGGCCCAAAGGGTTGGCCGAGGGAATTGGGATTGATGCAAGGAGGTATGTGGAGGATTTGTTGAGTTTGAATAGATGACGAGGAAGGTGTGTGTATATATATATATATATGTTTAATAGACGTTATTGCGTTGATCGTAATGTGATAATCGTTCTTCAGGAAATAAGAGTTGGTAGGGGGGGGGTATAAGTCTATGATACATGTGCAAACAAAGGTTGTGAAGAGAAATTGATTGAGATTCAATTGATGGTGGTGGGTAAGGGAGAAGTAAGATCCACCATTGGAATCTCATATGTTCCACCCAGCCCAATACCAAATGTTTATTGAGGTCCTCCCAAGGATAACGAGACGCAGCATGCATGTACATTTGTCTAAAGACGCACTGGTGGGGGATCCCCCAAGTCCCACACCTTTCCCAAAAACGACCATCAGATGCGGGCATCCTGAACGCCCCTAATAAAACGACTATACCCTAGCATCATGCTATTCGATGACCCGTGTAAATTTCCCTGCCTTGTCTCTCTCTCAAAATGCATAGAAAAACCGCCAAAGGGAACTACGAAGTATCCATAGCCTCATTACCCGCTGATGCAGCCGCGCCAGCATTGCGCTCCGCCATCTTTTGGGCAAGACGGTTCTGCTTCCAGGCCTGAATCTCCTCGCGAAGTGCATCGTTTGGAATTACGTCTTCAATCTTTAGGGGCGTACGATTAAATGGGTCATGCGGGTCACTGAGAAGATGAGACTGGATGGTGCTGCGATCGACCACCTGCTTGCTGATCGGAAGGATGACAGGGTCCTCCATGAGCGATGCCATCAGGGGATCCTCGTAGTTTTCGGGGATATCTCCGAGGTCAGCCTCGACCATATCGGCCTGATCCTTGGCTGCCTTAATATCGGCGGCCATTTTCTGCCACTGCTCCATTTGCTCGGGCGACTTGAGCTTGAAGCGCTGTAGGATCTTGTAGGCTTCATCCCAATACTCTGCGCGGTAAGATCGTCCGTCCGTGGCGACGGCATCAATGAAGGACTGTTTACCCTGTAGATTGAGATAGACATCAGTGAGCTCTGCAAGCATATTGCGTGGGTTCCACCCGTATTCCTCGGGATTCTCAACCTTGAGCTGGGACTTCTTGGGACCCACGAGAGCCTCCAAGTTGTAGTCCAACATGTGTGCTAGTCGCACAACGATTTCCTTCTTGGTAAACGAATCCGCTAGCGTCTCGGTAAAGAGCTTCAACATGGCAACAGTCTCATTGGTAAGTTGCATGTAGCTCTTGGCCTTGCCTTGTGCGGATGACAGCTTCTCCTCTTGTTCCTGACGCGCTGTTTGATCCATGTCGGCTGGAGCATTCTTCAACTCTTTTGAAAGATCGTGAATCTCCTTGAAGGCGCTGAATGATTCGTCCAAGACGAACGTGACATCGTTCAGAAGCAAGTTGACAAATTGGACGAAGAAGTCCAAGTTGACGCGGGCTTCGGTGGCGAGATGCTCACGATAAATGGGATTGGGCCAAATGCACTTGATGACCTGGAAAATCTCATACCGGATATTAAATTTGTCGAAGAATTGTGTATGGGTTCCGGTGCTTTCGCACTCAATGTAGAACTTCATAAGCGCATGTAACAGGTGCTTCATAGCGAAATCGTGCGCAAATAGCGTATCTCCCAGTACGCCCTTTGATCTCCCCGGAATTGCCCATACTCCGTGGAACAGAATGGTAACCAGTCCAGACTTCAGGTACGGGTTCTTGATGTATTCGGAACTGCGTAAAAAGGCAATGCAAATCTTAACAAGCTCCTCGCATTGGGTGGTTGTGATGATGTGAGGCATGTAGCGGGTGATGAACTTGAAGTTTCCAACAATGTCCTCGACAAAGTACTCTGGAAGACACTTGAATTGTACTGGCTGCTCCTTGGGAAGAGGCAGCTGTAGTTCCGTCTTGGGAAATGATGTCCCAGGGTTAGCAAGTCGTAGAAGCCAGACAATGACATAACGCATCAGTTGCATCGACCGAGCCTGTGTGGTCTCGTCAAGCAAAACACCCTGGATAGCCAGTATGCTGCACTTGCCCCGCTCAATCTGCTCCTTGACCTTCTTAATGTGGTTGTCGAAGAGGGCAAGCTGTGCGGGGTTTGTCATGTACTTTGGTCGTTCGGGTTCAAGTTTAGCCAGCTCCTTCTCCAGCCATTTGACGTCCTTTTGCAGCGAACTTAGCTTAGAGTTTGCCGCTTCAAGGCCATAGTGGTGTGCTGCGACAGTCAGGAAAAAGACTTCGCTGATGAAGTTGTTGGTGCCCGAGGCTTTGGTGCTGTAAAAGTCATCCGAAGTTTTTTGATCAGCGTTGATCTTGGTTTCGTCCTGGATATCGACACGGGGTGAGCGCCGCAGATAGTCGATATCAATACGATCGATCTTGGAGAAGGTGGCGTCCATGAAAGGCTCGCAAAGGCGATCGAGAATGACTGTGACGTTGACCATGAAGCCATCAGAAGAGACGGTCTTCCTATCGACCTGCATGGCACGCCGCTTGTGGTTCTTGTTGACTGTGAGTGCTAGCCAATCGAGCATCTTTTCGCGAGACTCCCTGTTCTTGATGAAGGTGTTGGTGATGTCGAATAATTCCTCTTGGTGGGTCTGTAGAGTCATGCGGACCGCGCGCTGGGCATTTGCAACAAGGCCTTTGTCAATAGCTGCTGATCCCGAGAAGTAGTTCATGGCCACCTCGGGTTGCATAGGAGACAGGCGGAAAAAGGGACCGAGGAAGCTGTGGGTTTCAATATGCTGGGGCTCAATGTCGGCGGGCAAGAAGGTCTCGGACTGTGCGAGGGCAGCGACAAGTGGTGGGAAACGAACGAATATCCGCAAGATTAACATGTGTTGTCTGTAATCACCATTCATTGAGACCGAAGCAAGACGGCGGCTCACATGTTCCATGCCGCCCACAAGCGCCTCTTTTATAGAATCGTCTTCGGCTATGCGCTGACTGGCTTCAGTAAGAAACTCGTAACAAATGCCGCGTTCATCGTCAGGACCAAGCAGTAGGCGATCTGCCATTGCATTCTCAGCAGGGGCGTCTTCACCAAACATGTCTGGCATAGTGAAAGCGAATATGCAATAACTGAAGCACAGTCGCCGAGCTTCCTTGACAACCTCAAACCTGGGGCCAGTCTTGTTGGTCAACGTCTTGAGGACTCTAGTGACGCGCTTCCAGCAGCCGAGCAGATAGTCTAATGCTGTGCCATGGGCGTGACTAGATGCCGCCTCTAATATGACCGAGTCGAGCATGTCGGTGGTAAAGCGAAGCGGGCGGCCCTCATCCTCGAGATCACTCTTTGCTCCAGCAACATAGAAGAGCTTGTTCCCATGCGAATCCCGGGCATGGGACTCGTCCAACGTTATGCGGAAAATGTTGCCAAGTGTTCTATCCTCCCATGCTTCTATGCTCATTTCCTGGGCCTTTGTGGCAGGCGAGGAGGCTGAGGCACTGCTCGAAGACTGTGCAGGCTTGATGGTGATTGGGTTCTTGGGAGGCGCATTGGGTTTGACACCTAGTTGTGAGAAAGGATTTTGGCTTTGGGCTTTGGGCTTGGGCGGTGGTGGCTGCGATTGTGTAGGCTTGGGTGATGGAGCGGCGGACGAGGCGGCTTCGGAGGGTGTTGAAGACGACTGCGGAGGGGGACCACCGAGCTTTGCAAGACGCTTTGCACGGATCTGAGAGATGTTTGCGTCAGCGGATCTCTTTGGTGGGCGAGTGGTGGGTGAGCTCACTTTGTCAGCATCAGACATGGCATCGGGGGCAGGCGCTGGGGCGGGCGCTGCTGCAGGCGCAGCATCTGGCATGGGAGTATCGTCATGGCCGGGCTGGTTTTGTTGGTTGGGATCTTGGTCGGCCATGGTGATGGCAGTAGCGGGCGGCAGAGGCCTTTTGGCAGCGAATGCGGGCGTCGGCAACAGCGAGCGTCGGCCAGGTCGGCAGGACGTCGACTAGAGCGGATGGAGCAACAAGACGTGGAGCAAAGTGAAGGGCGAGGCGTGGTGATGGCGGCCGTGATGCATTTAGTAGTACATGGATGCGGAAATAATAAAGCTAGCTGCTATGTAGTAGTATGCAGCGCCTGTGTATTAGGAGTAGTAAGGGTGAGTAAATAGCAGTAGCAGTAGCAGTAGCAACAGGTGGATGGATGGGTCGTGGATGTCTAGGCTGCCCCGCCACCGGCCCTGCAGCCGCCTGCGTCGCCAACTCACGTGCCTAGTGCCCTTGGAAGCCCGACGAAGCGCGACGAAATGCTGGCTAGTATGTAGCAGTAACTGATAGGGAGCAGGCCGCATCCATCCATGCTGAGCTACTATTCATAATCCGTACACTTAGTTCTACATGCTGCCAACACCCCGACGACACACGGCACAAAGGACATGAGCAGCCAGGGTGATGACAGCACATGTGCCTGTGTGTTGCAGCCCGGATGCGCGACAGTGTACTACGTCACTTGGGTCATTGCGGGCCTGCACGTCCATGAACAAGACGGTATGCTTTCATAGATGAGCCATGCACTGTACTGCGTGCATCTTTGTGCGCATGTCTTATGTGCATGTCTATCCACGTATGTATGTGTCTATGTCTAGCTATGTACCGTGCATGTGCAAAAGGTCATAGATATTCACACATACGTAGTAGGCTGGGGCAGCATGCATGGGGCGGCCAAACGCCCCCGTTCGCGCTTGGCCGTTCGCTAGGAGACGGGCAGGCTATCTGTGTTGGGGATGCAGGCTGAAACCCACTGCTGCAGCCCTGGCCGTGCAAAGAGCCCTTTGTTGTTGCTGGGCGTACGTGTCCGTCTGGCAATCTGTGAGGGAGCGTGTTTGCGTGTGTGCGTATCTCGGAGTGTGAGAGAGTGTGTGTGCATGTGCGTGGGCGTGCATTGAAGAAGCAGCATCAAATGCATGCAAGCCCGGCCCGGCGGACAACAGACCGTGTGTGTGTGTGTGAGTGTGAGTGTTTGGAGGTCATGTGACGACGGCCGTGGAGGACGCGGTGGGTTTAGCAGCAGGGCCGGCGATGCAGATAGCTAATCGCGCCGTCTCCTCTCTCTTCTGCAACACCACCAACCACTACCACCACTACTGCTACCACCCTTTCCCCCTCCCCCCAGAACAACTCCACCACCACTGCTGCTGCCTCTGCCCAGCTGCCTCTGTCCAGGTACGAGCCACGTCCCTCCCCCATGACTGCGCCCCTAGCCCGTAATCACAGCACCGTGGGCGTGGCGCAGGTCGCAGCTCAGCCGCAGTCGTTGCAGCACGACCCCCGTTGCGGTCATGGTGCCCGCCAGCCATAACACCCTGAAGCCGCTGTTGTCCAACTTCAATCACCGCCTGTCCTTCATCCACACACTCACCTCCTTGCCTACAGATCTCCTTCCACGACACCGCCTACATCACACGCGACACCATGGCCGAGATTCGACGAAAGCTTGTTATTGTCGGTGACGGCGCCTGTGGAAAGACGTGTCTGCTCATGTACGTGCTCCCCCAACTACAACTACTACGACTATCACCACCACTCTACACCCATCATCCAACCCACCGCTCCACCTGCCGCTGCTGCTGCTCGACTCTGATGTTCTCTTGCTAACCTCGCTCCAAACAGCGTCTTCTCAAAGGGCACTTTCCCCGAGGTCAGTACTCCACCGCATCCCTGAGCCGCGTCAGCCTAGCTCGCCATCCACAACTCCCATCACCCATTACCGCCGCCCCATCCCCATCCACTGACACGCTACCTGCAGGTCTACGTCCCCACTGTTTTCGAAAACTATGTCGCCGATGTCGAGGTGGACGGCAAGCACGTAGAGCTTGCCCTTTGGGATACTGCTGGCCAGGAAGATTACGACCGTCTCCGCCCTCTCTCCTACCCCGACTCGCACGTCATCCTCATCTGCTTCGCCGTCGACTCGCCTGATTCTCTCGACAACGTCCAGGAAAAGGTACGTCGCCCTGCCGTGCCCTGCACGTGTCTCCTGTTAAACTAACAACTACCACAGTGGATCTCCGAGGTCCTGCACTTCTGCCAGGGGCTTCCCATCATCCTCGTTGGATGCAAGAAGGACTTGCGCTTTGACCAGAAGACGATTGAGGAGCTGCACAAGACCTCGCAGAAGCCCGTCACACCCGAGCAGGTCAGTAGCCTACGCCACCCGCCTCACTAAATGATGAAACCATGACTAACAAGCTCCCCCAAGGCCGAGGATGTCCGCAAGAAGATTGGCGCCCAGAAGTACCTCGAGTGCTCAGCCAAGACAAACGAGGGTGTCAGGGAAGTGTTCGAGCATGCCACCCGCGCTGCTCTGTTGACCAGGAAAGAGAAGAAGACCAAGAAGTGCTTGATCTTGTAAGCGCGGCATACCGCACAAAGGTGGTCTAACCACCCCCCAACCGCGCCTTTGTTGAGCGTCGACAAGCAACAATAACTGTCGCGACTATTGGGTGTGTAATAGTCGTCTATCCGAGAAAGAGGGCAAGACGTGGAAAAACATGGCCGGCCGACGTTTGCAGACGAGTCGACTCTCGACGAACTGCTCCCGGCCCATCTCTCTCTCTCTCTTTCTCTCTCTATCTCTCTCATGGCACCTACACGAGGCGTTTACTGTGCTGGATCTTTTGTGTGTTTGGACCGTACATCATCTTGGGGTAGTTCATGATGGGGGTTATCTTCTCCGAGCGTGTGGAATCGAGATTGAGCAAATGGTAGGATTTTTCTAATAATCGGTGCTTTTTTTGCTCTCTACTCCCGTGTGTCACTCTGGCAGCTTTGCCCCTTTCTTTTGACCCTCTGAACGTAGTACATGTGATGATGATGATGATGATGATGACTACGCACCACTATTCACTGTCCTTCTCTCGATGATTTGCTTCGCCTCACTCTAGGAAATGGCAGTAGTACATGTCAACCTGGATCCATGGTATTTGTGTTCTTTTTTATATAACACACGCCACTATACTCACTTCATGCAGTATGCTGATGCTGAAACGCGGCGTATTGCATTGACACGAGCATGAGCATGTGCATGGGCATATAGCATTAACTTGGCATGGGCATTTACTAGCGCTAGTACAGTCACGAGGCTATGACAAGTGACAGTAGTGACAGTAGTGACAGTGACAGCAGCAGCCACAGCACAAATGACAGCGGCCCCGATACTATCCAGAGCAGTACAGTGCAACGGCTTTTGCCATTTTTTTTCCCGTATTCATCTCGATAAATATATGCATATATGTACAGATATGTACCCACCCTCGTGTGTTATCTCCATTGTATAGTACACCGTGAAAAACGCCCCTCCATAAGAAAAAAAGTTACTTTATATGAACAATGAAATCACAGCAAGCGCTACCACGGACACTAGGGCTGATGATGACGAAAAGTGGCCCGCAGCACTGCTGCTGCCCTGCTGACCCTGGGACACGTTGTCCGCCATAGCAGACGAAGTGGGTGCCGCCGCACTACCGGAAGCCGTTTGGGAGACTGAAGACTGTGCGCCTAGAATGACGATATCAAGTTAGCCAGATACTCGACTGGAATAGGTAAGAAGGAACAGAACATACCAGAAGACGTCGCACTCTGCGACTCAACCTCCTTCTCCTCACCCTTGACCCCCAACCCAACCCTCTCCTTCTCAAAATCAAACACCGAATACACATTCTTTAAAAACACATCGCCCACCAACCACTGATTCGCCTTGAACGTCTGTCTACCAATGATATTGCTCCTGCACAATCCGCCCTGGCCCTCTACTTTCTCCCCAATCCAATCCGCAGTCGAAATATTATACGCAACGTTGTTAAACGAGAAAGCTAGCTGCGCCTTCGTATCGCAGGGGACAAAAAACGTTTCACCGTTCTGCGTATGATCTTTGACAGCCGAGTGAATAGCCTGTGCATCTGACTCTGGGATGAGGATGAACGAAGTCCCCGTATCCATGATTGCCAATCTGCCTGCGTTACCGGGAGCAGAAGAAAGAGCGTCTTTGCCGTCTACGCTCGCGCCTTGTAGTGGGATTTCCCAGAACCCTGTGTCGTTTTCTACGCAGTCGAGGTAGTTCAGGTCGCCTGAGAATCGGGTCTCGTCGATGTGGCCAATGTCCAGCGCGCCGTCTTGCAGTCCGTCTTTTGCGCGGCTCAGGTGGATGCCGTAGAGTTTTGCGGCGATGACGCGGTTCGAGGTGAGGACGTCCATGATTTGGGGGGCGGCGATTTCGCCGTCGCTAGCTGCGCCGCCGCGGCCGATGCCTAGGATGCCATCCATGGGGTAGGCGCGGAATTCGTCTGAGACGTTGGTGGCAAGCCCGAAGGTTAGGGGCGAGGAGAGAGAGGTGCCGATGTGGATTGTGTCTGAGGCGAGGGTGCCGCTGGAGGAGCCGGTGCCGTAGGTTATGCTGAATTGTTTGGTGTCGGACTGGGGTGTAGTGTGTTAATTTTGCGTTGTTTTCATTGCAAATGCCTTCTCTCGACAGAGAAGGTAGGAATAACGTACCTTGAGTGTGCTGGAATCGCCCTTGCCGAACAAAGTATGTGTTTTACATGCTTCACTTTTGCAGTCTTGGCTCATGACCCAGGTGTTGCTCGCTGCGGAATCGAGCAGCATGTGGTATTCCTCCTTGCTGTCGCCAAAGGTCACGGCGACCATGTAGCTGAGATCCTTGCCATCTTGGTCAATGGCCACGCTCTTTTCTTGGCTCGGGTCCTTCGAGTTGACTATGTTGTACACGTTACTCTGTCGGGAGTGTAGGCTCGTAGCGATTCGGCGCAGAGGAAGCGTGACGCCGCGTGCGGTGGTTTCCTTTGAGGATCGAGAGAGCCGTGGTGACCGTAGGGACGGCGACGAGGAAGTGCTACTGCCGTCGTAATGGTATGGGTAAAACGCCGTTGCGCTAGGTATTATTGCTGCTGACAGAGCGAGCCATGTCGGTAGTGCTGTGTGCATGGTTTCTTATGCGTATATTTGTTGTTTGTACAGGTATCTTAAACACCACTTCTCTAACCACCACCGGGCTGTTTTTTGTTTTTTTGTTCGGTTCTGTACTGTCGCGTCTTTCCTTGAAGCGCAAGAATCCTGTACTCAATCTGTTTGTCGATCCAGCGAATTATACACTTGAGCCCGACGCGTCTTGTCAACCGTGTTACGCGTGAATCCCAGGGAGCCCAAACGAAAGCCCGGGGAGAAACAAATAAAAAGAAGAGACCTTCAAAAGGCGCAGAAGATGAAAAAGTTAAATGAAAAATACCCGGAATTGCTACACAAGACAATTTCTAATCCATCAGGCTGAGATTTCGTCGAGGCTGTTGTGTAAGGCTGGGAGCTGAGAGCGAGCTGAACAAGAGAACTAGGGTTCGCGAGTTATACCTGTATCCCCACCAGCGTTGTCGGCCCCCTTTGAGCTGCAGCAAAAGATCTTCCTCTCCCAAGAAAAACAAGAAAAAAATCCTCACAGTGGAAGAATTAACAAAAGTACGGGACCGAGCGAAATGGCCGAGCGACGCTGACCAAAAATAAAGGACGTGTGGGAAGAAAGAGAAGGGAAGTAAGAAACTAAAAGACGACACCTTCCCCTTCGGGGAGCAGGGAGGGGTGATCGGGGCGGTCGTAAGCACAGCCTCCCTCTCTCGGTAGCCCCGTCAAATGACGTTTCCGGCCCCCAAAATGCCAAAAGGTCGGTTGCGGGAAACCCATGTGTGAGCTTTGGGTGGATGTGGGTGTGGGGTTTACCCCTGGACCTTTGGGGGGGCGAAGGGCTTACTACCAAGACGCCGGAACGAACGGCTTGAAACAGGCCCAGTTCCACTGCTTTGCATGCAACCAATGGTGGTGCGCAAGAGCTCTATGTACTACTACTCGGTGCATACTTTAGTGTTCAGCTGCTGGGGGCTCAATATGTGCGTAGATGCTGACATTACTGCACTAGGCTGGATCTGTGACAAGGTAGGCTAGGGCATAGAATGGGTTTCTCTCGTATCTGATGCTTGGCATATCCATACTATCTATTTGCCACGTGATCTGCTGATAAGGTGTAGTGCTTTGGCTGGTATCCTGTGCAGAATTGCATGAAATATATTATTGAATGAAGACGCATCTTTGATGAGTTACTCGATATTCAGATGAGGATAATATACTCTATACCTTCGACATGTTCACCGTTTTTGAGATCCATCGCGACTATGGCAATGAAGAGCAGGTCGCTTGCGTCTGCCTTGGATGAGTACACTCTCAAGACATGTTTTCGTGCGTTGAGCGTGGCCCAGGCGTTGTCCCTGCTTTTGCAGATTTCTTTGTTGCAAGGATTAGAGTTAGCCAAGAAGATGGTAGAGGTTATGCAACGATTGTTTCGTCTGCAGAGTATGCACCGCCATTGACGGACATAAACACACGAGTCACGTCGCATGGCTCCAAGTTATTAGACTCGTACGTACCTTCAGTCCCCGCGAATACATGGCCACCGAGTTGTCCACGGCCATCGGATGCAAAGATTTCGTCGGCAAGGATATTCCCTACGTTAGAATCCTGGGTGTCCAGCAAGCTGAAGAATCGATCAATCAGTTTCTTGACGCTGTCTGGGACGGGGTGGTCCGGCCAGACTGTGTCTTTGGTGTTGCTGCCCATATTCTTCTTCTCTTGAGATGATTGCGAGATAGAAAACAATCTTCTCCGCAGCTTTGCAGCTTCGCAAGATTCGATTCTTGCATTTCATGAGTAAGTGACAGCCGGTGGATGGTCCTTCATAAATGAGCCTGGTCCCGGATCCCGCCGCACCAATGTATCAGTCCGGATTAAATAAGTTAGTTCGCCTTTGAAATCTTTTCGGAAGCGAAATATACTGTAGTAACGAATTGCAGCGTGTGGGGGCCGCGAATGTGGGATCCCCTAATCCATTCGGGTGTTCGGGAAGTATGTCTCTTCCGGGATCCGGAGCAACCCAATTCGTGCAAAGTATAGAGAACCGCTCTATGTCCCACTCAATAACTACGCCAAGCTCATTCGTAACATACAAAGTAGTTTAGAATGGTATGGCATATGGAATACATTAGTTTTCGTGGTCCTTTTCGTATCAGTTATAAGGTTTTTCTACAAGGAAAAGAGATATGCGCACGATGATCATGACGACAGTAAATGTAAACGATATCCGAAGTAGTAAACTATCTCTCTGAACTTCATACCATGTTTATATAAACATAGGCACCCCTGTAAGGTATGCACTGTCAGCGGTACAATCAAGCCGACGTCTAGGCCGTTGTCGACTCGGAATCTTCTTCGAGGCAGAACATCTTGACCGCAGCTATACAAGCACTGAACCGTGTTCATAGTCAAAAGTTAGGTAGTGTAGTGTAGCATCTACCTACCTGAAAAATGGGTCTTCCTTATGTATAGAAATGCCCAAGATGAGAAGCCGAACAATTTTGGACCCAGCTATGTGCAAATATCATTACAGACTCATGAGTCGTAGCTCCAGGTTTAGTAGTCTGTTGGAACGATGATCAACAATGGCGATTCTGTAGTAGGTCTCTGTCATGTAGCATGTTTCACAACTGATTACAAATCTGATCATCTGCTGCAAGTGTCCGTTTTACTTCTCCTCACAATCTTTCTCCGTCGATGGCGCTCCTGGTCGGATAGATAACATGCAGTGTCAAATGGGAGTTAATTGGATTATCATAAAATAGATGACGACCCTCGTGTCCCTACGTCCTACCCAAGGGCCAGAGTTTGTGGCACTAGTTCGATAAGATAACCATCCTAACGTACGAATAAATTAGCTCATGAACTCCAAAAGACCTGACTCATCATGGATTTCAGAAAGGTGAGTCGAGTTTCACTCAGACTCGGAGGCATATTCAGACTCACCGGATCTTGAACAAACGCGACCTGCTCTAGTATCCCTGCATGGTCGGGGTGGAGCTTTCCATCCGTTCCATTGGCTGAAACACCTACTCCACGTTGTTTCTCCCAGTCAGTGACCAGGAGAGACGTATCACACGACCCAGCATCCTTCAAGATCGGAACGCCATGTGCTCTGAGCCTCGCTACCGCCTGCTGCACATTCGGCACAGTGAAGCCGAGATGTCCAAAACCTAAATTTGGCGGTGTAATACCCGTGGCATAAAACCCGGGCTCATGCTTCTCGGAGCCGTGGATATGGAGCAGTTCTAAGAGACCAAGCGTACTAGTGAGTTTGGCGGTGGTATCAATGGCGAACTTTGCTGGGTCGGCGCGATGCTCGTCAGTCTCTGGGTAGGCGAGGTAGTAGATTGTGAAAATGCCGGCGTTTACTCTATAGAGAGGGGTAAGTCCTTGAACGTGGCTGTTGTAGCGAGACCCGAGGTACGGTCTCTTGGATAATATTGTTTCCTCTACAGGTGATCTCATGGGCTGCATGCAAGCAACATTTAACCGCCTTTACTCGATAGACCATCAAGTTCCCAATTGCCTCTTTTCGTGTTGTGACCCCTCATAATTTATTCAACGGAAGAGCGGCAGGGAGATATACCTTATAACAAGAGGCCCAAACAAGGGAAAACAAACAAGTATATGAAATATTGACGAAAGGCTAGGGGTCACGCACTAGCTATGACTTACGAGAAAACCTGTCTCATACCCATCAAGCTAGTATAGAACTCCATGCTCTGCTTAGGATCTCGAATCTTCATCATCGAGTGGTTAAGCTTGTACCCTATAGTCGGATCGTTCGGCAGTATAGGATCTGTAGCGTGACCGTTAAGTGACTGCGTTATTTTGGAATTGGTACCGTTTTCCATTTTGTATCCAATAGAGCGTGTAATATGCTGATCAGAGATATTTTTGCACAGAGCAGGGCCTGGAAGATTTGTTCCGGTAAGACGCCTTTTATATCTCGGCCCACGAGTATTCTTCGACATCCCCTCTTATTAGACTTTATAAAGTAATTCACGGCACTGCATCTCGGGAACGGATAACTCCGGAACGGACTAACGGCCGGTTCAGTTCATTCGTTTTCTGGCACCGTCTCTGGCTAGTTTGGGTTAGAGCGTTACCAGGGTGTTTAATCGTGTTAAACCTCGGCTTTCTAATTAGGATAGAAAAAGGCGGGGATATTGAGTTGAGATTTTAGTTTCTGAATTGTCTATAATTTTATTCCTATCTATTGGCTATACTAAATATTACTTTACTTACCAGTTAACGTTTCTATAATCATGTTTTCAAGTCCCCAAAAGCGAGTAAAATGATTTAGGGAAGAATCTAATTAATGAATAGAATAATATTTCTCAGTCGGATATCCCTATGATACCAGTCTTGAGTAGAGTGTATTGGAGTATAATTACACAGCCTTATGACTCTGTCCAAGCGTATTATCAGGTTAAAAGACATCTTCGGGTTTGCCGGAGCCCAATAAGGCGGCAAGTTCATCCATTGTCCATTCCTGATGCACGTGGCCTTCAGGAACGTTTGTGTTTGTAAAAGGCGCCCTTGTCTTGATGTGAGCAATCGCCGCTTGGGCATTACCATAAGCATATTGGCGTGCATCAGCATCGTAGAGCCATCCTGACATAGGGAATCTCAGGAGTTCCGGATTTCTCTTGACTGCATCCCAATCTGTCTGTTGCCAGCGATGACGGTTTTCCCAACCCAAACGTTGAGTTGGACTTGTTCGGCCGTAGCTGAAGATATCATTGTAAGATTATCGCGTAGGAGGAAGAGAAAGGAAGGTCTGCTCTGCTTACCGCAGTTTTTCGGTCGCCCTCAAAGCGAGTGGTACGTCCTCGACTCCTGTCACATCTATCATTGCGGCGATAATCGCCCCGTCCTCGGTTGCTTGTGCCCCTCTGGCACCAGAGGAAGGGATGTGAGGATGGGCAGCATCGCCAACTAGACGAGAGTTAGTGGTTTTCACGATTATATGCCACCAATGGGCACCTAAACGTGATCTTTCCCTGGGAGTTGGCCGATTTTGCGTGAGGCCTTATATCGCGAATTAAAGAGACTCAACCAGATGATAGCCTTCCGTCATGCTCACAAATGGACTTAGACTTAGCTCTTGCTGAATATAACTTCAGTATTCTATGGAACCAGGTATGTTCACGAATTCTCCTTTTTTTCTCGGATGATACGCTTCTTGATGAAGAATCTTCTATTAACTTTGTGCTCTGATCTTCGATTATTAAATCTGGATTTCAGGTTAGCGAATTGCAATCGGCAGACGCTCATAGACGTCACCTTTATCAAGGCTGTACAAGACAGTGTACTCAAAGGCGTGACGCATCCTATCTAATTTAATTCCTGTCTCCGGTTGCTCGAAACCGCGCTACTCAGATAAAGTATTGCAAAACACTTATGGGAGTTAACTGCGAAATAATTTTGTCTCCTTGACACGCAGTCCACATCCGTATCATGTTCCAGGAATCTAGACAACGTTTTTGAAATTTACTTCTGCCTTAGTACCATCAACATCATTATCGCTGAAACTACAAGCATCTTATGGGAGATTGCGATGGAAATCATTGAAAAGGTCACCACTACTCTTACCAGCAAGGACATACATAGATTTGTATTTGTTGTCACATGCATAGGCTAATATATGGAAGAAAGATCTTAATTATTTCTCATGCATCTTTGGTTTCACTGCTTTGTTATATCTACATTGCTAGAAGCCTGACAACGCGTCTTGAAAGGGTTTTAATGCAAAAGAAATTTGTTTATTCATTGAGACTCTGCAATTTTTCCAATATTAGTTACTCTATATTCTAGTCTCCAAGCAGCAAGTCTTGTGGAGTAGCTCCGCCTGATCGTTACATCTTACAAAATAAAGACGAAAGGGCTTGAACCGAACCGAAAATCAGTGAAAATGCCAATTATTGAGCAACACTGGAAGCCTGTAATTGACGAGACTGTTTTGAGGCAGTTGCGAATATTGCCAAACCGCTGGTGCACATAGCATGAGAGTTCGGGTTTAGCTACCGATAGCATAATGTGTTCGCAGGATCAATGTATAGCTTTAATACATAGGACGAAAACATTAGAAAAGTAAAATTCTTAAATCATTGGTGTTCTTCAAAGGTTAATTACCAATATTGATTATAGAATTAGAGCTAGAGACCACAACAAAATAAACGTAACGAGTCCTTATGTCTGCTTAAGCTCTGACGCCTGCATCCAACACTTCTTGTAAGTGCGCCCACCACATACCCTCAGTTATATTTGCTAAGAAAGCAAGGTCGGGTACCTCATATTGTTGTTGAATTGCGCGCAATTCTTCCGGAAAGTCAGCTTCAGAAGGGAATCGTCCGCGTGATAGAGAGGATTCCACGGTGATTGAGATCCGAAGAAATGCCAATGGGTCTTTAAGAAATATGTCAGTCAATTCGTCTCTTATGAGCAAGCTTCGCGTCGGTGCTGTTATTACATGCCTTCGGCTTTGGTGAGTAGGACTAGTGAAAGCCGGTGCCGGTCCTTCATTAGTCTGGATATAATCCATAGTCCTTTTGATACTTAAAATTACGTCGTTAGTATTTTCAAAACGTGATCGGAATCGCCACATGATATTGATGTATACTTCCAACCCTCTTTGAGTCTTGCGTGATAGTGTAAGGGACTTTGATCTCATATCAAGCAAGTACCAGATAAATGGGAAAGCAGAGACGCCGATACTAAGAGTGTTAGTTCCATTGACGTACAATGGAAGTGTAGTCACTTACAAAGTGTTGGGTAAGAATCAAGAAAGACCCATGTGCTCCAATTCAAATAGATTATCAGTTATGCTACGTAGGAATGCAATCATACTCATCTGAGCTTGAAATCGAAGGCCTTCCTGGTTCTCTTGATTCTTGTCTCGAACCGTTAGGAGCAGAAGGTCATGATGGCACACAAAAGCCTTCGCGGTGCTAAAAGTATTGTTAATGAAGAGCTCAGGTAAATATACATAACTGAGGTAGATAGAGGGACAGGCAGAACATACTTGTAGTATATGCATATCATATTTGTGAAGAGGATTAGAGACTCATGGGCTTCAGGAACGGATGTTAGGACTCCAAATCTATCGAGAGCTCGTTTGTACCATATATCGAGCTCACAGGACCACCGCCTCATTTCTTCATGGTTCGGCTGGACTTTGCCCGCTGTCAAGGGTGTCCTGAATGAAGAACTTCAAGAATATCATTGAGTATGACGGCCAGTTCACAGAGCACTCCGAAAAGGTGTACTAGGTTTACTTTTGTGGTTCTGTCATATACCATGGAACATCCCATCTCATCCGCGAAATCGTCTTGGCTCGGTCCTGGTAGGGAGAAATCAAAGTCCGTGGACTTGATTTGTGGTCTTTGTCGTAATACCAATGCCATAATCCGGTTGCGCAATATGCAACACCACCATAGACGTTTTAGAAATATCTTCTCACGTGAATCATCTTCCATCTGGGTATATAGATGAGCTCCAGCTCTTCTTGAGTAATCAACTGCTTGGCTTAACCAGAAAGCACTGACTCCATCACTGGTGAAAGGTTCGTGATACGTCAGCAGCAACTGTGTTTGAGATAATTAGCATGGGATTCGGCAGCGTTCGAATAAAATTCACCCACCCTAGATCTATTATAAAATTCAGCATGAGCCGCATGAACTGTGCAAAACCCCAGCTTGCGCAGGCTCGCCGAGGAAATGTACTAGAGGATGTATCAATAATTGCTCAAATCCCAAAGGTTACAAATCAAACCTACCGAGCTAGCGAGAAAGAGTATGGCTTGAAGAAGGAAGAGCGGCACTCGCTTTTGAGAAGGTGGTTGTACGGTGTTTGTACAGAACATGTCCAGAAATTCCATCTCATCCATAACGGGGAGTACTGGATGGATGTATAAGAAGTAGTGCCTAATAAACACTTCAAGTATGGGTTTGGTAGGAACAAAAACATCCTAGCTCCTCAAGAAGTGAAGCAGCGAAAGGTTCGACACGAGCTAGGTTATATGCCTCGATGCATTGATAATGGGAAAAATGAACAAATGTGTCGCTCATATGCGTCGAAGAAGCCAAGGAAATTGCACAGCCCTCATAAATGGGCAGTATATCAGCTTTCCCCGATGAAAGTCCACCGGACCGTGTCGAGCCGGAAGATGGACTTGTAGTTTCAACATTAGATGAAGACTGATTCGAATGTAGAGTTTCCTGCCGACTCGTGTCTAACAATTCAGCTAGTGGCCTGACAAGATCATGTGCAATGGATGTTTTTGCCGGATTAACACTTTCCTGAACAACAGGTTGGGCCGAATTGTCTTGCAATTCAGAGTCGGACGGTTGTTGAGTGCTGGAAGTTTGGATTAGAGGTAAAGACATCGGTGTCTGCCGCGGTTGCCGCTGATTCAATCGAGGTGTTAAGAAATTTAACCCTGGACAGGGAAACCTGCGGCGTGAATCATTGCTTGATCAGCATTGTGCTTATTCTCTCATAGAAACATATAGTGCTTGAGATTGTAGGAAAGATATCGATTACCGTTTTTGTGCCCTTGGTATGACGGTACAATCTTGGTCATCCAGTCTGCAGTTAACACAAAGCATGCCATGCACCGAAACATTGCATCGGACCTTGCGGAGTTGACAATGAATACATGCGATTCGGGCACGTCTCTTAATTGGTCTAGAGGACTCCTCCTCCTCTAAGCCGTTTTTTTGGACTTCCGTCTGCATATCGGCCTCGTCGGTCCGCAAAACTCATTCCCTCTGTCTGTAATCTTGTTGATCAAGGATATGAGGTTGATTTTGTAACCCCTCACCATGCTTGCCTCGGCTATAGTACAATGGCAGTCGCCGAGACGTAGCAGCCGGAATTGCCGGAACACAGCTAACACTTTGGGATGGGTCATCAACATTGAACTATCAGTGAGTCTAGTGGCTATGCTAGAGAGCCTGCTTCTTCTCGAATTGACAACAAGACATCAATGTACTGGTAGTCTATTGCACGCGTTAAGTACTCTAGAAGCTGTGATAATGCGTGATGAGAAGGCATATTAACACTTGGAAACCACTTACCCGTAAGATCACGTAAGGCATGAGACCTTATTATCGATAAGAGTAAACAATGTCACCTCAAATATATAGCTATATAGAATATATCTGTTCACGTGGTTGTCGCTACAAATTAATCCGGTTAGTTCAATCACAATTGCCAAGAGATGTTATCAATCAATTCAAGAAAGCCTCCAGACACCCGTTAAGCAGTTCATTGAATTGTATTGTCTCGAACTGACTGAATTGATTATTCCGAAGTCTGGGTAAATTGATATGCCTGGTCAGGCCACTAGTGTCCCAAATTGCTGTTAGCGTAAGTAGATTCAGACTAGGAACAAATCACCTGGATAGATATTTCAGAATGTTCTGGGTAAAGTGAATTACAAGTTTGCTTTGGTCCTGGTTCCTTGATTGTTAGTCGGAAGACCCTGGAAACGCTTGTAGAGTTCCAAGGCTTGAGGATTAGCAACAGTATTACCAACCGCAGTGCTCTAGTTACTGCAGCTCGTGCTCGCGATATTCAATTAAGCCTAGATATGGTAACAACATCTTTCAAGGGTGAGGAGAGCAAACGCCATCTTGAACTTGAGTGCGCAGACGGTAAGCGACTTGGCTTCAATGGGAAGCAACTGATCCATCCGAGCCAAATCGAGATAGCGCAGAAAGTCTTCTCGCCTTCGGAAGAAGAATTGACATGGACCATCAATGTGACGATTGGGGACGCTAAAGTGGCGGTGGACCAAGGACGGGGTGCTTGAACTTTGGATGGGAAGTTGACATATGTGCCAGTGGTCAGGATGGCTCACGCAACTGTGGCTAAAGCCGAAGCGTGCGGCATTGATATGCAATCTTTGAGAGAAACTTGGAAGAGTCTACAGCCGCAATGGAATTTCATTCACTGTTCAATTTCTCGAATCTCGGTGTCTTAACGCGTTTGCGGGGAAGGGACCCAGTCGACTGTACGTGCGAATAATGATAGACTGTAGCTCCATACAGCATATTTTGAGACCCTTAAAATGGGGATAAGGATCTGCAAAGCTGACATGGTGTGGGTTGTTGAATGGTCTCTTGGAATGGCCGGGACTCCCAAATACAACTAACATGTCCGTAGTAACAACCAAGCTAATTTGATCATCGGTGTTGGGTTTAGTTGCCTCTGGCTGGCTCGGATACTAATCCAGCTGAGTAGCTTGAAACTATGCATCATAGATTAGACCATGATTTGTAAGATACCGCTAGCTTAACTAGAAATGCAACTACCATTCTCTGATGACTTATATGAGGGCCATCTTGGGTTTAGCACGACAAAACTCTGAGAATACATTGTTGAGTAAGTTTCACTAAACGATACAGAGTAGATCAAGAGACACTAAGCTATCCCGGCGTCGAAGCCTAACTCCTCCAATATTGATAGCGTATGTTCGCCCAGTGCAGGAACTGCGCCAATGCTCACCCCAGAAGCTGTAGCAACACCAGGAGGTACGAGCGCCGAGACGCGACCCTTGGGCGTATCAACTTCAGTCCAGCGGCCTCGCGCACGGAGTTGCGGGTGGTTCTACACATTTCGCATCGTGTTAACAGTCGCTTTTGCAGTAGACGCTTTATCCAGTTTTACCCGGATCTCTGCTGTGCTAAAAGGTTTAAAAGCACCGCGAATGACCTCCTTGAGCTCCTCTCGGTTCTGCATTCGTAGCGAGTTACTAGCGAAGCGAACATCTTGGCTCAGTTCCGGCTTCTCCAGAACCGATTGACAGAAATTGTTCCATTCTCTTTCATTCTGAATACCCAAAGTGACGGATTCCCCACCGCCAGTTTCGAATGGACCATAAGGATAGATGGTCGCATGAGATGCTCCTGTTCTTCTAGGTGGCGGTGCTCCTTGATATGCGCAGTATAAAGGGAAGCTCATCCACTCCACCATACTCTACAACATGGAGATGTCCAATCGGTATCCTAAGCCAGTCTTCTGGCGTTGCATCAAGGCTGCGAGGATGTTGGTGTATGCATACATGCCTGCGGAGATATCGGCAATAGAGATGCCAACTTTTGCAACTTCATTTTCGCTACCAGTGATAGAGAGAAGACCAGCTTCACTCTGCACAAGCAAATCATAAGATTTCTTCTCTCTATACGAACCACTGTCACCGTAGCCAGAGACATCGCAGACAATAAGGCCGGGGTTCTTGGGCTTCAGAGCTTCGTACGACAAACCTAGCCTTGCGCTTGCACCCGGAGCTAGGTTTTGAACGAGGACATCTGCTCTGTCGAGGAGTGCCATGAGCACTTTCATATGTTCAACGCTCTTCAGGTCCAGTGCCAAACTTTCTTTAGACCGGTTGAGTCACACGAAATGCGAAGCAAGCCCATCCACTCGAGAGTCGTAGGTACGAGCAAAATCTCCGACACCAGGTCGTTCCACCTTGATAACTCGGGCACCCAAGTCTGCGAGCTGTCGTGTGCAGAATGGCGCTGCTACAGCATGTTCAAGGGAGACTACTGTGATGCCATCGAGCGGCCTGAGATTTTCGGTTGCAAGAGCCTGTCCAGTCTTTGAATTTTGTTAAGACATTGATCGACAGTGGGCGCGAGCAACCGTAGTAGACCAGGGACTCTGAGGTATCCGAGTGCATCGTTGGATCTGAGACGCCGCTCCTCGTGTGAATAAGCAGAGGGACATACTCGTCTGGTGAAATGGTATCACTCCGCTTGAAGAGTATGGGGGATAAAACGATGTACTCGCTGATTCGTCTACCGGCTTATCTGACGAAACCTTCACGACGGCAAGGATCCTACTTAACTCATCGGACGTTTAGTAAAAGGACCAACCGAGGGCCAGGATTTGTATATAACCGGTCTTGTGTATTGCTAGGATCGGAGAAGCAGGAGATCTAATCTTAAGAGGATAAAAGAAAGCCGCGACTGTCTTGGTTTCCCCATCCTGGCTTTAGTTTTCAACACGCATTCCGATATCGCACAGGGCTATCTCCATTTGTACGCCAAGGAGACGAAAAGTCTCATTGTCGCCTTGCTACGTTGAACGACACCGTTGTGGGGGTTGACCGGGTGGAGTAGCTCGAAAGTGCGGAGGCGGAGAGGCGAGAAGTGCTCATTCGGCAGTATGATTGGTGTCTTGTCCTTGGTTCGGCTATATGAACACAACTTTGCCATCATGGCGTCAACCCAGCAACTTCGCACAATATAAGTCATTTACTTCACATTTACTCACATACAAGGTGCACATCTACTTACCTGATTACTTCATGATTCCGAAGAAGGGACTTGTTGCCAGCCATCTCATACCATGTCACTTCACAACACATCGTGCCTGCGACGCGCAAGTCGACTCACATTCATGAATCTATCCTTTATGCAGCCATCAAGAAGGCATGCCTTCTCTGCAACTAGAGCGTAGCACATAATGAGCATGGTCGGTTTTAGGGAGAATCAATTCATGGTCCGCGAGGCTGTGAGCCAGGTTTGCGCAGAGTTTCCAAATACATATTGGCAAGAACGCGACCAAGATGAGAAAGATCCTAAGGATTTTCATGCTGCGCTCGCAAAATCTGGGTGGCTAGGTATTGCGCTTCCAGAGTGCCTAGGCGGCTCTGGTTTGGGTATCTCGGAGGCAACTATCATGATGTAAACGATCGCTGAGTCCGGAGCAGGCATGGCCGGTGCACAGTCTGTCCATGCAAATTTGTACGCTACTCAACCGTTGGCGAAGTTTGGTTCACAAGAACAACTTCAGATAACAGTTCCTAAGATCGTATCTGGACAGACACGCGTTTGTTTCGGTGTAACAGAGCCAAACGCCGGGCTCGACACTCTTCGGCTTGCAACTACCGCTAAAAAGAACTCCGATGGATCCTACAGGGTAACTGAACAGAAGATCTGGATCACCTGTGCTCAGGTCGCGTCGAAGATGATCCTCCTTGCCCGCACAACTCCGCTAGAGGAGGTTCGAAACCCGAGTGAAGGTCTTCCATTATTCTGCATTGACATTGGTGACCGCAAAAAGCCTGGCCTTGATCTCCGCAAGATTAAGAAGATGGGTAGCCGCGCTGTTGATGCCAATGAGGTCTTTTTCAACAACTATCAGATCTCCGCAGACTCGCTCATTGGTGAGGAGGGCAAAGGCTTTAAAATGATATTGCACGGAATGAACGCTGAGCGCTGATTGCTAGCTGGAGAAGCTTTGGGACTAGGCTATGCTACTCTGAAGAAGGCCAGCGAGTACGCAAAAGAGCGTGTTGTCTTCCAACGCCCAATCGGCCAGAACCAGGCTATTGCACATCCCTTGGCAGATGGATTTATGAGACTTGAGGCTGCGAAACTAGCAACATATCATGCTGCCAGATATTATGACCAGAGCAAGACAGATCGTTCGGTGCGACAGGACGAGATCAGAGTTGCGGCAAACAGTGCGAAGTACTTGGCAGCGGAGGCTGCTTTTACAGCCTGCGAGAGAGCAGTCTTGACGCACGGAGGTATAGGGTACGCCATGGAATATGATGTGGAAAGATGGTTCAGAGAGTGCCTTGTACCTAGGATTGCACCCATTAGCAGAGAGATGATCTTGAACTACATTAGCGAGAGGGTACTGGAGTTACCTCGGAGCTATTGAGAGTTGTTCGAGGTGGCGCATATTCCGATAGAGAAGTTCTACCAAAACCTATATAGCGTACATCAAAAATATCTTGTTGAGCGTGAATGAAAGTATACTTCTTGGCTAAATTTGATCCCTTTGTGGTCCTGAAATCTTCAAGCCTGGCCTCCAATGCTATGTGTTACAAGGCTGGGAATATTATTCTAGATAAAAAATCAATTCAAATACAAATATCTACCAGGAAATTCCTCCTGCAGTTCTCCACGAGGACTTTATACGTTACGTGAGCTTCGCAACTTCTTCAAACATGTCGCCTACGGAAATACCATCCACAGCTTAATAGACAATCACGTCCTCTTCCTTATCAGAAGCAGCAATCAGTTTTCTATCCTTGATACCCAGAAAAACTCTGAATAGCACCAGAGTTGCCCACCGCAATTCATAGTTGAGGGGCGATGACCTTGGCAGCCTGGCTGACCTGCAAGCTATTGTTGGCGTAGCCGCTGTAAACAACAGCGCACAATGCTCCAGGAGCGACTAGTAGAAATTTGGCCAATGGAAATATTATACTCTCAAATTCCTTCTTCGACCTCAGGCAGCTACTTCTAGATACTACGCAGCCGGCTGTGGAAAGATCAGGGGGGCCGGAATGCAAGCCTCTTAGCAAACGCAACAACTAAAGAATTCGGAACAGGGTTTTTTCACTTTCACTAGACGCTTTCGCTAGTATCGTGAATGCCTTGTTCAGGCTTCCTATGGCTATAACGGCATGCTGCACGCCTATATATCATATACAGACCTATTCGCGAAAGCTGGCAACATACTGACTAAACTGCTATAATTGGGATCGCTATGGAGAAGGCTCGCTCAAAATATGTCATTTTCCGGTACGACAGTTTCTTCGCCGCGTAAGGACACACTTTACTAACAAAAAAACTCCTCCGAAAGAAACGCACCCATTGAAATGGTGAGTGTCCATGCAAGTTTTCACTGTTATCACGGTATTTTGTTGCAATAGGAGTGTACGAAGATCATTTCATGCTTTCAGCGACCCGCCTGCTGTTCCTACATCCTCGGCAGTGTTATTTTGGTGAGATTATCGCATATTGGAGTTGAGGTAGCGTTTTCATGAGGTGATCTTTCGGCTGTCATGCACAGTCTACTAGACTTTGCTGATGGAATAATTGCGTTATCAATTCCTTGAAGGTTACGGCGGGATGCCCTGAAATTCACTCATTCTAGCCAGGCCTCCCATATACAACTCAATAGTCTTGTCGTCATCTTATCAGATGGGTGCTCCACTGTATGACTCGGTCGTCAAGGGAATGTTTGGTCGGCTGAAATGCGGCATAAAAGCCGGCAAAGCCATATTGCGGCGCAATTGCTATTGGCATGCCCCAAACAGTGGGGCCGTTGGCAAGGCTTGATTTAGCTTGACTTGCTTGTCGTCAACTCTAATCGACAGGTATACACAGTAGAACTTAGATGTAGTACATTCGTAAAGTTGATGCAGATAGATCATATAGGAGAAGTTCCTAAGCACCAGAGATTAAGCTGAGTTGCGTGTCCCGTGTGGTCGATTATCGTCTATGAGTAATTAGGGTACACGGCTGCTTTCGGAGTAAGGTTGTGCAAAACGGGGAAGTAGATACCCACATCCTCTCCCTAAGCATCCGTTCGGGAGGTATTCCTTAGCCGCCTGTGCGGGTCCCATTTCCGTAGGTACATCCACACGCCGGAAACCTTACGTAGAGTTTACCCCACTACGGCAAATATCTCCGACCCAATACAAGCTAGTTTGTCTTGCAATATACTTTGTCTCACAGCATTTATGCCCGTTCGAGGTACATCTCCGTATCTTAGGTTCCCGTACGGAGACTTGTCGTAGTGGCGCAGCTAAGCCTACGTCGCAACGGGCGGATCCCCCCAAGCGAATGAGTTCCATAACTACTTAGGTGTGCTATATTGACAGGAATCGTCCCCCTGCACGTGTGGGGCGTGCGGGGGAGCATTCTGTACGGGATGTTGGGCTTGACGGGCGTCGGGGTAATGCCAGCCATTAAACCGACGCTCACACCAGCTAGCCAACAGGCCTACAGATGAACAGGACAAGCCAAGTGACCTCGTTATCGTGGCATGCACGAGGAATAGTTTTGGAAGAATCTTCGAAAATAAGTTAGCAAGAAATCTTAGACTACTAAGTAAGGGTTACAAACACCACAAGTATATAGTATTAGGCAATGGGTCCCGAAAGCTCATTGTGCTGAATTCCAGTTTGAACTGAATATTTAAGCCCAAGACATCTCTGCTTACTTCTCTAAGCACGACGAACCGTACTTAGGAAGCAGCTTGTTCAAAGCATACTTACTTATCTGCGAAAAGTAACTTAGGGCTCTGACATCCGGTATCTAACATTGTAACTAGTGAAGAGAACATTGAAATTCAATTAGTTCAACATATAATTATTGTTGTACGAAAGAAAGGAATTATAGTAGGAGAGTGCTCTTATGATTAAGGATAATAAGCGCAAAGAAAGAGTGCACACTAAGATAGGCGAGCTATCGCAAAGAGGCTGCAGAAGCTGCGGTAACGCGAGATATAGCACGCGGATATATCAGCAAGAGGCAATAAGAGATTTCCACTAAAATGGATTAACAAGCTTGTAGAGGTTTATCGAAACGTACATATGCTGGCCTATGATAATTATGATTTTTAGTAAGGCCTCTACATATTCATGATAAGTTTTCCTCGTCATACACTTGCCCAAGTCGCTGATAAATTTTAACGTAGAAATCGGGCCACCCTTTTTACTGGTTTCTGCGGACCCAACTCTCCTAACCATGCTGGTTAAGAGGGAAGCCACAGATAGCTAGCCTTTAAACAAACAATATTGAAGATATGAATGGATTTAGATTATGACTAAATAAGTGCAGCCATATCACTTTTCAAGGAAGACTAAAGATACACACATATGAATTGGCAGACGCAATAGCTCAGTATTATTTACGTAACGTCGAAATCGGCTGCCTAGGTTGATGGCTGTCTATGTGCCAGCCGGTTCTGAAGTCTTGAACTACCATGCCTATATACGCAACTTGATACAAATGCTTAGTTCAAAGCTTTAAGTAGCTGGGGGAGCATAACCTCCTCTGTAAAGCCCCAAGTTGCAGCTGAGCTCTCTGATTCCCATGCCGCACCAGTCCAGAAAGTGTTGTACTGGCTCTGCATGGCATTCATCTCTTTGTAGAAGCCGTTTGCTACCGCCTCGCGAGAAGGGTACAAGAAGTAAGGAGAGTGATCCAACAACCCGTTGATGGTGGGCTTCTCGCCTGGGGGTGATGTTGCGTTCATCGCCTTCTGAACAAATTCGGCCCTGGCCTGCAGGCTACTGGCCGCTTCCTCGCGGGTGATTTCCTTTGCACTGCTCCACCAGAAAGCGCGAGCTTCGACGTCTTTGATGCCAGACTGCGAAATGCCGAGCGTTTCTGGCAGAGGTGGGATGCCTCCTTCAGCCGAGGGGTCTACAAGTTCGTAGCCGGTATCCAGAGGCAGTCCGGTGCCGTTGAGAATGCACGTCCAAGTGTGAATGTTTGAGAACTCCTTAGTGATCTTGATTTCGTTAGGTCGCAGATCGAGGAACGGTGCCAGGTCGACGTAGCGAGGCCTGATTGCTATGACCAACTTCTTAGCGTGGATGGTTTGGGTGCCGCAGGGTCTCTCAATGACAGCAGTGACACCGTTCGCAGTCCGAGTAATCTTCTTGATATTGCTTTCGAGGAAAACATTTTCCGCTCCTCCCAGTTTGTTGTACGCCGTATTGTAAATGATTTGATTGCCTCGGTTGGAAGTGTAAAGGCGATCGGTGGTGAACTCAAGGGTGCTGTAATATTTCATGATGTGCAGCGTCAACAAGTCAAGCGCGTTTCCTGCCTGTACATAGAACACATCGTATGCCATTGCGGTCGCGTTGTATTTCTTGAGCCACTCGCCCCAGGGCAGTAAGAGATCTTCAGGAACCGGATCTGGGAGAAAAAAGCCAGGAGTCGAGAATAAATTTCCATATGACTGCATTTGCTTGAGATAAATCTCATTCGCCGCAGTCGCATTTCCTGGCGCGGGAGCAGGAAGTACTGCACCCGTTTTGTAATCCAAGTACTTTGTCGAGCCTTGAGGGAAGTATCCCTCATAAGGACCATATTCGACTCCAAGCTGGCGGAAGTAGTTCCTCGCAACCGAAGTATTGGTGTAAAGAATAACACCATAGTCTGTTGTTTGATTGGTTTTGGGGTCAATGTACGTCGCCACGTTGCCGCCCAATCGCGCCTCTCTCTCGATCACAGCTACTGACTTTCCGCGTGCTGCTAGCTGAACCGAGGCATAACTAAGGCAGTTAGTGTTTTGGGTTAATGCAAATGCGTATTTTGAGTACTTACGTTCCTCCAGAGCCTCCACCCACAACAATAACATCGCGCTCGACAACAGAAGGACAACTTCTATGCGAGTACGAGGACGCTCCAACATAGGCATTGATTGGCTGTAGTAAGATGGAAGAAACCAATAACGCTGAGGCTGTGGCTGAGACGAACGAGTGCATGTTGAAAACTCTCAGAAGATTGAAGGCAGTGAAGCTTGAGGGTTGACGAGTAGAGTTCACAAGCGTTGTAGTCGTGGTAAGAAATGTTCAACATAACGAGCGTCTTAAAAGCTGCAACGATGAGCCTCTTGAGGCTGAACCCATATTTCTCTGATTGTACATTGAAACCAAAACAAGGTTTCGTTTCGATTTCCCTCAGCCATTCTGAATAGCCTTCCGTACTCGATTGGGATCTACTCGGGAACGGTGGTTCGACTCCACACAACGGCCCGATTGTAAAGCCCCTATACAGTAGTATTGCAATTCCCGGCTACGTTGCCGGTACATTACCGAAGGCAATGAGGCCAGGGTAAAAAAAGGCCGGTTTTTAGACCGGGTTCGCCGACATGGCCCACTTTACATGCGTTTACCACCGCCTGTTTGGAAAGGTGATTCAGAGAAACTGTACATGACTAGGCAAGACTCTAGACATCGATCTCACACAATAGCTGAGTGATATATTATAAATCTCCATCTGGGCGGTGCAGATGAGTCAGTCAGGGATGTCCTGCTTAGGATATTGGCAAGGAAGTTGTTGAATTTGGTATTGGGCTAATTCGACTTAGCTTCGACGAACGTCACAGCATCATTCATGTAAAAATTCGCACTTTCTATCTCATTTTAATTAGCAAATACATACATTGAGTACGAAGATCAGCGAATTGACAAAATTAGAACTCGCGTTAAAGACTTTCGATATAAATGTCACGGGCCGGGACGGCCGCCAAAAGTGACAGGTATCAAAACAGTATATAGTACAAGTTGTCTATCTCGGAACTGTGGGAGGTGAGGCTAAGTACAGAATCCCAGCCAAGGCGCTATACCCAAACGGGGTAAGCGAGCTCTGGCAATGGCAGCGCCATAACAATAACATGATGCAACAAAGCGTGTACACGCAAATGCAAGCGCTGTATCTGCTACGTAACATCACTCAATGCAGATAGTGGAATAAAAATTCATTTGGATAGTTATTGATTTCATTGGTCCCCGTAACAAAGTAACTCGAGGAAATATTCGCAAGCCAAGATGGCATCAGCGATTTGCCAAGCCAGAGTAAACACTACTTACACAGAACGGGGAGTAATCTAGTCCATCGCTGCACCATCGCGATTGCACACGTTGGAAAGCAGATATCAAAAAGCTTAATTCAACGTTTTTCAATGTCACCCACGCAGCGATCGAGGTCTTCTCGAATCGCACGAACAATTTGGCGGCCCCAAGGCAATTCTTTACCAGAAAGCGACGCACCAGGGCTTGAGAAACGAACTTCAAATGCTCGAACAACGTTGCCTGCCTTTTGGAGCTCCCTGAAGAGCACTGCTCGATGCAGTATTGTGGAGTCATCGTCGTCGAGATCGAGGGCGCCAAAACGTATCTTCATCGCCCTTAGGTCTACCCTTTCCGAATTGTACGTCCTGGTGACCACGACGTTGTACCAAAACACGATTTTAGACAGTATTGTCAAATGAAGTAGCGCTATGTGCGAATTCTCGGCACAGTGGCATTCTAGCAGCTGCGTCAGTTCGTTCAGTGCGGCCTTGTTGGTAGCCAGCACAGTGTCCATGGAATGGACCGGGTGTATTGAAGCTTGTGAGGTGGTGTCGATAGCTGAATTGGGTGATAATCCAAGGGTACTGTCTTTCCATTCTGATGTGCAGAGTTTTGGGCGATACAACAGTGATCTCAGGACAGCAAGAGCTCGTGATTCGCATTCCACGGCATGCTCGGTGTTGTTCTTTGATTGCTCCACCCCGCAATGGCTCAACACGTCAGCGCTTACTGTGCCCTCCCCCTCCATCAAATTTTGGTCCAACAATGATGTGCTGGTATGAAGAATCGAAGGTGTATCACTTTGTGACATACAATCTGAGCTTCCGAAATTGGACCATAGTAAGAAGTTGGACATATCCAGCTCGGATTCTGAAGCATATCGGCTATTCGTATTCTCAGAGAACGGACCTAGGTCCAGAGTGTCCCATGAGAGCAAGTCAACAGACTGTTGCGTAATGCAAGACTCTGAAGCAGCTTTCGATGGTTGTGAAGGGATGACTTCGGGCTCGCTTGCGATGGATGAAGGAGTCGGCTGCTGGATGGTTGCTCGAGACCGTCTTGGCCGTCTGCCGTGTCGTCGAGAAGGACTGTACTGACAATACTCTTCGTTATCGAGACATCTTTGGCATGCTGGGTGACCTTTGTCGCATTTAACCTTGGCTGTCGTGCAGCTGTCACAGGCTTGGCGAAGTTGTAGTTGATTAAAGCCCATAGTTGTTGTCTTTCGGGCTGGACGGCAATGTGATATGGTAAGGAGGGTGAGATCAAATCTTGTTTAAGGTTTCTGTTATCACGATGTAGAGATATACCGTTTGTTGGAATGTGTCCATGACAGGAGTAATCCTTGAACCTCGGGGGAATGATGCAGAGTGCTCGACTGCAACTGCTTGGATAGCCATACTTATGACAACCAAATTGTATTAGCATCAGGCATTCCGACCATAAGGCCCTTCTCTCAGACGGATCGAGGTATGGTGTCCGGTATACACATTTGATCAAGTCTAGTACTAATAGCCAGGGTACTGATGAGAATTATCGAACCATGTCTCGCGATAGTCGCGTTCTAAACTTTGTTTGATAGAGCTTGCGTAATGCACGGCTCTCCTTTCAGCGGCAAGGGATTTCGGCGGAGTACCATCTTGCCTAGTTTGCTGTATCGATCGTGGTCCTTTGCCACTCCTTCCTTGGTCAGTGAAGTCTAGTTTCAGACGCATACCACTATGTACTTTTCGGTTTTAGCACCACTAACACGACTCAGAAGCTTCCCAAGCTTAATTACGTAAGCAAGGAACGGTTAGGCGCAAACGATCCCGCGCTGATTTCATACCACCCAATACGCTTGATTAATACAAATGTATCGCTGTGTAACTCTGGTGATTGCTCTCTGACTGCTTACTGGGTACATACATACGCACCTGCCGGTGACCCAGTGGCCAGTATGCGTGATAATCATCTAGCATCGTGGGTCGATGGCATTGCATAGTCGATTAAATCAATTCCGATATTACTATAGACATAACATGTTAGGGGCCCTAGATAACTGTTAGCTGGTCTCGACTGCTCTCGCTGCGTACGGCCAAATGACGTGGTGCGCCGCCTTTCAGCCGCACCTGTAGAGGTGCCGGACGGCCCATCCGGCACCTCTACCCCACGTGTAGTCCGGCACTGGCAGCTACTATACATGAATGTGAGTAGCACTACCCTTAGTGCATTATGCACGTTGCCAGATAGGCGGCAGCGCTAGTAGCCGAGTGCATCCGCTAAAAACAGCATGCTAGGAAAACATTTATGTACTCATGCAACAAGGGCGCGTAAAGGCTTGACAAGGCTTATCAATGCTTACGACAACTTATCAGGAGTTGCCCTTGCGAAATATATGAGGCCCATGTGATATCAGCATGTGTTAACGACTAACGAACCAGATTTTGACATGCGAATTTGGTAACGTTCTTACTGATGGTGAGATATCTTAAGATCGAAACATCCTAGGTGAGAAAGTATATTAGGACTCTAATGCCTCTCTAAAAAGAGGTCTATGTAGTTTTCTGTAGTATCGTGAGTGAGCCGATGCTAGAATGAAGGGGTAAAGAGCCCCGCAGGTGTTACTACCGACGATACCCACTACCCACACAAAAGTGGGTAAACTACCTACAAGCTTTGACGATGTACGCGTTGGCACGATGATGTTTCAGCCTTATCCAACGACAACCCTAAGAATCACATTTGTTCATTATTGTTATGTGGGGATTTAATCTATCTTAGTACTATATAGAACATAGGAAGTGACTTCTGCCAGCTTAATTGCTCGTCCTGGTTAGACCCATTCATTAGCCAGTATATACTCTTTTAGCGTCGTTCGAGGCACGTCCGGGAATTTCTCGGCGTCGACAGGCTCAATGTTATAACATCCTTCATCCAAGAATACTGCGTACACCAAACCCACAATGTTTTTGAACCTCTTATGCAGCTCTCCATTCCTGATCGCATCGTCCCTTGCCTGCTTGATCATCTGCTTACAAGTCGTGACATCCATAACGTGATTGATATGACACTTGCTTCCTCGCAACTGCTCATATGTCTCCTTCAAATCTAAGATTGAAAAAACGTCTGAGCAAAATCGGAAGTAGCCGCCGTTTTCAGCACCGTCGCTCGTTGTGAGAGCAACGGTGAACTCCGCCACGTCCTCTTCTGTGCTGAAGGGTGTTGGTGTCTTGCCTGCTCCGATCAAGTTGATTACTCTCTCTCCGCCTTCCTTCCGTACCCACAAGCTTGCGTCGCCTTCAAGCGACCCAGCGCCGGGAACCCCAAAAAGTGTCTTAGCCAAAACACCACAAAATGTGTACAGAGGCTTTATAGGGCTTGTGAGCAGAGCCTGTCTAGCGAAACATATCATTGCATCGTAGCTCTCGATCACTCCAAGGGGCATGTGCTCCCAATCGGTGTTCCAACTCACAGCATGAAACCGCTGGATTGCTGCACGCTCTGCCGCTCGCAAAAGTACGAGTTGAGCGTCTAGCACAAGTCTAGGCTCTTCGTTCCAAGCAACAATGATAGCATCCACACCGGCACACGCTCTGTCAAAAGCAACACTATCGCCGAAGTCGGTCATCTCGACGAAGCTTTCCAATTGAGCGCGAAGATCTTGGGGCATTTTTTCGGCGTTACGTCCCAAGGCGCGGACGCGATGTCCACGCTGTATCGCTGAACGGACGATGTATAGGCCCAACCTGCCTGTCGCACCGGGAATAAGAATGAGCATACTGATAGAGTTTTCAAATTTTCTCTACTCCGGTACTCTAGAGCTTTGTATATTGGTGTGCGAAGAAGAAATCGTGAAGAAGCTTGTGAAATAAAAATTGTGTTTGAGATTGTTCGAGTGCAAGATGTAACAGCTTTTTTGTTGGATATTTAGCACTCTCGAGATATATTGTAGCATCATATGGGCTTTTCAACTGATTCAAACTCCCATCTTACCTCTGGTATGCATCGAACGGTCTTTCAGAGCCAGCTGGCTAGGGAAAAAAAACTATGCATATTGGTCCCCGAGGCCATGTACCCCGCAGTCCCCGAACAAGCCCGTTCGAAAAACATCATGTCCGAAATCACAGATGACTTCGATAATTTAAACGTCATGATCAGTTCTATCTCAGCCGATTGGGAAAATGAAGCCGGTGTTGCGTCGGGAACTCCCTTTTGCCAGTCCACTGTCCCGAAAGCATCACGGCTACATTATGGAAAGCCAAAATGTCAAGGAACGCAGACTACTTCAAAGCCTAAAAGGGGTGAAGAACGTAAGATTGCAGCAGTGCATTCTGGTATCGCTAAGCTCGCTGAACTAAAACACACTATAACATTGACACTTTCGGAATGAGTCCAGCTAAAACAAGACAAACGGTCCTAATTGTGGGAGGAGGATTGGCTGGTCTTTTCTGTGCTCTCGAATGTAAAAGAAACGGTTTCGAAACGACGGTATTAGAATCCAGGCCGGCAATCCAAACAGCTGGTAAGAAAACTCTAGCATGGAAACTACAGCATTATTGCACTGTACTAATTAACCTCTTCAATCAATAGGTGACTTCATCACTATTGGTCCTACGGCTATCAATGCTCTTCGCAGATGGCCGTCTATAGCGATAGCGCTTGATAAGGTCGCCTACAAGCCTGACATCTGGTACCATAAGCAAGATGGAGAGCTAGTTGCTGGTCCAATGCCACCGCACCCCAACTTTGGCCGCATGATATCGAGGCCGGCATTGCACCAAGCTCTTTGGCATGCGCTAGAGGCCGAGAATGTTGACATTCGCTGTAAGACGAAAGTGAAGGGTTACTGGGAGACGGAAGAGGAAGGCGGGGTTGAGCTCGAGGATGGGAACATGCTTCGGGCGGATATGGTGATCGCCGCAGACGGTATCCATTCCAAAAGCTGGACACTCGTATCGGGAAAGGAGCCCGAAATCTACCCGAGCGGGCTTGCGATGTTTCGAGCAGCATTTCCCATTGAACACGCACTAGCGGATCCATCTCTCCGTGCCAAGTGGACGCCGACAGCGGAGAAAGACAAGATGGGATTCTTTCTTTCTCCAACTAGCTTTGGAATCATCCTCTTTGGCCAAAATACTGCATCGTGGGTTTGGCAGCACAATGAAAACCCAGAAACATCCACTGAATCATGGGCTGCAACTTTATCTCCCGAAGATGCTCTCAAACAGCTGGATGCCGAAGGGCACTGGGGCGCCGATCTTCGAGCACTAATTGCCACAACTCCACAAAACCACATTGTTGACTGGAGGCTCATGCGACGAGAGTTGAAGCGAGAATGGGGCTCACCAAAGGGACGGCTAATGCAGATTGGAGATGCTGCACATCCATATCTGCCAACCACTGTGAACGGCGGAACCCAAGCCATTGAGGACGGCGTTTCACTAGCCCGCTGCTTGCGCCTGGCAATCGACAAGCATGGAGCTAGCGCGCTTCCCGCTGGAGCAAAAGTGCATAACTTGCTGCGCATTGATCGAGTGGCAGCCATCGAAACCACGGGAATGGAACGTACAAAGAAACACCGTCAAGTGGACTTTGAGCAAGTGAAGAAAAACCCAGAGTTGATTCGCAACGAGCCTTCTCAGTGGCAGATTGAACATGACCCGCTAGCGTATGCGGAAGAGCGTTTTGATGAATGTTTTGCTTGTTTGGCGAACGGGAAGCCTTTTGTGAATACCAATAAGCCTGAAGGATACGTTTTTGCACCATGAAATTGAGTGTTAACGGACGAAGACGGGTCGTTCTAAGAATACGGGATTACGTAGCGCATGTATGGATGTCTTGAACAAGTTACACTGGTTCAATATGCACAGTGATCTCTGGCATATGCAAACGTGAACCCCAATATGTTGTCGCTTTGAACATTGGGAAAGTATCTTTCGTTGGAACTATCGCAGATGAAGAATGTTAGTCTAAATGGTGCAGATTTTGTCCATGAAAATGTCTGAGATTTGGCAGCAACTGAACTTGATATCCATCAAGATGCACACAGTTCGGACAATCGCTTCGTTACTGTATGGATGGAAGAAATCTGATTCTAGGGAAAAGTGGCTGAAAGGTAGTGGGAATCATATTCGTTCTAGCTAGCTAAGCATCAAACAAGACCTTATTCTGTCTGACCCATTCCTCGAGACTTGTGGGCTGCTGGCCGGTGTAGAGAGTGATGTTCTTCACGCCTTCCTCATAGTTGGGAAAAACTTCCCCATTGCCCTTGTCTATGCCTTTGGTACCCATAACTTCCACCATATAATCCGCGAATATCTTGGGCATACCGCTGTTCATATACTTGTCATGCCCTTCCTTGGGACCCAGAATCGTGATCTTCAAGTCTTTTTGAAGAACCTCGCCGATTTTCGCAATACTGTCGTAATGCGAAAAGATTTGGGGCCCGTAAAGGTACACCTTTTTCTGTCCGTTCTTCGGGCCTGAGACAACAATAGTGCCAATGACTCTCCCAACGTCGCTCGGTACAATGTTATCTTCTTTGAACTCGGCACCGTATAACTTTACGTCGTTTGCAGCTATACCCGCCTTCTCCGATAGTAGGTTAGTAATGAAGCATCCGGGACGTACGGCGACGTAGTCGGAACCAAAAACGTCGTCCAAGTTTGCTTCAACTTGCGCGTGCACGTACGGAAGCAAATCAGAGGATGGGATCTCGCGGAGACCTTTGTCGACGAGAATAGTAAAGCTGCTCAGAAAGACCACAAACTCGATGCCCGCTGCTTTCATTGCCGTAATAGCGCCGTGGAGGTGATCAGATGCGTGATGAACGAGGTAGATGAATGCACGCTTGGCGCCAGAAGTCTTGACTGCTTGGCTCACGGTTTCGGGGTTTTCCAGGTCGGCCTGGATCCGGTGGTAATCACCTGCAGATTCGGCCTCTTTCGTGAGGCCTGGGATGTCTTTGGAGGTGTTTCGCATTGCTAGCCAGACCTTCGCCCCAAGTTCTCCAGCTGTTCGCGCGACGACAGATCCAACCTGGCCCGTCGGGCCGAATACTATTACTGAAGTCATGGCGCTGGCAAAGGGCAAAATTCTGGCAATAAAGATGATATTATCTGTGTTTTTGCGTTGAATTGTGCTGTTGTTCTTTATGCGTTTGCGAAGCTGGGACGAATGCCCAGCCCCTCACCTGAGGCACAGAAAGCTTGATTTGGCGGCTGAGCGCCAATCCCGGGAACGCTTCGGGGATCTCGGGAATGCGGACGGGAAATGGCCGGGATTAGCAGCTGTTTCTCAAAGCATGCGCGAATGAAATATCCCCCCAAAGAAAAGGTACGATTATGTGCATATCAATCTTCTTGTTCTTCACTCTAACTCCGTTTGTCGTCTATGCCCTTATGTCGAAAACTCCCGAGTTCATTGTGTAATACCAAATGGGTTTTCCGCACGATTCAGCCTTGCCGCAAGGGTCATTGATCCTTGTCACCGGCGTCACCGGTTTTCTTGCGGGGGTTATAACGGATCAACTGATCCGCCATGGGTTCCGTACGTATACAGTTGACATTTCTTGCAATAGCGGCCGGTGAACGACAGGGGTTAAAGCTAACGATCGCAAATTCAGGTGTCCGTGGTACTGTACGAGACCTCGACAGTGACAAGGCATCTTGGGTAAGCCGATCGATGCTTGACCAATCATAGCTTGAGACTGACGTGAACACATCTAATAGATGCCTAGCCATTTCGAAAAGCGATATGGTACCGGGAAATTTGAAATGGTAGAGGTGAGAAACATGGAAAGCGAAGGCTGCTTTGAAACTGCCATCAAAGGTGTGTTCCAAGCTGCTGTCCGAAGTCGCGCCGCTGTAGGTACAACCAAACATCGAGATCACTGACTCAGTAGCAGACTGCAGCGGAGTGATTCATGTCGCTAGTGTCACTGGGTTTGAATCTGATCCTAACAAAATAATTCCGCCGAGTATCGCCTTCATCGAGAACATTCTCACCGCAGCCGAAAATGAGCCTTCGGTTTCTCGATTCGTACTGACATCTTCTTCTGCTGCCGCCAGTCAGGATAGAATCAACGAGGTCTACGATTTGACCCCAGCCATGTGGGCCGACTGGGCTGTTGAAGAGGCCTGGGCGCCACCACCATTCACAGTAGAGAGAGCACGTGCAAACTACTATGCATCCAAAGTACTTGGCGAGCAGAGACTGTGGAAATATGTGAAAGAGCGCAATCCCCAATTCGTAGCGAACTCGGTGTTGCCGGACTTTGTCATCGGGCTTGGAGTAGATCCCGAAAGGCAAGGCTTTGTGTCCTCCATGGGTCTTTTCAAGCAGATGTTTGATAATTCCGGTGAAGGATGGAAATCTTTCGGTCCCCAGTGGTGTGTTGATGCAGTCGATGTTGCCCTTTTGCATGTTGCCGGCCTTGTATGCCCTTATGCAAGTAATAAACGTATCTTTGCATACGCGCATCGCAAAACCTGGTCGGACTTTATTGCACGGTTGCAGAAGATGTATCCCAATCATCGTTTTCCGAGTAGGTGCTTCAATGGCTCTTAACTTGAAGCACTCTTTGGCACATCTTAGCTGACTAGGAATTCAGAACCAAGTCCGCGAGAGGGACAAGATCTTTCTAATGTCATTGGGCGAGACTTCGCCAGAAGCCTTTTGGGATGGATGGGTAGTTCCGATTGGAGACCTCTGGATGAATCACTCAAAGAGGTCTCTGATGTTATTTTATCAAATAAAAGTGTCGTGTGATCTTGGTATATGCACCGTCATAGTTAAGATCGTATCTAGTTAGATATAAGAAACAGAACTCATGTACAGAACATGTTGAGCCGAGAAAGGAACTAGATGCTGAAATCTTGAATGCTCGCGGGAAAGTGCATATGTGTGTTCATTACATGGTATCCTGTGAAATCCACAAGGTGAGCCTTAGTTCCAGAGTTTTGGCTGTGTTCGAGATCAAGCATCTCTGCGCAAGCGCTTTCGAATTTCCAGGCATAAACAGTGGCTGCAATATGCAACCGTATCCGAGATCATGTGCTTCTGTAACATAACAATGTGGATCACATCACATATCATTTATACGCGTTAGATGTAGTGTCCATAGATATCACCAAGAGCAAAAAGAGAAGCGATAATGTAGTCGAAGGCTTGTTGACTGAAATTTGATTTGGGAAAGGGCTTAGTGGGTGCCGTTGGTATGATTTCCGTTCGTCTCACCTTGCCCGAGAACAGCCTCAATTACGGAAAGTTCGCTGCCAGCCGGGCGTCGAATAGCCCGAACAAACAACCTCGGATCTGCCTTTCTCAACATATCCCTCCACTCTTCTTCCTCCCGTTCTTTGGCATTGAAAGTACCGATCATCATTAGGTCTTTTTGGCGTAACGCAGCTTCATGTGTACTTGACCCAGAACCAGGCTTAGGAAGTACCATATCCATTATCAACAGGCGGCTTGTTGGTGCCATAGCATCCACGAGACGCCTTAATATTTTGATTGCGTCGGCATCCGGCCAATCATGCAGGATCGTACGCAGAAGGTAAAGATCTGCCCCCGGATGAGGCTGCGGCTGAAAGAAGTCATGCTCGCAAGCTTTAACACGCGATCGAACATCATCTGGCAGATTGCCGATGACGCTCTGAGCGTTTGAGATAGGGCCAGGGAGATCCTCAACAACGACATTTAGGCGTGGGTAAGCTTTCGCTAGCATGATAGCGGTAGACCCACTACTTCCACCGACCTAAACGACGCCGTTAGCTAATGATCAACGTTATCTGTAGAATTATCAATCTTACATCCACAACCTTTGCATTTCCTAACGCTTTCCAATCAAAGGCTTCTAACAAGTACGATGCATTCGATCCGGTGTGGGAGACTGCTCGACTCTTCATGTAATCCTCGAAGTTCTTCTGAAGATAAGGATGTGCTTTCAAATGTGCAAAGAAAGGAAGATCTGTGTTGTTTGCGATGTTGTACGCTGTTTCATTGGGCGCTCGCGTATCTCCCCACTTTTCGGTCGCCTTTACCAGTCCAGCCATGACGGGGATAGTAGCGTTAAACATGTGTCTCAACTGGACCCGCATATGTTCGTCCTCGACGAAAGATGCAGAGAGAGCAGTGTGGGTGAGATTACCGTTCGGACTTTCACAAAGGAAGCCAGTCGTCATCGCCATACGAGCGACAGAGCGTAAGACCGATTCTGGGACTTTGCGGCTCTCTGCAACTGTGTGATATGATACTTCATTTGGAGATAGAGGTATCTGGCCCAATATGTCGAAGTGAGTAAGCCATTGAATACTATAGTATTGTTGCTGCTGGATATGAAGCTCTGTCAGAAAGCTGCTTGGGTCATGGACCAACTTCTTGATCTGGGCGGCATGTTCGATGATCTCATCCCTGGATTCTTTCTTCATCATTGGAAAAAATGTACAGATAGTGGTAAGATAATTGGCGGAAAGTTTCTCAATCGATTGTCCGCTGATATAGAAGACGTTGAACCACCTTATGAGGGAAAGTATCAAGACTCCTAGACCGATAGGCCGAAACTCGGGTAAATCCTCGATGTTTCGGGCACGTTGTAATGCTCGCCGTGCATGTCCCCGAAGGAACCGAGTAGGTGCCTATCGTCCACCACAAGGTACCTATCACCCAATCGGAATTGGCTCTAGCAGTGCTATGAGCAAAAATCGATTGAAAACGCGATGCCGCTACCCCACGGAGCTCATGTCCATGCCCGCGTGCTGTGCCCGGGGTGTTCCCAAATTGTATCGTGTAATCAACAGGTAATGGAGATGGCGGGCTTCACTCGCCCATACCATCGGGTATGTCCAATGAGCCGACAGAACCTCACCACCTTACCCAACCCATTTGAGGGTAGTTCCCAATCTGGAGCGACTCTCATAATTATGTGCCGATGTATGATGCTGCCCTGATATCATTTATCAAGATAAACAGCCTTTCTAGCCAAATCAAAGTCAATTGCACGCACTCCCCTTCCACAGGCTAAGAGAACACGCCACATTCAACTATGGCAGACAACCTGAATATCTATCTCTTTGGAGATCAGACATTTGATGTAGAGCCTCATTTTTCCGGTTTGCTGCAGGCTAGGGACAATCTGTTCTTGCACACACTCCTTCGTGGCGCCTACAATGCCATCCGAACCGAGATATACACATTGCCAACAGAGGTCCGAAATGACTTGCCGCGATTTACCTGTCTCGAGGATCTGGCATCGTGGAAACAGAGCGGGACTGGCAAGCGATGCATCGCGCTAGACATGGCCATGACTACGCTATGGCAACTAGGGACATTCATTCTGTGAGTTACATTATATCAATCCGTTCTTTATATGGTCCTTACTCATTGGTTCAGACAAGCAGAAGGATGCTATAGAGTACCAGACTGGTCGGTCGTCGTTGGTCTATGCACTGGGACTTTTGCTGCTGCAGCGGTAAGCTGCAGTAAAAACACTACGGAATTGATTCCGTTGGCTATCGAGGCAGTTATCGCATCTTTCAAGACCGGCGTGCTTGTACAGGACGTTGCTCGGAGACTTGCTCCTTCACAGGATCTCGATCAGAGCTGGGCCATTCTCATAGAGGGTGCAGCATCGGCTTCGCTTGTAAGCAAGTTCAACGATGACAATGTAGGGCTGAAATCCACCACTTGGTCTCTCGTCGTCAACTGACAATTCCCAAGCCTATGCCATCGATCAACAAACCGTACATCAGCGCCTACGCTCCGAGCGCTGTGACCGTGAGCGGGCCACCCGATTCTATTTCCAGACTGGTTAGTTTTGGAGCCTTCAAAGAACTGACGAAGAAGACCATACCCATAACGGGACCGTATCACGCTGCCCACCTCTACTCAAATAATGACCTTAACTCGATTATTTCAGGTTTACCAGAAAGAGCAGAGGGTGGGAGGCAAGAATCAATACCATTCTTGTCTACAAACAAGGTCGGGTCAGAAGTTAGGACATTTGCATCGCTGCTAAGGGAGGCAACCGCTGAGGTACTTCTACGACCGCTCCTGTGGGCTGATATTCTTGAACGATTTGAAAACATCTTACGAGATACGGTTCCGCAAAGCCTCAGTGTTGTTCCTTTTGGATCGACTGCCCATCACCTTTTCTACAACGCAGCGAAGAAGATGAACCCAAATATTTTGACAAACGCCTCACAACATACCAACGGTCAATCTAGCTTCACTCCGACAATTGGCACTGGCCTCAAGAAACCTAAACTAGCCATTGTAGGAATGTCCGGACGCTTCCCAGACGCGAAGAATACCGATGAATTCTGGGATATACTTCGACAAGGTTTGGATGTGCACAAGGTTGTGCCACCCCAGCACTGGGATGTACACACTCACGTCGATACCAGTGCAAACCCTCGGAAGAATACAAGTGCCACGCCTTTCGGTTGCTGGCTGAAGGACCCGGAAGAGTTTGACGCGCGGTTTTTCAACATATCACCGAAGGAGGCTGCCCAGATCGACCCCGCACAGCGACTCGCCCTGATGACTGCTTACGAAGCTATTGAGCGTGCTGGCATAGTTTCAGATGCAACTCCATCTACTAGGCCGGACCGAGTCGGTGTTTTCTATGGCGTAACTAGCAATGACTGGATGGAAACGAATAGTGCTCAGGACATTGATGCGCACATGATCCCTGGCGGCAACCGCGCATTCATCCCAGGCAGGATCAACTATTTCTTCAAGTTTAGCGGGCCGAGTTATGCCATCGATACAGCTTGCTCATCTAGTCTGGCAGGTATTCACCTTGCATGCAACTCCCTATGGTGCGGCGACATCGACACTGCTATAGCCGGAGGTACCAATGTAATCACTAATCCAGACTTCACTGCTGGGCTGGATCGCGGCCATTTCCTCTCTCGCACGGGCAACTGTAAAACTTTCGATGATGGTGCCGACGGTTACTGTCGCGGTGAGGGCATTGCGACGGTGATCATCAAAAGACTCGAGGATGCACTTGCAGATCATGATCCCATCCTTGGTGTGATCGTTGGGGCGTACACCAATCATTCAGCAGAATCTGAATCTATTACCAGGCCACATGTTGGTGCTCAACGTGCCATTTTCAACAAGATTCTGAATGAATCTAACGTTGATCCTTACTCCATCAGCTACATTGAGATGCATGGCACTGGCACGCAAGCAGGTGACGCAGCAGAAATGTCAAGCGTTCTGGATACGTTTGCTCCATCGCCCAGCCAATGCCACCAATCTAAAGCACGCAAGGAAAAGCTCTTCCTTGGATCAGCTAAAGCGAACATTGGCCATGGCGAGGCCGCCTCTGGCGCGTCAGGCCTTATCAAGGTCTTGATGATGATGGAAAAGAATCAGATTGTTCCGCATTGTGGAATCAAGACAAAGATTAATCACAAGTTCCCGACCGACCTTGGGGATCGTCAGGTTCACATTGCTTCTGAGCTGACAGCGTGGGAGAGGAAAGGACTTACGGAACGTCGTGTATTGGTCAATAACTTTTCAGCTGCTGGAGGCAACTCAGCGCTTCTCCTCGAAGATGCACCACACGTACCAGAGAACGTCAAAATGGGCATAGATACCCGAAAACTCTATGCTGTCGCAGTATCTGCCAAGACAGGTGCTTCTATGCAGGGTAATCTGAGGTCACTGCTCGCACATCTAAAGAAGATGCCAAACGTTTCGCTTGGTGAGCTTTCATACACGACTACAGCACGACGCATACATCATCCACACCGGGTTTTGTTTATCGGTGCATCTATTGAGGAGATCTGCCAACAAAATGAATTGGCAATTACTCAAGGAATCGGCCAAACAAGACCCAAAGGATCGCCAAAAGTCGTGTTCAGCTTCACTGGCCAGGGTGCTCAATATCCTGGAATGGCTCAGCAGTTGTTCCAGGAAAGCACTGTCTTCCGAAACGAGTTGCACCATCTAGATTACATCTCGGAAAAACTGGGATTTCCGTCTGTAATTCCTTTTATCGAGTCTACAGAACAGGATCCCACCACGTTCCAGCCCTCTGTCGTGCAGCTCGCCAGTGTGTGTGTTCAATTAGCCCTTGTCAAATTATGGGGCACTTGGGGCATTCATCCATCTTCAGTTGTTGGGCACAGTCTTGGCGAATATGCGGCTCTCAACACTGCGGGGGTGCTCTCAGACGTCGACACTATCTTTCTTGTTGGAATGAGAGCTAGGCTGCTCGAGGAAAAGTGTATTTCTGGTACGCACGCTATGCTGGTTGTCAACAATCCAGTTGACAAGATCTCTGCTGTTTTGCAAGAAAGAGCATACGAAATAGCATGCATCAATTCCCCAACGGAAACCGTCCTTGCCGGTCCAAGCGAGATGATGTCCGAGCTTCAGGAATTACTCAAGAATGCTGGTATGAGAAGCACACTTCTCAAGGTGCCTTATGCATTCCACTCTTCACAAGTGGATACAATTATATCGGAATTCAAGTCTCGGGCACAAGGGGTGAAGTTTTGCGAACCAAGAGTACCAATCATCCGACCTTTGGACTCTACCGTCTCGACTGCTGGTACAATTTTCGATGCTGAGTATCTAGCATGTCATTCTCGCGAGCCTGTCAATATGCTGGGAGCTTTGATCGCAGCGCATAGCAATGGCTCAATCACTGATCGATCTGTTTTTCTGGAGATTGGTCCGCATCCTGCTGTTTCCAATATGGTGAAATCTACATTAGGGCCATCTGCTTCAGCTGTCGCCTCACTTCAGCGTGGGGCTAGGCCATGGGACGTGCTTACCAGATCACTCAAGTCTCTCTATGACAACGGAGCCAGTATTAATTGGGCAGCTTACCAGCAAGACTTTCAGAAATTTCACAGAGTTGTCTCACTACCATCATATTCTTGGGACCTGAAGCCTTACTGGATCCAATACGTCAACGACTGGTCTCTTCGCAAGGGTGATCCGCCAGCTCAAGGCTTACACACCGGCCCTAAGATAACGAGTACAACAATCCATTCAGTCGTATCAGAGGTCAGCGACTCTAGAAGCACCAAAATCGTGGTCGAGGCAGACATCTCACGCAAAGATCTTGCTCCATTGGTACAGGGACATGAGGTGGACGGCATACCCCTGTGTACACCCTCAGTCTATGCCGACATGGCTTTGACTCTCGGTACATACCTGCTCAAGCGCTATCAGCCAGAACAGTCTCAACTGCTAGTGGATGTGTCCGAAATGAACATCTCGAAAGCGTTGATCTTGAATGAGCAAGCAAACAAACAACTCATTCAGGTTCACGCTGAAGCAGACTGGACTTCTAAATCTGTGAGTATGAAGTTCATGACCTTCAAAAATCACCAAAAATTGCAAGAACACTCCCGGTGCATTGTGCATTACAGAGATGGTTCCCTTCAGAAAAGACTGCAAGCGAATGCATCGGAGATTCAAGCGAAAATATCGACACTCCGCGCGGGTATCACTTCCGGTAAGACAGCTCGCTACAATCGTGCAATGGTGTATCGTGCCATTCGACCTTTGGCACGATTCCACAATGATTATCGTGCTATTGACGAGATAGTGCTCAATAGTGAAACGCTCGAAGCCTCTAGCATACTGAGCTTCGGAAGCGTAAAGCGTGATGGCGACTTCCATACTCATCCAGCTATTATCGATTCGTTGACACAAGCGTGCGGTTTTACAATGAACTGCAATGATAACACTGACCTAGACGTTGAAGTATTCATGAACCACGGATGGGGTTCGTTGCAGCTCTTCGAGCCAATAGATTTCGAAAAGGTGTATACAACGTATAGTCGCATGGAATCAGGTCCAGACAAACTCTGGCGTGGCGACGCAATCATCTTTGATGGCAACCGAGTCGTGGCGCATTTTGGACAAATCGCAATCCAAGGTGTGCCCCGCAGAGTACTCAAAGTCATATTGTCGCTCGAGAGTGGCAGGAAAACGCAGACTCGTACCACGCCAGCACAGCCATCGATTACCGATAAAAGCCAGCCAAAAATTCACTCAGCCCATCCAGACGCCAAGCACAAACAGGCGGCAGTCAGAGTTGGACCATCTCCTGTTGACATTGGGCTTCAGATCATCTCAGAAGAGTCTGGAGTTGCTATTGATGCCTTCACGGACGATACCGTTTTCGCAGACATGGGTGTAGATTCTCTCCTTGGTCTAACCATATCATCGCGCTTTCGGGAACAACTCGACATAGACCTCGATTTTAATGGCCTCTTCTTTGAGTACCCAACAGTTAAGGATCTCAAGGCGTTTTTGAGCACGTCTCTACCTGATTCGGGTTACGGCAGCCCGGTTGTAGACGGAAACGATGGGCTAGAGCCAGTGCATGAGGTTACGAACGCCTCGAAGATCGATTCTGCAGATAACAGATCGTCCTCGGGTCCAGATTTCGCGCGAGCACTACAGATTATTGCGGAAGAGAGTGGGGTCCAACTAAGTGAGCTTGGTGACGACACCGAACTTGCTGATTGTGGAGTCGATTCGCTCTTATCACTCATCATCACAAGTCGCTTTCGCAACGAGCTTGATCTTGAGATGGAGAGTGAATCATTGTTCTTGGAGAATCCAACAGTGGGTGACCTGAAAAAAGCATTGTCAGCGAAATCGCCAAACGCCATAACGGTGGAATCTGCCGCTCAAGAAGTAGTAGATACGATTGTATTACAGCCTAATGTCAACAAAGGGGATGATCGGAACACAACCAATGCCAATGAACCCGAGAGCGGTCGCGTACATGAGACAGCCAACGATGAATCACACGCTGCACTCGAAACGCGAAAGCAAGCCGTGGAAGTTTTGGTCGAGGAATTTGCATCTGGATTCTCTGCACCTACATCAGACGAAAACGCGCCGGAAACAGTCGACGGAGAGAAAGTTGTGCTGGTGACCGGCGGAACTGGGAGCCTTGGAGGCCATCTCGTGTACCACCTTGCTCAGCAGCCTGACGTTCGAACTGTCGTCTGCTTGAATCGTAAGCACCGCGAAGATCCCATGCAACGCCAAATTCAAGCGATGCGTGAGAAAGGTATACGTTTCCCCGATGCTTTGAAGCACAAATTGCTGGTTCTCCAGACCGATTCTGCCTCTCCACAGTTAGGCCTGGAACAAAGACAATACGATGAACTCGCCGCCTCTGTTACTCACCTTATCCATCAGGCTTGGCCAATGAGTGCGACACGTGCGCTGTCAGGGTTCAAGGCGCAGTTCCAGGTCATGCGCAATTTGATTGACCTTGCCCGTGAGGCCGCATCACGCCACCGTAAAGACTTCAAATTCAGCTTCGAGATGGTGTCCTCCATCGGCGTAGTTGGTTTGTACGACAAGGACAAGAATACAGCCAAGACTGTAGTACCAGAGGGACGAGCGAGCATTGCTTCAGTTCTACCCAATGGCTATAGTGAAGCAAAGTGGGGATGTGAGCTTATGCTTGATCGCACGCTGCACCAACACCCCGACCGCTTCCGCGCTATGACAACCCGCCTGGGCCAAATTGCGGGATCAAAAACAAGCGGTTACTGGAACCCAATGGAGCATTTCGGATTCTTAGTCAAGTCGTCATGCACCCTGAACGCACTGCCAGATGTCGATGGCAAATTGTATTGGACACCTGTCAATGACGTCGCAAGCGCACTGGCAGACTTGGTACTTGCGAACAATGATCCGCACCCCATCTACCACGTCGACAATCCCCACGGCCAGTCGTGGAAAGAAATGAATGGTTATTTGCAAGCCGCGCTGAAGATACCAAATCTGATACCGTTTCACCAATGGCTAGAACGCGTGCGCCAGACACCTCCAAAAGACAATCCTGCGCTTTTGTTGTCGGACTTTTTGGAGTCAAATTATCTCCGCATGTCATGCGGTGGCTTGGTCTTGGACGTCTCAAACACGCTCGATCACTCACCTTCCCTTAGGGAAGTTGGCCCAGTATCTAACCAAGTTTTAAGAAAGTATGTACATATCTGGAAGGAGATTGGGTTCCTTCATGCTACGGAAGAAGATCGAAAGAATTTTGAGAAGGAGAGATTGGCACTTTGGGCTTAGCATGTAGTTAGTCGTATTTCAGGGCTGCGGGAGGTTATCATCTTTACTATATCTATACTATTCCGCCACGAACCAGAGAGTATCCCTAAATGAAAATATTTCCATAATTTTAAGCTGATGATGCAAGTTCTACATGGTTATTCGTGTGTTCATCAGGGACATTTCAGTTTCGGAAAATGTCACTGTTAGAAGTAGATATGTGCTGTTGTTCAATTTCTCTATATTCTAGAGAATTTACATAGTTCAAACAAGAGCTCATACACTAGAATAGTTAAGCAAAAGCTGACTAATTAGACGATGAACTGCGCCAATTCTATGTAGTATTGTTTCTAATTCTCTCTCTTTGTTTTTCAATTTTACTAGATGTAGAGGTGTATCTCTCGTATTCTCCGAGTTCGATATGTTCTTAGAAATATAGCATTCTACACCTCTCACTACTGTTTCTACTTACATAACAAAAGCACTCCGAGATAACTGTTTAGATAGAAGAAATACATGATACGTCAACATGACTGCCATCAGAGCCTCCGGGGGGCGAAAAGAGCAGCAATCTTTAGCGTATGGAGGTGGATCCATAATGCTAGTAAAGAGAAATCTATTAACCAGGGTTATTCGAGATATAGCTATGCTGCAGCAAGCTGGCTCATCATAAAAGGGCTTTTTGAAATTCCTTTTAAGGATGTTGTGTTTTCAAAAGTTATCTTCTTTGCATGCTAGCAAGATTGCCTTTGTAGAGACCGGAAATGCTTTCCAATTCTCAAAATCTAGTCTTTTGATATACCTAGCATGTTTCTAATAGAAGTACCTAAACGCAGACGGGCAATACAGCTATGCTACCAAACTGTCTATAGAATTGGTTCCAATAGTCAAGGGTTGATCTGCGCACCTGTTATCCAGTATTTGATTATAGTTTTAAAACTTGTTGAGAACGAACGAAGCAACCAGGAAATGTCCTAGAGAAGGTGTATAGCGCAGGAAAATTGCCATTGTGCAATGATAGGCACATAAGCAGTTAGAATTTGAGGGTTACGCGAGCGGACTAAGAATGGAATTACATCTCCGGGTAGTAGACCAGGGCGGGTTGGTGTGATTCTGGAATTGAATACAAAAATGTCTCGGAACGAATTTTATTACACGAAAAACTGTTGTTAGTCAGCACGGTACTGAAACTGTGGTCTACACCAGATGTCAGCCGCAACTAATACTGTTACATTCGGAGCCTCAGAGCGGTGGATTTGCCTTCATTCCGCAACTAGAGCTATGCTTAGACGACATTGTGCTTTATTCAAAAACACATCAGATATGTGATTTTTTATTATTCATGAGTCAAACCGAAGTCAGGGCTACTGGAGAGAACGGAAACAGTGCTCAAACCATAAGCCCGAGCAGTGAGAAGCAAGGGATGAATGCGCAACTACGGAGCCTCTAATACAATGGCACATGCTGATTTGTTTAACAAATCCCGGAAACCTGCGAGTGGCTCAGTTTATGGGCTTGGAAACATTTATAGTCTACTCTAAACCATGTTAGAAGTTTGGGCAGATAGTATAATTCCGTGTTGCCTGACATTCCAGCTCTTGAAGTGCTACACGAGATTCTATGCTGCCTCTAGTATGATAAGAAAGAAGCATGTAAGGCTAATAAAAATGCATTAGGTAAGTCAATCGCCATTTTAGTGGAGGGTGAAAATCAGGTGCCCTTTGGGTTAATTAAGGACTTGTCACATACCCTCCTGTCGTAGAGTCCAGAAGCCATTGCCTCTCGTCCCGTGGCTTACGACGCAAGCATTAGTGGTGTATCCAGAACTCGGACCAAATGGACTAAGTTTGTCCTTGCATAAAAGTTATTGTATCCGAGATGTGAGAATGCGCCACGACAGTATCTTCCTTCTCACGTCCAGCCTGCTTTACTTTAAGCGATAACGGATCTTGGAAGTTCTATCGATATCCGAGGTTTCACTCGCGCTAACTCGTAGCAATTTCCCGAGAGTCCCCGGAGCTCGGGTCCGGACTTCGGATGCTCTACATACAGCATAGTGGGGCGGAATATAAACTTCTCCACTTCCTATTGGTTTAAAGAGAAGCAAGCCGACTGAGTACATAACCAGTTGTCCGCATTTTCCGAATGATAGCAACCATATATCATGACCCCACAGAGGGGCCGAGTAAAATATTTCCCATGCTACACTATGATGGCCGGTCTATGGGTATTGAGAACCTCCAAAGACAGCAGTGACCGATTACTTCACTAGCTACTAACAATCAATGTTTAACTAAGTCTGACATTAAGCTCTAACATTAAGCTTCTACGTCAGACTTTCCATGATAACTATTGAATCTTATCTTATCGTAACCCTAGAAGGCTTAACTGCAATAAGAGATTAAGAATGAGGCATAAATACTTCCTATTCATCTCTCAAGACGCCATTACTGCACAAAACTTGATTAACGATAAAGCGCAAGATGGCAGCTCCGATTTTATGTACTTCGTTTCTCTGTGCTTTTTGTCAGAAACTCCTCCATAACCCTGCAAACAGCTTCGTCAAACTCTTTGGTAGTGGCCGCTCCGCCGAGATCACCGGTGCGGATTTTCAATCCGCCAACGTCCTTCCCATCTAAGACCTTCTCGACAGCGGCTTCGATGGCCGCGGCTTCAGCGTCGAGATTGAACGAGTATCGCAACATCATTGCTGTAGAGAGGATTCTAGCCACCGGATTGACGATGCCTTTGCCTGAAATATCCGGAGCTGAGCCGTGGACGGGTTCATAGATGCCATTACAGCGAGTCTTGCCGTCGGGAACGCCACAGAGACTGGCACTAGGAAGCAGACCCAATGTACCAACCACTGCACCTGCTTAATCCGACAAAATATCGCTAAATGTGTCATCCGTGTGTCTTATGCCGTTGAGCGTCTTCGGATTTTTAACCATCATCATTGATAGGCTGTCTGCCAATTGATGCTTTAGCTCAATGTGAGAAAACTCCTGGTTAAATAATTCACTCATCACCTTCCTCCAAAGTCGGCCAGATGCGAGGACATTTGCTTTGTCACTGGACCACACCGTGGCTGGACCTCCATTCCCCCTGCCATCCTTGCCAAGACTTGTTGCTAATGCAGCAGCAACACGAACACAACGCTCAATTTCTCACTGACTATATGCCCAAGAATCGCTTGCAAACTCCGGTCCCTCTACCTTTGTTCCGAAACAAGCACCACCAGTATTTTCGTGAAGAAGAATAAAGTTGGTGCCCTCTACAACGGATTGCTTCAGTGGTGATAATGGGACCAGACTACGGGAGTAGAACACACATAAACGGATGTTGGCGAAGGCATCGAGATGTTGGCGCAAGCGTAGAAGTCCAGGCTCGGGGTTTGGAGATGCCGTGCCCCTGGTTGAGTATCAGCATAGCGAACTGCGCTGCAAAATAAAAAGGGCAGCAGATGAGAGAAATAAATTTGGCTCACCATTCCGGTCCGCCAATGCTGCCAAGCAAAACTGCATCGCTCTCTTCTTTTGCCATTTGGAGCACCTCATCCGTTGTGGGAGTGCCGTATTCATCGATGCTGCACCCTCCGGCAAATTGGTGGTTGAGCTCGAACTTCAACCGTCCTTGGGATGTGACTTCGACGGTACGTAGCACACGAAGGGACTCTTTCATAATCTCAGGTTCAACATGATCTCCCGCGATTACCAGAATATGTACAATCTGTGCAGAGGTAGAGAGTGATTTTGGCAGTGGATCGGCCATGGTTAAGACGGTAATGATAGAATTGAATCGTTGCTCAATCTCTTAAAGTCAACGGAGCTTCAGACTAAGAGAAAGCCATTTTATTTAGTAATTAACGTCAATAATGGCTTGCCCTATGCTCAATAGAAAGGTGCTTCAGTGTCTCGAATCGGCATCCCTCGCGATGCGTGCCCTATTAAGACCTCCTGCTCTAGTAGGAAGAAAAAGAATATGAAGCCGACTCCGTTCTCAAGTTGAGTAGGAATGAGTTTAGAGGAAGTATTTCTGTAGTTATTATTCCTCACCCGCACAGCCTGCGAACAGTGCGCTTCAAATACTCGTTGTGTAAGCGGTCAAAGTGTTCTCTCATCGGATACCGGAGTCGGCAGTCCGAGAAGAGTACATTCGCAGACTTTTTTCTGGCAATTTGTAACTTGGTAAATATCATACCTAGCCCCAGAAATATCAGCGAATCGGCTGAAATTATGCCTATCACTGGCCTGAATAAGAGGCGAGGCTTCAAGAGAGCACTGTATCCCGGCCCGCGGAAGAAATGGAATCTCGATAGTGCCGATGGGACATATTAACCAGACTGCTATGAGCTTATTGAAGATTACCTGTAAACTCACGACCCGAATCTGAAGGGCCCCGACTGGTAAATGACCTGATCGGGCTCGAAAGCCTAGCGCACTCTGATCCTTGTGGAAAACTCTACCTCAAAGCTCAGCTATCTCCCGATTTATTTCTATACAACTGGTCACTTCTATAACTATGGGGCTCGACATTAGAATCCTAGTTGATAGCACTCGGTATTATCATTCTTTCATCTTCATAATTTCTATATGGGTCGGCTTGACTATTCTTGTCGTCTATTGGATCTACTTTCGCCCCCTTGCGGCCGTTCCGGGACCTTGGCCAGCGAAGGTAACTGGGCTTTACCGCGCATATCTTTATTGGAGAGGTACATTCCATGAAGATATCGTAAACCTTCATAAGAGATACGGAAAAGTGGTCCGTATCAATACTAACGAAGTTTCTACCGTCGACGCTGTTTCCCTCAAGCAGATATATGGTTTCGGAAAACAAAATGCCCGAAAGCATGACTTTTACAAAGCCTTTCAGCTCGACTTTGCCGACGCTTTCGATGAAACTGACCCGTTGAACCATGCGATCATTCGAAAGCGGCTCTTAAACGCCTACGCAATGTCGTCCATCATCTCCTACGAACCTTATGTGCAAAGCGTACTCGACATTTGTTGGGCTAAAATACGAGAACACATAGCTTTCAGCAGCGAACCAATCAACATGTCAGAATGAACTCACCGAGTTGCATTCGATTTCATCTCCGAACTTGTTTGTGGTCAGCCGATAGGTCACTTGAGCCAAGGAGGCGACGTTGGTGGCGTCAGAAAGAACATCAACAGTATCACAAAACTGGATCGTCCTTCTGGGAGATATCCCGACACAAACAGCTATATTCAAACACCCGCTGAGCAAGTTCGTCCAAAATCGTATCCTCAGGTTGAAACCCCCAGTGGAAAGTCTCATACGGTTTTCCGCTGACCGGGTTTGCGATCGCATCACTGGCAGAAGTGGCGTGGGCCGAAATGACATGCTAGCCCATTTTACTAACGCGAAACCAACCGTCGAACCCACCTCACAAAACATATTGAACGGGATATTGTTCGTGATTTCCGAACCGCATTGTGAGTACAATAAGGCCCCTTCTTTAATTCGAAAATTCTTTCAATTGCTTTGTATGCTGTTAACACGAGATATCTAACTTCTTTCTCTCCCAGTGGAGCTGGCGCAGACACGACGTCAATTTCCATAAGAGCTATTATAATATATCTAGGGCTAAACCCGGACATTTACAAACGCCTACAGAACGACATCAGCAACTTCTACACCACTAATGCCCTTGGGGCACTTGATCCGCTTACATACACGCAAACTCAGCAGATACCTCTGGTCCGAGCAGTGATTGATGAGTCAATTCGGCTTGTCCCTGCCATCTATGGACAGTTGCTGCGTGTTTCTTCCGGCATCACAATGGATAAATATTGGATTCCGCCTGGGTCTACTATCGGCATGAGTGCTATAGCAGTGAACAAAGAGCCATCTATCTTCGGTGATGACGCTGAGGAGTTTCGACCGGATCGGTGGCTGTAAAGCACCGACACATTCGCTCGCCTTGATCATGCCAGCATGACGTTTGGCAGTGGTGCAAGAGGTTGTCTAGGCAAGAATATTACTCTTATATGTGTTCTGCCACAATTCATAACTGTAACTCTTCAACACTCGTCACACCCTCGTTGAATCCCTCATCTAACCCCAACAATTATATGCGACCCTGCATATGCTGTTAGGATCAGACGCTAAAGATTCATTCTCCTCTAGGTCGAACTTCAGAAACTTACGGCTCAGTTTTATCGATTCTTCAAGGTCGGACTTGTGGATAAAGAAACGCCCTGGAAAAACGAGTTTTTCATGACCGTAAATCCAAGAGATGTGCGTGTCAGACTGAAGGAACGACACACATGAAAAGGATACACAGTGGTATTGGTAGAGAAATATTGTACTCGGGAGAATAGAAGTCGAGGGTCGAACAAAATTGATCATAGTCCTGAATATAGCGGTGTTTGACACGGTCCTGTAAACCACAGTCAGAATGGCAGTCCTGGAAAATTTCAATCTAAATTCGTGAAAACTAATGAGACGTTAAACCAATAACTGTTTCCATTCTCTGACTACGCAATCTCCCGGGAATATCTTGCTCTGTAGTGCAGCGTAAACAAGAGCAGGTCGATTCGTTCATCTGACTGGATGTTCCGGAGTTTGACTTATGCAAAAAGAGCTATCAGCCGCTACTTTGAGCATTTGGGCTGAAGCTAATGCTCTGCATATAGGCTAGCATCAGTAGATATTCATAGAGCTAGAAAGGAGCTCAATATTTTGTGGACACTAACTTTATGTTTCTGGTTAGACCTTTTCAGCCATTTTTGGTGTTTTCGTGAAGATCTAAAGGATCCATACATGGTGTATTCTTCTGTTTCCAATAACGCTTGCTAGGTATCCACTTACAATACTCATGAAAGGAACTTGGATAGTGAAATGACAAAACTATTTCATTTAGGTTTCACATTGATAAGCAATTTCATGTTAGTTATCAAGTTAGAAGAACAGGCTACTCCAGCACTCAATCATTAGGTTCTAGCAGTATTTCTTTATGAGTCATTTGACATAGTATACACTACATCCCAGCCAGGAAGTTGCTGACGGCATCAAGAAGCGCGTCATAGCGGATCGAGTCTTGATACCGAAAAATAGTTGCCCTTCTACCGACACATTCCAGCTCGTCCTTGCACAATTGCCCAGCTCCAGCGTCATTTCCATATACTAATGCCACGCGATTTTTGCCTGAGCTCGCCTGCCAGGGCGCTTCGCCGCTGATGAATTCTATGATGTTATCACTGAACGTCTCTGCCACGTCCTTGGTGCGTGTTGGAAGAAATTCTTCGAAATTCTTGAATAAAAATGACACGTCCACAATGTGCGCAGCTTCCCCTCTGAACGGGTCATCCCATGGATTTGGTTAATCCAAATGATAGATGTACCTTCTTCCTGGGAAAAATTGCGCGAAAACATCGCAGGGAAGATAAAATGAGAGGTCATTGACCAGTTGTAGGATTGCATGACGCGCCGAGTCATTGTTTACAGCTTGGGATATACCGTGGTCGTCGAGCAAGGCACCGATTGCCAGCTCATGGTCTGGCAAAGCTCGATTGAGTGAGTCTGATAATTTCTGCGCCATGTTTGAATCTCATACCATGAGGGCACGCATGAATATACTGGCCTGGTAATTAATACGCAGTATGAGCCATGGGACTAGTAGAAGCGGTGAGCACAGGGATATCTCACATCATATCCACAATCACTAAAGACCATTCCATTGCACCATTCTAAACCAGGAAGCTCGGGTTGCTGTTTATCTGACTAGTTCTTGGCTTTCTCGAAATAGATCTGCTTTTTTAATAGGTCATAATCCAATGCTGGGAGAGAGGGTATTGAGAGAGGTGTTTTGAGAAGCAGTTCGAGACTTTCTCGCTCTTCAATGGCTCGTATTCTGTCTTCTCCAGAGATTCCTCCAAAGCCTTGTGCTTTGCAGAACTTCAGATAAAACTACTCATGAATATCCAAGGATACTAGTCTGCGAAGAAGACAGGATCCGGACAAAACGACCATGCGCTGGAATAGCTCTTCTGAACACTGAAGGAGAGTAGTGACAGAAACTTTGGTCATCGATATTAGCGTGTTGTGTTTGGTCAGGCTAACCATGTATTGGGCGTATAAAACCTACCTCCTCCAGCGCTCTGCCCAACGGCAGTGACTTGATTGGGATCACCTCCAAATCTTTCAATGTGCGCCCTAACCCACTCGAATGCAACCTTCTGGTCCCGAAGACCGTTGTTTGCCTTGAATTTTGCTTTTCGTAGCTCCTCGGAAGTTAGAAAATCAAATATGTTTGTACGATAACTAGAAAATGTCAGACCATGAAAAATGAGCAAACGATTCCCGGGGCATGCACACTTAATGACTACCCCGATGATAGGGTTTCCTAACTCGACTGACCGGCCAACGATTTTAGCTTGATCATATTGCGGCCAGGTCCCAGAGCCGAAGGCTAAGCCACCTCCGTGAATGAAAACAAAAACTGGGAGTTTCTTTCCTGCTCTAGCTCCATCATTTGGAATAGTGACTGAGAGATTGAGACACTCAGTATCTGAATGTGGTGGAAAGTCTGGAACTGGCAGGCTGTGTTGGATCAGACTATACTCTAGCTGACAGTCATTTGGGATGCCGATGGCAGCGGGCCTATTCGTATTTGCAAATGCATGTCAGATCTGAGTGTCAGGTAGGAACATATGTGAATCAATATACCCGAGTTTTCTGGCATTCACGACCCCCGATGATTTCTGGCCACTGTACATCTTCGGTGTTCCAAATCTGTGATCTAACGAACCATACTTGATACCATGAAATTGCACAACATTGCCACTGGTTAGGCCTTCTAGAACACCCAATCTGGGGTGTTGAAGCCGACTCATTCTGTACATGAACGACAATGTGCACACTCTTTGAGCTAATAATGCCGAACGAGGGACCTAGATTCATTGCCTTTTCACATGGTTTGGGAGAGTGCTCACATATATCACCTGTCTGGTAACAATCTATTTTTTTTCCTTTGTAAAATTCTTAATTCTGTTAGTGTGACAGGTTTCATTGGACCAATTGGATGTAGCAAGGAGCTACTCGGGGAGTTGGCGATTCTGGCATCCGCGGAAGTAGCCAAGTTAAGCCGACTAGCGCTCACAGGCTACTGTCAAGGCACACTACACTTGAAACATAGTTTTGTAATGAATTTAAATCAGGTAAAAAATATGATGGATATATGTTATTCAGATTCTTTATTTTCATTCCCATAGAACTTCCGAGTTTTTGCTATCCAAGTAATGCTGCCACGTGCTTTGATCTTCTACGCACCCCACTCTTGAGGGGCAGTCAGTTGTTCGGCCGAATTTCTACATTCTCACCTGTCCATTAAACGGGCCCCAAACAGTTCTTCAATGAATAACTAGTTCAATGCTCTTGCAAGAATACGCAATGGCCCAAGCGGTTCATCACGATGTTTAGTGGCGCATTAAACCTAAGACAAGTGTGCGAGTCACAGCTACGTGCGCGATATAATGTACGCAAAGAGGCAATATACCTGCATCGAAAAGTTGAAAGCGATCAAATCCGTGGACGAAGTGTCAAACATAGTTCAGAAACATTTAACGACACGAGCATATTCAGCTCAGATTTCGTAGAGCGACAGATTCACGTGCCTATAGAAACGATATTTAGAAGGGATAAGGTGCATGGTATAAGTACGATAGCCTAATGTTATATGTATGCGGCAACAGAAGTAGCAATGATCTACGCGAAACGGCGACGACAGAGTTGGTGGTGAGGCTATCATTGTGTGTATAAAAGTGGCTAGCATGTTGCAACGAATTCATTCAACCAAAGCAGTTCGCTGCAGGTTCCGCTTGGACTCAAGATAGTGTTTATCTCATTTTCAATCATCACTCTGCAAATGCGCTATTCCTGATTTAAAGCCTGTTCAGCCAGTATTCCAATCACTTTTCTGCACCCATAGCTTAGTCGACAAGGTGAACTATATGATTGCGTCACGCCCACTTCTAATGTCAGTCTGACCTAGATGGGTGGAACAATCTACTTCAACGCACTGGATGGAACGAATTGGCAATTGATTCAAGCCCTTGAAGCAGGACTAGGGGAGTCTGAGTCTAATAATTCTACTGCTAAGATATCCTACAATGATCGCCTTTTAGTGCGATTCCATAACTCTATTTTTGAGGTTGTTTTGGTGGCGCCGTGGGCGCATGGCGGTAGAGCACGGTAAATCGTGTTACCTCCATCATACGTCCTTGCTTATATCGGGTACGATGATTCTCTCAGTGCTATCACTGTCCTTCAATGGGTGTTCTGTCGAAGTTACAAAGAATTGAGTCGAAACTTGGATACTGGAGTCGTCTTTGTTTTGAGACGGTTTCGCCTCATGATTATCCAGACTTCCCAATGCGTAACTCTTGTTTTGACCCCGAGACAATCTCAGCCAACTCAAAACTCCACTCTTAGATTTTGATTTTTCGCTGCTTCCGGACAAAGACAACATGCAGGACATGTGTCGAACAAGGAAAGGCTTCAATGTGGCCATTGACGCACAAATCACCCCTACATTCAATTCGACCACAGAGAAAATACAGGCCGAGGCTTGGTAAAATGTAAAATCCGGATTGCTGATGTAATTGTACACATAAATAATCCTAACGATGGAGGCGATGATGACCCTAGATTTCCCACTTGATCAGTCAATATTGTAGCGGAATAGGTTATGTTTGCAAATTTACCCCGATCCGAGCGTGAACACTAGGCTTAGAAGAACTTTTTGCTTCAGGCGTAGCTGAAGACAGTGTAACATTGGAAGCGGTAATAGGATGATGAAGAAATCCGTGAGAATATTGACTGCAACCAATTAGAACAATTTGGTTTAGTGTGCAGAATGATGACTTACTGATGGCCATAAAAAGATTGAGGTCTTTCAAACACTTCCCTGCCGTATTGATTTGGGGATTGCAAGGTCCAACGACAACAATAGTAATGGAAAGAGTGTAGCCAAACGTCAAGAGTGCAAGCGCATAAATTGCGATTCGCATCCAAGCCTGAGTGCCTATCCGATAATACAGGAAGAGCAAAGAGAACTTTGTGAGTGCTGGTGTCCAGGCGTAGATAATGCATATTCCAACCAACATTTGCTGATATCCCATCATCTTATCGAGCGTGACATTCCAGCCGTGGTGGCCGAATCCAAATCGAAATGCTATCCTGTCAGTTTTCATTCACTGTGCACAAAAGGGGAGATCATACCGAAGATACATACACCGAGCCAGGCAATGCATCCCAGCCAACTGCAGATAAGGAACAAATCATCGAAACTTGGATTCCGACTAATGACGGTGCGTGTTTATAATCGAAGGCCTAGAAATAACGCGGAAGCTGCTGTGAGTGCGCTATATGAAACCAATATCTGTTGCTGAAGAGCCGATCTTCCGCCACTAAAGTCTGGTATCACGCCTTCAGGCGGAGGCAATATGCCCTGCATCAGTGAAAAGCGTCCAAAGGGATTTCGAAAAGTCCAGAGGGTTTCGGGTCAGCAGCGACCCGTTCCGGTTCGCATGTACTTGGATGGAATAAAGTCAGGTCAGATTAAGTAAGTATGTATCTAATGTGCGATCTACTTATCAAAATATGAATGCTGGTATCTCCACTGTTTTCTCTTGGGCGTAGGAGGCCTCGATTCGGGTTATGCATGGGTGTAGCCCCACTTACAAATATCCGACAAGTCACAGAGTGTAAGGTGCTGCAGCAGTTTAGCTCGTGTTTGCATGGGTGCTTTGTACCATGCAACATGCATGACCTCCTGAACCAGACAGCTGAGGTGTTTTTAGTTTACTCGGTTAGCGATTTTCAATCTTTGAGGGCTCTGCAAACCAATGCGGACACGAAAATCTGTAAGGTCTGGAGAAGATCCTATATGGAATTTTCTTTATAGGTCGAACACCAATTACATGCTACGTGCGGATGTAGTATTGATGACAGGAAGAGCCTCGCATCCCTTACACGGAAGTCATGCAATTGTCCTAGCGTAGGATTCCTGATGTGCCGAATAAGTCTCCGAAGTACCGCCAAATGGACGGATGCTTAACTAGCCGCCACCCGCTACCAATAGGCATGAAAGCCGCGATGTCAGAACCTTCTCTAGTTATGCCGGTCATTTCTATCTTCGGATTCGTGAGACTGGTCTTAGCAGTTGCAGTCTACGTAGCGTATAGGTACATGAGAGCAAGGCGCGCGGCATCAAGGACCGAGGAACCCAGAACGGCGTGCCTGAAGATGAGTGAAGGGGCCGTGCAAAGGGGCAAGCGGTTGCGAGCCATGCTAGCTGAATACCCCATGGTTCGATAGGAACTTTTGGCTATCCGTGAGGAGAATGCGGAGTACATGGTTCCAGGGGCGGCGATTCGACCCTGGTCAACTTGGGCTCGAAAAATGACTATCACTACTTAATAGCCCATATTACCTAGCATAACACAAATATTTATTTCTCCCCACATCGACGAGGTCATTTCAGCACACGATCTCAAGATGGAAATCTCTTCGAGGGCTTTGACTGCGCTTTGTCCTCTCTTATCAATTGGTTTTCACGAATTGGTTTTGAGGCGCGCGGAGGTCGATCACCTTGTTCTCCCAGGAGTTGTTTTTTCGAGTCTCTTCTTCTTACTACTCACTTTCTCTCAGGGTATCGGCCCAACTGTTGTTTTATATATAGCCTTTTGGGGCACTCTCTCTCTTTATGGATCTTGTTATACCGCGCATTCTGGCATCCGCTCAGACATTTCCCGGGACCATTCGGTGCAAAATTGTCCAAATTGTGGACTATTAAACAGGCTTGGGATTCAAGATGGCACTGGCATCGCGTACAACAGCATCTCCAAAAGCAATATGGTGATTATGTGAGAACAGGTATGCGATATGTTTCTGATAGTGTTGGCAATACGGTTGTCTTTGATTATTCATTCCGACGATTTGTCTGTTAGACTAGCGGCTGATCAGCGATGGTAATAGGCCCTCGAGAAATCTCAATTTACGACCCAAGCGCCATACAACCACTTCTCGGTTTTTCTTCCTCAACAACCAAGGGACCTTTCTACAATGTTATGGAAAAGTCTCTTCATCTGAACCGAGACAAAGTTTTCCACCGCCAGCGGCGCAGGGTTTGGGATAATGGCATGAAAGAGTGTAAGTTCTGTACTCAGCATAGATGATGCTCTTCGCTGACAATTTTAGCGCTTGCTACCTTTTCTCCGCTCGTTGAGGAGTTTACAGAAAAGCTGCTTGCTCAACTACATAAACAGAATGGTGAACCGATTGAATTGCTACGCTATTGCAGCTACTATAGTTATGACGTTATGTCAAAACTTGCGTTTGGCGACTCAATGGGATTTGTGGAAGGCAAACAAAGTGAAGTAGCGGCAAGCATTCTCAACACTTTCAATAGCAGCCTGTCTGTTATGGGCCTCATGTACCATATGCCATGGTATGTATCTCACTATGAACTCCAACAACTATCAAAATCATGTATTGCATCCTGGACTGAACTTTCCATTTAGGCTCATGAACACACTGGGTGTGGTCACTTCGATTGCCGGGCCGATGAAAGAATGGCAAGACTGGAGCGTGTCACAGATGAAACAGCGCATAGCCGTAATCATCCCACCAAGTCCTCTACATCTATGCCAATACTAAGAAATAACAGCGGAAAGACGGAAAGGCCGATTTTGTAGGACATCTTATCAAGAACACCCCTGAAAATACAGCTGGACTAGAACTACTATACGGCGAATCTCGACTCATCATCAGTGCCGGCAGCGAAACTACCTCTTCGGCGTTGACGTTTACATTGATGCAACTAGCTACGAACCCCAAATACGTGGATGCGATACGGAAGGAGTTTCGTGACTGCGTATCTTTCAACTGCAATCGGCCACTTCCAACGCTAGACGCAGTAATACAAGAGTCAATGCGTTTATGGCCATCGATCTTCTTTGCACCTCAGCGTGTCACCCCACCATCTGGATTACACATCAATTCTCATTTTATTCCTGGAAACACAATTGTCCAAATGCCGCCTTTCGCTACCTTCCGCGATTCAAGAAACTTTGTAAAACCGGATGAATTTGTGCCTGAACGATGGACATCGCAACCCGAATTGGTGCTCAATAAGAATGCGTTTATTCCATTCAGCACAGGACCATACAACTGCGTTGGTAAAACACTGGCTAATATGGAACTACGGAGTGTCATCGCAAGAGTGGTGAATGAGTTTGATCTTCGTCTTCCCGACGGATTCGTAGCAGAACAGTATTGGGACGGTATCAAAGATCAGTTTACAGCAGGGCCTCCTGCAGAACAGAGACTTTCTTTTGTTAAATGCGAGAGCTGATCTGAGTCAGCGTTAGCTAATGTCGTCGCAATTGTACTTCCTCTCTTAAACACTAGAAGCTATCAAATGGGAGACCAGCACTATTAGCTATTACCGAATATACATCATTAGCCCAGAATACCTGATATGTGATACACTGTGATATCAAATAACCAATGTTGAGCACAAGAGCTAGTCTTCACAGGTAAGAGGCAGATTTCCAGAGATAAGGTTGTGACAAAGGCACATCAGATCTTGCTACTACGCGTAGCCACACTTTCCATTTTCGGTTCCTTGGTTTCTAAAAACAGATTCATTAAGATGAAACCACTGACAGTATACTTACTTACTCAGCACCTCAACAACTCCCCGGCAGCTGATAGCCCGACCAATACGGCTCCGTAACCACCTCCGCCCCATTTCTCGATAACACCTAACCTTCCACAACGCCATCCCAGTCAACCCGCTATTTTCCCTTTTGAACCATCTCAACACTTTTCTCCAGCGCATACTTTACTGTAAATCATGCAATTCAATGAAGTGATTGAATCCCAACTGATAGAGCTCTGTACTCTTTGATTCTATATCACTCGCACCGCCATCTTCCGCCCTGCGTACGTCCTCGCTAACCAGTCCTCCATCGCTTGTTCAAGCGAACGCGTTTAAGCTCAGGGTGAATGGAAGGACGCGTTTTCTGCCATAATAGAATTTTGTCACGTGGATTGGTTTCTATAAGATAGAGACTAGCCAGGTAAGATAAAACGTCATAGAACTTCCGTGCAGATGATGAGACGCGTATATCCTCACTCCATGGCGTGCGGCGGGCCGCTCAATAGGTGGGTGCTGTATTTGAGAAGAGAAGCAGTGGGCAGATCTTTCCAGCTTCCATTTGTCCTGATGCTGGAGCAAAATGTTGGTGTTAGGTTATGCTTAGTCCTGACGCGATACACGCAGTAGGTAAAGGTGGGCTTTGAGTATTGGTTGAGGAACCTGTGCACGAAGCTATTCAAGGGTAGGCTCTTAGCATTAACGCCGATCATAATGTTGAGTAGACCCTGTCTAGTGTTCTGCGGCTGATATAGAGTTTTGGCGTGGACAGTGTCTAACCGATGCCTAAAAGCCTCGAGAGTGTATGGAAATATGATCAACGGTTCTGTGCACTATTGTTCTTCATCGCAACTATCCTCTTTAACAGCCAGAACTTTACTTTGGTCTATCATACGAACAAAGCCATCAAGAATCATCTTAAGAGCGAGCCACATCTGCCGACTATTCATAGTAATATCAGTATCATGAATAAACGTGTGGTGCATATCCGTACTCTCCTCTTGATCCAAGATCAGCCCAAGTGGATGAATAGCACCCAGAGCCCCGTTCGCCCTGTAAAGAGTGACAAAGCGTCGCTTATTCGAATCGTCTCCACCTTCAACATAACTCACATTCTGCCAAAGTCTTTCGGGGGAGCACAAACAGGCCAAGTGCCGATGGAAGACGTGACGCTTGGTGACCGGCTCCATTGCAAATCCATGCCAAGAAGTGTATCACCACCATAGCATTCCCACCATGTCGGTTTATCGCGGGTGTCCCATGTGAAAGGATGGTGAAGCAAATACATACCTAATGTGTTCTACCCAGTAGGTCAATAGTAAGGCGATCTTTGGTTTACCGACGTATTAGCGAAGGTTAGCTGAAGAATGCCATTCACCTTGCTAGCGCATGTCACACAAAAGGCACCTGTAAGGCTAGCCTTATATACAGCAGCAGACGTCTTCTCCGTTTAGCAGGGTACATATTGGGACTTCTCTCTCGTATTCAACGTTTGGCATAAACATACCATTCTGCCGACTCTATCAATTCAATCTTGGCTTGCTCCACATGTCTGTGTAATACTTTTGTAACTTTTTTTTTTACTTTTCGTTGATCAACGTGGGTATATCAAAAATCTACATATCGGTACACGACACAAAAATACTGAAACAGGGGCCATTATCATCTTCCCACAGCCTGAATCATCTCAGGTGCTTTCTTGGCACTGGCTGCCTTTTTCGCCTCCATAATCTCCAGTCTACTAAGTCCCATACTACTCAGATACTCGTTGAAACTACCGAGGATCCGCTCCAATCCTTCCCGAAGACATTCCCTGACCTCATCAACCTCAGGTACCTTTCTCCTCTCTGATTCTGGTTTGGCAAGTGTTTCGATATCGCTTGGGTGTATCGGAACTGTCTCCATGTATTCGTCGATCTTGTTAAGTGCTGTGGTAAGCACGCGTACCACGGCCGGAATACCTTCGTGGAAACGGCCGAGAGAATCTTCGCTGAGAGAGGACACGGCCAGATTCGCAAGGGAAGTAACGGCGTTGCAAATCAACGAAATACGAGAGTATGGCGCCCCAAGAACGACAATGCTTGCTGTACGTTGAACGGATTGTCTGAAAAGGGCACCAACCGAGGACGACACAAACTTGTTATAATACGTTGCGAAGAGCGACTCTGCCTCTTTGGCACCTTCTTGCGCCTTGCTCAGCCCCTTGTTGATAGCTTCGCGGCTGTACGCTTTTTGGGCGTTACCAGGAGCGCTGTGAGATTTTGCGAGATCCGCTGTTGCTGATTCGAAATGCTCCAATCTGGAATTTGGCTTTGGTGGCGGTGCTGCAATCGCTTTATCGTCCTTGAGCGGCTGCGAGATCCGTGGTACCAGGTTGACAGGTGCCGCCGACTGCTCCTTGCCGTCTCCAACGACCGGGTTATAAGCAGGATCAAGACCAACGTTTAAGCGTTCGGTGAGGAACTTCAATTCTCCAAGACACAAGTCTGTAACTTGCTCGTGGGTGGGCGCCTTTTTGCGATTCATCTCACTGTATAACGTCTTACGGCGGTCGGGGAAAGCGTCTGTAATGAGAGCAAGCTCCCAGAAAGCGATGGCCTAGATTCAGTCAGTCATGATCATGAACATGCGTCGCCTCTCCATACCTTGACAGTGTCCTTCTTTGACTTGAGCCCGTTCAGTAGTGAGCCATTCGGGTCTTTTGAGTCGTTCGTAATGGGATTGTCATTCTTCAGCGGCTCCTGGGCAATGTATACGTCAAAAGTCTTGTTGACAAACTCCCACAGTAGGACCAGAAGCGTTCCCTCGGTAATGAACATGAGACACAGGGGCAAGAAAGGAGCCAGGCCGGTGGGAGTGGAGGTCTTGGAAAGGCTCCAAAGATAGCGACCGAGGCTGTAGTAATAACTCCAGACCAGGTTGCGCGTGATTGAGAAGTAGAAAAGAAATCCAACAAAAGCGATGATCGCAGCCAGCGAGGTTGACTTGGTTGCCATGCCTTTGAATTCCTTGATGAGGACATGTCTAGGCTTGGGTGCTCGTCGTGCTGGTACAGCGTCGCCACGATCCTTCTTGGGCTTCATTGCCGGCACATCAATCCTGTCGTAGTCCCTCCACAGGTGAACACCGGACTGCGCAGCTGCGAGGAGGTAGAAAGAGTAGCGCAGATAGAGCGGTCTCTCGTTCAGCCTGAACCGCTCGTGCATGCGCCCAGCCTCGATGAACGCGAGCCTGTCCTTGGGGCCCCTTGACCAGATATATGTTTCGACAAACATCATAGCGGAAAAGGCATAGGCGATCAGAGTAACGATAGTGGACAGGCGGAAGAAGTACTTTGTGAAGGTCTGGGCCTGGGTAGGCGTCTGGCGGGGGCCGACGTGCCATTGGGAAACGCGAAGAACGTAGACGGAAAGCGCGGAGAGGAATAGCAGGAGCGTTCGGATGCCTGTGAGTCCTAGTGGGAAAAATGACCACAGAGCTGTATGCGAATTAGTATCTGGGCTTATACTTCGTTGTGTTTATCATACGGTTAGCCCATTCGCCCATCCAACACGCGATCGCGTAGCAGAGCAACAAGGTGTATTTGCTCGCCCTATTGAATCTGCGGTGGAGAGCTGGTGTCAGGTAGTCTCTGTACGGGCGCACTTGAGTGCCCAGCTGTGCGAGCGCCATGGCTGCGGTGAGTCGCGGCTGGAGAGAATGTATGAGTGAGGAAACAGCTATAGCATAGCAAGAAATAAAGAAACGGCGTCGTGCCAGTGGAAAACGTGGAGGGGGGCAGCAAAAGTGGTTGCGCGCAGGGCGTTGCAGCGATACAAAGACGCCCAAGTTTCCGTCAAACAAACATGGGTCGGCGGAGCTACAAGTTGCTGCATGTTTGCTTACATAACAGCGGACCCGCCCGTGCCATGTGCGCCCTTGGCCGCGGCTCGTCGTCATCGTCGCAGGAACCGTCCGAGCGAGCAGAGCAGACCAATCCAACCCCCCAGGCACCGACAATTGCATCCCCATATCACTCGACCGCAGTAACTTTGACAGTCGCTGGGCTCTAGACACCTCTTACATCACTGTTTAACCGAGCCATCGTGTGCTCCCTTTGTTCAACACCATCATGTCATTCCAGCGCTCCAGTGCCCTCGAATCACAGCCTACAACATGGCGCCGTGAAGACGACGCAGCCTACGCTGATGACCCCGAGTTCCGCGACTTTGCCGACAAGCTCTCCGACGATCTTTTTGCCCTCACCCGCAATGTCGCCCGCCTGTCGCAAGAGACGGCCAAGCTAGGAACCAAGCACGAGACCGCCCGTGTGCGCGAGCGCGTCAAGACAACCGTCGAGGAGACATCAGACAAGTTCAAAGAGCTCGGCGAGAGCCTCAAGAAGATCACCACATGGCCAGATGTCGGGGTACGTAGATACCGGGGCCTCCCCCCTCATGCAAAAACACAAGCACCGTTTTAGCTAACCGATAAATAAACAGCCCTCGCAGAAATTCACCCAGTCAAAGCTACAGCGCGAATTCAAAGCCTCCCTCACCGAATTTCAACAACTACAGAAGCAGGCGCTGGAAAAGGAAAAGCAGTCCGCACAAGCCGCTCGCACCGCCCTGCAAGACGCAACCTCGCCAAGCGAAGAGCGGGGAGACTACGGCCAGCACCAGCTGCAGGAGCAGGAGCAGCTACGCCTCGCGAACCAGGACGAGGTCGACTTCCAGGAATCCCTCATCATCGAGCGCGAGTCCGAGATCCGCAATATCGAGCAGTCGGTCGGCGAGCTCAACGAGCTGTTTCGTGATGTCGCTCACATGGTGCATGAGCAAGGGGCCCAGCTCGATATCATCGAGGAGAATGTTGAGACGACGCACGATGCGTCGCGAGGCGCGCATATAAACCTTAAGCAGGCTAGCAACTACCAGAAGAGTGCTAGGAGCAAGGCGTGCATTTTGTTGCTTATCCTGGCCATTGTCTTGGTCATCATTATCCTTGCTGTCGTCTTGGACTAGATGACAACAACGAGCATCTGTGTAAATGGTCTTTCTTTTTTCTTTGACTCTTGTTTTCAAGGCGTTGAATGGTATACTCGGGGAGGGGATTCTGATACCATGGCGTAACGCATTGTTTGCAGATATCCTTGCCTGGAGAGGGTTGCGTATTCATGAGTCATACAGTTTAACCCACCTAATTCATGCGATGCTCTTACCGATTTCACGTCTTCTTTTTATCTATAGTCTCACAACAGGAACAAGCTCAGTATTAGCTGGGGTGGATGACATGGTGCTCAAGATCATACTATGCTCTGTATTCTCAGGCCTCTTTACCAGGCGTCAAAACTCTAACCGCTTTTGACAGGCTCGCCCTTCTCGTCAATCAGACTCTCCTCAGTCTTGACTGGCCCCTCACCAACACCGGTCAAGATAACCCGGCTGACACCTTCCTCTAGCAATGCAATAGCAGGTCCTGCCTCGGACTTGACCTTCTCAAGAGCTTCTGCGTTGGCTTGGACAGCCTGTCCCCTCTGGCCCTGCCATCCATCCTTCTCGTTGAGAATAGTCTTGAAGAGACCCGCTACCTCCTTCTCGTTCTCCTCAAGGTAGTACACAACAGCGTTTGGACCCGCGTCAAAAGTGTATGCCGCAATGATCTTGCCTGCCGCTGCGTTGATGCTCTCAACAATCTTGATAGCAGCGCGGGAAACGTCATTGAGGTAGAAGATGGGTGGGAATGTGTCGAGGCAGGTAGCGTGGAAAGAGTTGCTGTCCATCATGGTGACCTTGCCGAATGCCTCGAAGTCCTTGTTCTGGATAGCGTCCTGCATTTCCCCCATGCGCCTGGGTACTGTCTCGCTGGCTCTCGACTGGAAGAGACTCGAAGTTGCGACTGTGGTTTGCATACCAGTGGTGCTCGATACACCCTTCTTTGCTGCACTGACGACCAGAACGACGGCACGCATGTTTGGCCAGTGGCTTGCAGGTGCGACCTGGAAAGCTACGCTGTCACTGCCATCTACGGCAGAACCTTGCTCCCAGCCTACATATCCGCCGAAGAGCGATCGGCACGCCGAACCCGAGCCTTGACGAGCGATGCGGGAGAGTTCTGTGGGCGAAGCTGGAAGCTCGTATAGGTTTGCAATTGCACGGACAAGTGCTGCAAAACCAGCAGCTGAACTGGCCAGTCCAGCAGCGGTGGGGAAGTTGTTCTCGGAAACGATACGGAGGGGGAGATCGGCCAATTTGGGCAGGCTAGAGTCCTTCGCTTCGAGTTCTTTCCTCAACGCCCTCAGTTCCCTGAAGCATGCTTGGGTTCTGGCACCAGAAACATCTTGAGACTGGCCATTGAGAAGAAGGGTGTCTTCTTTCGGGTAGCTCGAGGAGCAAGAGGCCGTGGTGTGGGTGCGGAGGTCGGACTGCGCAAGGGTCACGCTAAGGGAAGAGTTGGTGGGGAGATTTAGCTTTGGGTCACGCTTTCCCCAGTACTTGATTACTGCGATGTTGACGGGGGCAGTCGTGCTGGCACGGTGGATGTCAGACATTTTGAGAATATGTATTCAAATCAGTGCCAATAGACGGGGGAATTGGGGGGAGTCGAGGCTGAGAAAGTCGGAGGACGTGGTAACGTTGTTATTTATATGCAGGGTCTAAGTAGGGTAGGGCCTAGCAAGCGGGGACCGAAGAGGCGCCAAGGGGGAGTCGGAAGAATGCCGCTTTGGGGCTGCACGATAACTGAGCTGTCCATACATAAAGGGTAATGAGAGCATGTTTACCAACCAATGCTGATCCTGGCGGACGTGGCAGAAAAGTCCATCCAACCTTGGCGTTTAATACTGAATAATAGACGCAAGAGTCTGACATGTGACCTATAGGAGGTAACCCGTCTTTTTGTAATATATCAAGATATTTTGACCAATCGTATCCAAATATGCTGAGCCTACCTTTCGTTGGAGAGGCATGCCCTTATTGTCTGAAATCCCTGCGGCGTACAACGCTAAATACAATCGCGCTCATCTTCGCTGACCGAAAAGTTGTACATGGCTGCGCAGGAACCAACGACAGGGCCAGCCAATCACAGCGAATCGACTTCCGCAGAGTCCGTGCGTAACATTTCTCCAACTATTGCCGTCACCATGCCTAACATGCTGGATTTCCATTCCACATAGCCCACCACCACCACAATGTCCTCCAAAGACGATCCCGCAGCAGCCTGTCCCGTCGATCACAAGACTCGCGAGGCATGGCTTGCTCAGGCCCGCGCCCAAAACGCCAATGTGCCACCAAATCCCCACCACACACCCATCCCCACGCCCGCCGCCCCGCCAGCAACACCCCTACGACCACAATCACAATCGGCCGTCCAGCAATCCTGTGATTCCTCGTCACTCGATCAATCCACATCCTCCCCGCCTCCAACAAGCACCGGCATCCTCTCCCAAATCCGACTCGGCACCGACCGCGAAGTCAGCACCATCCCACGCGCCCTCCCAGACACTCCCTCGCAAACCCCCGCCAACAACGAGCGCGACACAGGCGCCGACAAGACGACAGGAAATTGGATTTACCCTTCTGAGCAAATGTTCTTCGATGCCATGCGCCGCAAAGCCTACGATCCCTCCGCTCCTGACATGCGCACCATAGTCCCCATCCACAACGCCGTCAACGAGCGCGCCTGGCACGAAATAAAGCGTTGGGAAGCAGGCCGCGGCTCCGAAGCCTGCGGCGGCCCCAAACTCGCTTCTTTCTCCGGTCTCAGCACTAGTCTGACGCCCAGGGCTCGCTGGAAGAGTCTGATGGGGTACCAGCCCCCGTTTGATCGCCATGACTGGGTTGTTGATCGCTGCGGCACGAAGATTGAGTATGTGATTGATTTTTATGCGGGGAGGGATGAGGGGAAGGTGGGGAAGGCGTTGAATTTTTATCTAGATGTTAGGCCCAAGTTGAATACTTGGGAGGGGGTTAAGACGAGAGTTATGAGGTTTTGGGGTTTCTAAGGACATGTATCCAAGGGTATATATATTGAATGTGGTAGGTTTGGGGTTGGTTGGTTGTTGTTTACGAAGGGAATTCGATATGTGGTAACGAAATAACTGTACTATAGCCACTTGTACAATATCAATGAGACGATACTTATTTCTATTTTCTTTTCTTCTTACAATCTTGGGTAGTAAAAAAAAAAGAGAAGATGGAGAATTGAAAACATCCTGGTCGCAAGTCCGAGCAGCAGACCTCCATTTTGGTGACGAGAAGAAGAACATGAATCGCTGCGTCAGGAAAGAAACCACCCGCACCGCTTTATCAGCAAAACGCCCCCTGCCCTCAACCCCTATGCGCCATGCGTGTGCATCTGAAGAAGTATTTTCTTGCCCCAAACCCTCCCTATTCGAACCAAGATATTAAAGAAAAAGTCGCTCATATCAAAATCTTCAATCCAACAGCTTCAGAAAAGAATAGCATAGTCCATAGTATGCCTAGGAAAAAACGGATACAATCATAAGGTACCTTCACGCCCCGTAAACATCTATCCCCAGCTTCTTCAGCTTATTACAATTCTTCAACTCCATATTCCTCGCCTTATTCATAGCCTCCGTATCGACCGAGAACCAGCCTTGGGCTTCCTCCATAAGTTGCCTCTGCTTGTATTTCTCCGACTGACACCTTGTGTTTGTGATATGGACGTACTGCTGCTCGGCCACCTCATCGAGCTTGCGCCATTTTTTAGGAGTGTATTCGTGGACGTCCTTGGGGTTGACGTAGTAGTCGATTTTTATGCGAGAGGAGACGCGCTTGAGTGTGTTGGGCGTGCGAGGGGTTTCGAAGACGAGGTTGGGGCCTGCGGATGTGGAGGAAGAAGAGGAGAAGAAGGAGGAGAGGAGGGGAAGGACGAAGAGGAAGAGTAGGGGCAGGAGGTTCGCAAAAGCGGAGGAGAGGTTTTGTTGGCCTTCGGAGCCGGGAGGCGCGGCGGTGCCGGGGCGTCTGCGTGGGTGGCCGCCGCCAAATTGGTGGACGCGGATTCCTGGGCCGCCGCCGAGGTTGAAGACGAAGCCTGGACCGGTGTCCATGCCGCCTGCGTTACATGTTAGTTTACGGCGTCTTTTTGGAGTGTGATACCACTGCCAAGCACAGCGTCTCCGAGAGTACTGAACATACCGAAAGGCCCTCCGAAAGCGCCGCCGAAGAATTGTCTAAACAATTCCTCTGGTGTCATCTCCTCCTCAAAGCCGGCCGGTCCTCTCCTTGCAAATCCATTTCCAAACGGACTCGGGCCTCCGCCACCGCTCGCCCCCGCCGCAGCCCGCGGATCGAACCTTGCGTCGGGATCCAATCCAAACTGGTCGTACTTCTTCTTCTTATCCGGATCACTCAGCACCTGAAATGCTTTGCTGACCAACTTGAAGGCCTCGTCTGCACCGTCGTATCCATTCTTGTCCGGATGCGTAAGTAATGAGAGCTTGCGGTATGCCTTCTTAATGTCCGAGTCTGAACAGGTGGCTTTTACTTCCTCAAGCCCAAGGATCTTGTAGTAAGCGGTTGGCGCGCATTGCTTGATACGTATTACAGCGGCTTTTTGTTCTACGGTGAAGGCTCGACCGGCGCTGCCGTCATGGTGTTCCCGCGATTTGGCGTCGGAGCCAGAGGTTTTGCCTGACATGTTGGCCGGAGGGCTGTTGTTGTGTGGGGTATGCGAGTGCTTTTGTGGACGGGGGAGATTAAGCCGCCGTGTGGGCAGCGGTGTTAGTGGAAAGCCTATGCGCCAGCAATAGACGTCTGGCTGATGTGATACTAGAATTCAGCGTGTGTATCTGGGTGCGGGAAACGAGTGGTGCGGAAGCGGCGGTGCGGTGTTGTGGTTCGAGTCGTGGGTTAAAGCCGCTATCTGTTATTGAAGTTCGCGAGACCCGACGAGGCCAGTTGACCGAATCTAGGCTGGCACGGGCTGACGGCCCACTTCCTGACCTAACGTCATTGAACTTCACCAATTCCTCGACCCTGGTCTCTTTGCGCAACCATTTCTTCAAGAATCACACGCCTCTCTATACACACAATCTTTCCATTGCTGCTCCCCAGTTAAGTTGGCAGCATCTACAATGTCTCAACCACCCAAGCAGTCTGTGCTTCAATCCCTCCGCAATTGGGGAGGTACGTTTGTCATGCCTCTTTCCTGTTTCCAACACTCACGTGCTTCACTCTACGCATCGGCATTGGGATATATACGAATCAAAATGGCTGACTCTTTATAGAAAATTCTGTACCACCTACGCTATTGGCTACGCTCATCACAGCCCAACATGCTCGACCCTTCCAAGTTTTCCCTATGATGTTCCCACCAGTCTTGCTGTTCTCATCATATCTAAATCTGAGCAACTACAAGACAGACTCGGCTGGTATCACCGCCGCATGGAGTGGGCTGTACGCTTTGCTTGCTATGCGGAGGAGTCAGGTATTTTCAATTGTGCCACGGGTGGAGGGCTCACTCGCCACCCAGGCAATTCAATGCTCCCAAAGCTAACAAAAAACCAGGGTATCAGAAACAAGTTTACTGTACGGGGCGTGGTGAGAGGAGCATCATTGGCTCTTTGCGCGGTCAATGTCGTAGGCTGTGGTTTGGCGTACACATTCGGCAAGCGTGAAAAGGAGGATAAAGAGTGAACCCAAACGAGTGGTAATGAGTGTAACATACTGTATCCATTAGACCGTCATGACCTAAAAACTACACATCAGTATCGAATAAGACATGTATTATTAAGCAATCTACCCTGCAAGACGCCTTCGCTATGCTGAACAATCGACGTCGTCTACAAGACACGAAACGACTACCATGCATCACCCCATCCTTCTTCTTCCTCCTCATTCGCCTTTGGCACCTCCTTCTTGACCTCTTTCTTTGGTGCTACAACAACCTTCCGCGTTGCCGATCCTGTTGTGCTTGACCTTCCTCCAATCACAGGTCTTGATGTCTTGGCGGCTGGTGTAGTAGATTTGGCGAGACCTTTGGGTAGGGTGTTCTTGATGGGTTTCTTGGCATTCGATTGTGCTGCTAACCATCCCGCAAAGTCAGGCTCGCCCTTGTCATCAAACGCTGTTGTAGATGTTGGCTTTGATACTGCTGGTGTGCCCCATGGATCATCTTCCTCCTTCGGTTTGTCGTCTTCGTCAACAAAGCCGCCCCAATCATTGTTGAAGTCTTCTGCCTCATCATCGAAGTCGGTGGCTGGATCCGGTGACGCAATGGTGGGTATGGATGCGGTACTCTTGGCGCTGTGAAGCGTCATTCCAGGTTTGCTTGCTAGCGGAACTGGTGGTTGAGTTGTGACAGCCGGAACAGAAGAGGGCCTCTGATCAGAGGCTCCATTAGTCCCTGAGCCAGCTTGCATCTGTCCGCTTGTTGTTGCCAGCTTATTTGTGAAACTCGAGATGGCCCAGCCAGCCCACGAAGTGTCGTTGGCTGGGGTCCCCATACGCGGCGAAGATCCTCCAACAGTTGGAAGTCCTGGCGATGGCAATACAGTTTCAGGCATGGTGGCAGCAAACTTGCGGATACGTACAATATACACATCAACGGATTTTTGAGCTTGGTCGCGGACAAGTTTCTCTTTATCCACGAGCGATGGACACATGATCGGGAGAAGTTGCTTCGCACAGTCTTCCTCGCTAAAAAGATCCGCGGTCGCAGCCAATGCCAGGAGGGCTGCATTTCGTGCATGTAGGAACGGGTCGCGTAGTGCACGTGAGAAGGCGGCGGAGAGAACTTTAGCTCGACTCTGACCAGGCATTAGCATGCTATCACTCCAAGCACATCACATGAAGACCTACACTTGCGCCCAGGTTTCGCGCAATCTTGCCTAGACAAATCGTAGTGTTCGTCCGGATACCGGGTTGTTCGTCGTTTGCAGTCTTTGCCAAATAACGGAGAAGCTCGCCATTGATGATTCGGTCTGAAAGCTTAGGCACTACCGTAAGAACGGCCTTTACTGTCTGTTCTCTAACCACAGGGGCGACATCTGAGAAGCCAGTAACCTTTTGAAAGTCAGAAGAAACGCAAAGATGATCTTTACGCAACTCACCATTTGGGGAAAAATCTTGTCGCTGACGAGTTTTTGTGGGAGATGATCAATCATCAGCGGTAGGTTGTCCAGGAGGCACACACGAATGCCTCGGTCAGGGTTGGCAAACAACCGTACCACGACCGGCGTAATTTGGGCCTCATATTCTTCGTCTGACAGCTTCTGCCCTATCTGCATCACTGTACCAAATACTTTGGCACCTCCGCCCCCAAATTCCACTGACTTGAGCAGTTCGGGGAGTACCTTCATCTTGAAGAAATCAGCAGGGAAGTCGTCTGCGACGGCGTCCAGCTTCCTGGTATGAATTAGCATCCTCAGCCAAAGTGCTATCACAGGAACACCAACCCAAGCAACTCATTTCGCTCGTCCTCAGCTTTCAGACCGAGATTCTCGATATCATCCGTGACCTGGATCAGCGGTGTTTGGAAAAATCCTCCAACACGCTTTCCCTGATCCAAGAATTGACTTATGCTCATACGTGCTTTGGGGTTGGGATTAAGAAGGCGCTTGTAGGATTGGTGCATGCTTGGAGGGATGCTCTTCATTTGCCCCAGTTGGTCGCTGCTGTTGTAGTTGCCGGTGAAGACTTCGAAGATCAATATACCAAAGTTGTATGCATCCAGAGCATGCGTTGGGTTTTGCTTGACAACTTCCCACCCTCCTTTGGAAACTTCTGGCGCCATGTATCGTGCTGCATCAGGGATGAGACTGCCATAGGTGGGTATGATGGAATCATCCTCCTTCACAGAGCTCAGCGCATCAAAGCCACCCAGCTTCCACTCGCCACTTTCACTGAAGAAGATGGAGGCTGGACGGACGCAGCCGTGTATGGATGCAGCGTCGGCATTTACGAACTTGAGCGTTTTTGCGACGTTGTGCAGTCCCCATTTGGTAGTTTCCTCAGTCAGACTCCTTCTCTTTACATGCCAGCTGAGTGGGCTGAGTCGCTCTGTGGCGATGTATATGTATGTGTCGGTCTCGACGGTATCGAGAACTTTGACTACCCCTGGGTGGCGCAGGGTTCGTAACTTTCGGAGCGCATTGCGGGCGAGAGGCAGGCGAGACTTGTTTGCCGTGATGTCAAAGGAAAAGATGCTGCACTTGGAGCCGTCGTCCTAGCCCCCAGTTGTCAACAGCCGTTCGCGTGTGTGTTTGTGTGCAGATGTCTGGGCCATACTCGCTTTGTGCCATTGTGCAGCGTCCAGATGGAGTCGTTCAAGTCGACACGATCGCCAAATGTGTAGCCAAACGCTGGGCCCTTTGAAATTGCAGAGGCAACGGCAGACTTGAGAAAGTCCATGGTTACTGCGTGCGGCTAGGCGTGGCCCCCCTTGCGCTGCAAATAAAACAAAGAGCGTAAGTGTTTGTCTCCGTGACACCACGGGCAAACACATGCGCCCAAAGGCCAGATGGATGCGCGCATGCCCCACCCGCGCGCCATTGGATTGGGCGGGGGTTCTGCCCAGTCGTCACGTGATGACGCGCTGCAACCATTCATCTTTACGACAGCGATGTCCCTGGCTGCCTTTGCTTCTCTGCTCGCCTCGCGCTAGCCCACTGCCACATTCCGAGTCGCGTCTGCTTGGCCACATTCACGTCACTCCGCTTGCATTTCATTCTATTCTATCCTTCTTCCACCCATGTTGTGCCCAACTTTGCATTCGATCCAAGGCGCGCCTCATCAGACTCAGCCCTATTGCTGTAGCACAGGTAAGCTAAGCCCCACTACCAACCGACGCGTATATCACATGCGTGATGACCACTGGTAAAAGGTTAGATCGCCGAACCATTGTGACGGTTTGCCTTGTGGCTGCTTGCCTGCAGTGCAACCGAAGGAGGAGCCTCCAATGGGGCGAAGTGCTGCTTTACATAAAACTGAAAAGACCTGACGCATTCTCCACTCCCCCGTGTTCCACACCCTTCTTGCCTGGTGATAGAAAGCTAACCCGCATGCACTGTGCTAGGTTCATTCTTTCATAGTTTTCAACGCTTCAGATGAGATACGCCAACGACGAACGACGACTATCATATATTAGCACGGACAGCAACTTATCCCAACATGACCGACCCAGCGTGGGTGCTCGGGATCCTCTGTCAACCCCCAGTGCTATCCCAAGTCGAAGGCAAACTTCTCGGCTAAGTGAAATATCACCACCCCCGCTCAAGCGTAAGCGCACAGCCTGCGACGAGCCACAGGTGAGACGAGATTCCTCAAGCTTGACAAGCCTCAGTGCGCCCAAGGATAGGTATTGTGCATCAGATTGTTGTATCAAGGCTCGACTAAGTCGTCCTCATAGCTTGCATGGACTGTCTGCCTCCTCCACAGGTGCGCAAAGTAACCGTGAGCATCTTTCCAGACAGTCACAAAGTTTGCACTCTTTACAAGCAGCTCCTCGCTATTATGCGCCTAGAGAACAAAGCCGCAATGTCTCCTTGATGCAAAAAGCCCGCGGTCTGTCAAAAGCGCCGTCAAAGCCCGAGTCCTCCTTCAAACCCACTTGCCGAGTATGCGACAAGACTACAGCCACAAGCTACAACCCGATTATCGCTTGTCCAGGATGTACCAGAACATATCATGACAGTTGTCGAAGACCTTCACTGACCCAAGGCGTTGACCCGTAAGTTATCTGAGGTTTGTGCGTTGAACAAAGACTGACAACATCAGGCAACACTGGAGGTGTTCAACATGCTTAAGTGACACTAAAAACCCTGCTAAGCCCTTAGTGACTTCGAAGTCGGTCTCAGTTAGATACTCTGTAGTAAGAGAGATCTTTAAGCCGTGGAGCGCACGATTTACAACTGCAAACTCGTCTAGATTACCTGAAGAGACCACCGCTAGTGACCATGTCGATGCTCGGAATTTCCGTGCTAGTTCTCTAAGCGCAAGGAGTTTAGAAAGCTTATATAGACCTAAGGATGTCTTTGAGCCATCTCCCCAACCTGAGTCCTGTGTCCTTTCAAACAATCTAAGAACACCTATGCACCGTTTGGGTCAGCCTGACAATCTTAATTCACCATCTCAGGGGCAAAGCGTTGAGGCTCAAGTCAACCTCACAGCTATCAATTCTTCAAGACAACTAGAGATACCTGAGACCCCTGATATCGCTACTCGCCACAGCATACCACTCACAACGAGTAGCACGGATTTGGCCAAGTTCGATTTTTCAACGGCTGTAACTACTCGAGCAGATGAGATCAAAACCTCCTCTTGGTTTTATTCACATCGGCCGACGCTCGAGTCGAAGATAGAGAAAATCAATGATCATGCAACGCCTTATACGCTTCCTGCATCATCCGACAACCTAGAGCCGAGTAACTCCACGGAGTCAATCTCTGCTTCTAACGATGTAGAAAGAGGAACCGTACTTCAAGCCATCGCAACACACGGAACAAACATCATCTACAATACCTCCTTCCAGTCACCGCGCAACGGGCAGCAGTGCGAAAATGATTATCGAGAGTTACCTGGCGCATCAGAGACAACGCAAATGGGTGATCCACCAGCAATTGTACCACCTGTTTCCCACGTGGTACATGAGGCTCAGACCCACGTTTCTCGACAACCCCCTTCTACTGGTGACGCAGTCTTGTGTGAATTGCTTTCTGTGCAGCGGGAGTCGGGAAACGTGAATCTAGAGGGCTCTCCTAATGGTATAAGCCCATCCATGTCTCCCCAAATTTCCTTCTGTTCGGATCTGGATGACACATATTCACCCGTGTGTCAGAAGCGCCATACAAATCAAGAGCTAGCTAGGATAGCCCTGGTTTGTGCAGATGGAGCAAGTATGACGGCCTCGGAGATTGTTGATTGGCTAGTCCAAAAGTTCCATTACCTTCAAAAGGGGCAGGCTACGTGGGAAAAAAGTCTCAAGGCGGTTCTTTCACGCAAAGAGTTTCGTAGCGACAAGGCGAGTGGGTTGCATGGGGCCCGTCTGGCGTATAGCTTTGCCAACGCAGCTTGTAAAGCTCGATACGAAGAGGAATATCGAGACTATATCATTCAATACTCGCAAGAACATGATCAAAAACATACTGCCGGGCCTGTTGACGTGGTCAAAAATAACCAGGGAAATGTATCCAACAGTGCAGCATGTCCTCGGTCTTCTGCAATCACATCGACAATACCGGATTCCAGCTTCATTCCATCACCAGCTACCACCGCTTCCAACGGTGACTTACCGCCCGGCCTTTTCAAGTTATCCGACTCATCCAATCTAAATGATATTGCTGAGTATGCTTCTGGAATCAAGCGCGAGACAAGTTTTCATCACGTCTACCCTCGTAACACTCAGCCTCCAATCGAGATGATGACTGCTGAGGAAAAGACCATGAAAGTGGCAGAGATCCAGGCAAGACCTTCTCGCAAGGCGTTGTTCGATTCAAACCAACGCCTAGCGCACGTTCGAAGGTACAGGCGGCTGGACATTCATGATGAAAGCGATGGAGCATGGAAGACTCAATCTTCGGAAGCAGAGGGGTACCCCGCAAAAAATGAAGCCGTCACAAGGGACCGTGATGAACCCCGGTCGCTACGTGAAGTCTTCAATCTCCCGGTCCATGCGGTGCCAATGAACGATGGGGTCGAGTTGGCTTTCCGGGATGGAACTTTAGTGAGTCAGCCAAAGCGTGACGCTTGTAGATCGATATGTTAATGAGCTAAACAGGTCAACGGTCAACTGCCACGACCACGCCATGTATACAGGGTGGGGAAGAGACTTGGAGCCGGACTTACCGTCAATTGATTTATCACATACACCAATGTCGGCCTCAGCAGAGGTTCTGGACTTTCTGTCTTGGCTCAGTTTACAACATTATACCCGATTGATCTCCAATCAAGTGATTCATCTTGAAGTAACAAAAACAAAAACAACAAGCTGCACAACATGTTGGTGGTGACGTGCACAACGTGTCGACTATTGAAACTATTGCCGAACTAAAAATGTCGGCTGAGAAGTGGACATGTGGGCTGGTTCGTGATTTAAAGTTGGGTGGTGATGACAGGCCCTGGCGTGGCGCCATAACCCTACGCCTCCACCACAAGCGCTTCCACACAAGATGCTCCCAGACTGTGCGGGCAGCGGGTCCCACCTCCAAACAACGCCTCGCATTGGTGACACGGCAGTGCTAACGAGATAAGGTCTGCCCATATCTTGCCGCCCGCAGATCGTGAGGCTCACGGCGTGCAGATGTTTCTAAACCTGAAACCACATCCCTGTGGCTACGCGATGTGGTTTTAAGGCCCCAAAGCCAATCAATACGCGACTGCCGCACGTCGACCAGACCATGCCTAATCGTCTGGATGCTAGAACCCCACAGCAACCCTGTACAGTTGCCGACGCGACAATTTCGCTGCCAGCCTTGCCAGCTCGGAATTGGATGACTGGGTCGTTGTTGTTCTGCTGTTCCCGCCGGGGCTAGCGGGGAGCGTTTCACATCGGCCGGCAGCACAAGCGCAGTAATAGTCCTTGGGCTCATTTGAGCCACTCAAGCCTAAAGCACTCGAGCGTGAAGCCGTGCGAGCATCCAACGCCATACGCCCCCGCCTGTGCTATTGTAAGGTTCACGAGAACGGCCAGGCCAGGGCTAGCGGGTCAGTTTTGTCCTGAGGTTCCCTCCTTCACCTTGGGTTCTTTTCTCGCCTTTCACTCTTCATCTTTTCGGTCTCTATTGTTTGCCATTGTTGCTACTGTTAGAGGCCTGTTGCCTTGACGGCGTGGGAAATTCCCCCTCTAATTCACCTTCAACCTTGCCCTCTTTAAAACCAACACCCACTCTTTATCTATCTATCTTCCAACCTTTGTCGCTAGACGCGCTTTTCCCCTCTGACTCAACCAACTGCTGGACAGATCCAATTGCTCCACAGCACCAACTTGAATCTTCCACCACCCACTACTCTTTCTCTATACATACACAAACGAAATGGCGCTTCTCTCAGCAGAACACCTGGCTGGGCCGGGCTACATCATTCTCAACGTCCTTCGTGGACTCAACATTATTGCTCTGGCTTCAGTCGTTGCCAGCAGTGTTGTCATGCTTGTCAAGACTTTTATCATTTCCAAGGTACGTGACAGTGGTTTGATTTCAACAATTGTAAATAACTGACTCTCTTCAGTTCTTCTTCTTCGATGCCACGAGCCATGTCATTACCGCTTTTGCCGGGCTTTTCTTCATCGTATCAGAATGCTCGCTCTTCCGCAGTTTCTTCGCCCGCAACTGGCCTCTTCTGAGCCCCTCTCACGGCTTCGTCACCCTAGGCTGTGCCATGATGATCATCGGCATGAACCTCCTCGGCAACATGAACAAGGAGGCCACAAGCCAAAAGTCACTCACCATGCCCTTCTGGCGCCTTCTCGTCGCCTCGGGCGTCCTCTCCTTCGTCATCGGCCTCTTCAACATAATCGCCAGCTTCATCTTCCGCGATAGATCCCGCAACATCACCGCCCGCATGGTCCGCTCCCGCGGCGCCATGACGCTCCACGAAGACCTCGAAACCCAATCCCAATGGACCGGCTCAAACTACGAGTCCAAACTCAAACCCTTCACCCTCTCTTCCCACCAAACCGGCAGCACCTCGTCCCGCACCCCTCCCATGCGCATGCCCACTCCCCCCGTGGACTGCGGCTCGCCCCCACAACCCCAAACCAAAGACACCGACGCCCACCACCTCTCCCAATTCGACTTCAACCCCCTCCGCGCCCTCCGCACAGCCCGCCAATCCTTCCTTCCTTCCTACCACTCCCAGTCCTCCCCCGCCAAACTCAACGTCTTCTCCAACCGCCCAGCCTCCTCAATCTACTCGCGCACCACCTCTGGCGAACCCTCCCGCAAGCGCTTCTGGCAGCGGCAGCGCGAAGAGCAGGAACAGGAAACTGCCCGCATGCCTGAGATTAGCTATCCGCTTAATGTCAACCCGCAGTTTGCGCACCTCGTTAAGCCGAATCTTGCCCATCACCCTAGTGTCAGGCGCCCGGAGTTTGATTTTGATAGTAATAAGATTTGAGAAATGTCTCTTCTATCGTGTGTCGACGTTGATGAGGGGGGTGAGGTGAAGGGGGGGGAGAGAGTAAGTCAAGTGTGAGGGTTGTGGTGGAGGATGGGTGGCGGAAATCATGATACCACTTTCTTTTGTTTCTTTGTTTCTTTGTTTCTTGTACTGATTTGCATGACACAAAATGCATTACTGCTACAGATTTAGATATACTAGCAGCGGGCGTTTCTACTTTTCGGCGGTACAAATCCTGTCTCTCTCTTTCTCTCTCTGTCTCTCTTTTTTAAACATGGAAAAGAATGATTTTTTACTACGAGATTGTCAGGATGAGAGCTCCGGGGAGGTTTTATCATGTTAGATGATGGATGGCCCTGTTGAGCATACTGGTTTTCACCTTCTTCGATGAAAGGGAAATATGGACTACGATCATTTCACTGGTTGTTTATTCTTTGACTGCTTCTCTACCCTCGTTTAGGATAGCTGTTTTCTAATATACACGTGGTTATATAGATTGGAATGTCCAGTATTGTCCATGATGCAATTGCTATCAATGCGAAGTTTGTCGCTGTCGCTACATGACGCGGTGCATATATCTATATGTACATGTGTTATACAGTAAATCGGACGATTTATATTGGATTGACGGTTTTTCCACGTCAATGAACATTGTTCGAAGTCCTCGGCCCATTGGCACAGCACCGTGCGTTGCTGAAACCCTCCCACCCTCGTACTTTCATACATGGATCCTCCGATCGTTCCAGATACGCTCTTCCGCCCCTCTTTTAACCAATTTCTACCCCTCACTCCTCCACCGCAATCTCCTGGAACGGATCGATCGCATTGCCCTGCGGATCATACAACTCGAACCTCGTGCCATCCTCCAGTGTCAAACTATACTCTTGCGTATAATATAACCCACCTCTTCCCTTTCGCCTGCACTTCAGGCGCACCTCGCCCGCCTGCTTCGTTCCCTTGACCCAGAAGCTTACATTAATGCGGCCATGGACCTGATTGATCTCGCCCTTGATCCATGGGTACTTTGACGCAAAATATATTTCGTCGCCAAGCTGCTCGCGCACGAGCGGGTTGGTGCGCAGCGCGTAGAGGGTTGCGGTCACGACGGAGGATTCTTGCTTCTGGTAGTTGAAGAAGGCAAAGAGGGAGACGGTCATTGCGATGATGAAGATTGGGAGGGTGCGCAGGACTTGCGGGGGTATTAGAGGTGGGACACTAATTAGCAATGTTGTTAGCATTCTAGCTCAAGCTTGCTCGTTTTTTTTATGAGTTGTGAATCTTTCCCGACAGGTATGAAGACAAGGATTTGGGGTTCGACGTACGGTGGCAGGGCGCGATTTGGCCGTCGCTCAAGCAATATCTCGCCATCTTTAGGCGGGGGAATGAGGTTCTCGGGTGTCCAGACGCTCGTTGGGGTTTTCCAAGGGACGACAGGCTTAACGTCGTTTTGCTGTGGTGGTGTGGTGGACGCATGGCGGAGGGGCGCTATGCGACGGAGACATTGGTATCGTGCCTGAGGCCGCGCTCGCAACAAAGCTGGAGAGAGCCGTGGCGGTGGCATGGTGTGAGTTAATGTTGTGGTGGGGGCGCAATTGCACGGATGGAGGGTTGCGTGTATGAGATCAGTCGATGCTAGTTGTGATGTTTGCATGGTTTGCATGCCCGCGCTAGTACACCTGGTTGGCGATGGGACGGAGTTAAGCCGGGTAAACCCTGTCTTCGACTCTATCATATGTTAGGTGGATGTCTCTCCTATACTTTATCATGGAGTAATTTAGGTTCTATGCAGTTATCGTAGCTGTTCTCATTCGTAATTGACTAATACATGCATATTATTTCTTTTCTTATTCTGCTCATTTCTCGAACGTTGAATATACATGCGATCGAAGACGTCGCAAGGTTGTGGATTTTGGATTACACATCTGAATAGTCATGTTCATCATGGTTCGTGCAAATAGGTTTGCGTCGTCCTTCACCAATCATCATACACTTTTGCAGCGGTCTCTTCAATTATGCAGTGGCTTGGGCAATATTTTAAAGTTTGAACAGTTTATTCAATGCTAAACGCTCAAAATATTGGGTATCTGTCCTCGTATCGTACAATCGTTACAACGCTATTAATACATAAAAGAAATCATGCCACTAAGTCGGCCGGAGTGTCTAGTAGACGCGGCGGGCATTGCGGCCATCAGTTCCATGCATGCGGCGAGTGCCAGCAGCCTAAGAAATGGTTAGAAAAGTTCATGTTGTCGTGAATTGTTTCCTGCTTACCTTGAGACCAGGCCTACGAGTTAGAGAACCCCTAAGCTTCATCATCATACCGCTGACCTTGTCACCCATGGTGGCATGGCGCTTGTGGTGGTGAACTGGGGCGGCGTGACCGTGGTGACCACCGGTAGTGCGGGTGGTCCTGGTAGTGGTAGTGGTAGTGGTGGTACCAGCGGGAGCACGCTTCGTGTGCGTGCGTGTCTTGCGGCCTCCCATCAGGCGGGTCTTGAGAGATGGACGCGCAGTAGTGCGAGTGGTACGGGGAGCAGAGCGGCGTGCAAGAGGCATGGTTGTTGAGTTTGTTTGTGGTAATTGATAGAGTAAAGTAGTTTGATGGTGATAGTTGAAGCTGTTGGCTGCAGGTATTGATTGTTCAAGTTGTTGTGAGATGTATTGTGAAGATGGAGATAGGAAACACGCAACAATGGCTCATCTTATATCATTCTGCTGCTCCTCAGCTGGTGATCTGCCCATCTATCTCAAGGCCTCTAGACCCTTGGTTGAAGCGTCCCCAAGACCCTGAAATCAAGGACTCCAAGGTGCAGCCGCCCAGATGGAGTTGTGATCGTCCCCATCTCACGTCATGCAGGGTCCCGTCAGGCCGACTTGGGTGTTGGCACCCCTGGCACGCACGTTGGTGGCTCGTGGCGCATGACGTTTCTTCTGTGGTAGTTTATCGTGGCATCGGATCCAGGCGTGCGGCTGATTGGGCTGGAGAGCGGGTGATGATGGCGGTTGGTGTCTGGGGGTCAGAGATCGCGACGTGGGCTGTGGCTGGATGCGGTCATAGCGGGTTGTGCTCGCTGGACCCTGATTAAAAGTGGGGCTATGCGACTACGTCATAAGCTTCTTGGAATAGCCTCCTAAGCGTCATTGCGGGCTGGCGAGGAGGGGTTTTGCTGTTGATCGCGATAGAATGGGAAATTGAGTGTTGTAGAGTTTCGCAATTCAAAGTCTGGACCCCAACGAGAGGCATCGTTATCGTTGGCTGTGCAGGAGTGATGACGTAGCGATGCGCGCCAGTGGGGTTGCTTGAAATCACAGCCCTCTGCAACCATGTCCCACGTTTATGGCTTTACTTGTTACTGATGTTTGAAGCTAGGAGCCGTTGATTTCCAAAAGAATATATATCTGTACACACATGCGCGCTGATCACGTGGCTGCACAGAAACAATGTCAAGCCGCGGGTAGGGCTGAAAACGTTCCCACCAGTTCGCACAGCCTGTGATACACCATCGGTCGATGCCCTTCTATCGTCGATGGAAAGGTCCTGGTACAGCGTCCCTGACGCTTCCGGAGCACTGCTCCACCTTTGCTCATGAACGCGCAGTGACCGCCTTGTGATGTCACGGTAAATTCCCAGCATCAATAAAAGTCTCTCGCTGAGCGTGAACCACCACTGGACTAACAATCTCTGCTTCAAAAAACTGCTAATAGAATCCATTTACTTTTCATCTGATTCCTGAGTACAAGCATTGAAAAGATACCATGTCTTCCGACAAAGGACAGTTCGAGCAGGGTAAGCACAGATGATCCTCAACTACTGATCACCATTAACAATGCACCCCAGGCTTCCAGCCTGATGTCCAGCACCAGCAGGTGCCTGGCCTACAGTCCAAGCTTGACCCCACGCCCAAAGTGGATGAGCTTCCCACACCTGAAGGCGGCGCCGAAAAGTACAAAGCTGCCGGCAAGCTAAAGGGCAAGAAGGCCATCATCACCGGCGGTGACTCGGGCATTGGCCGCTCAATAGCAGTCTTGTTTGCTATGGAGGGTGCCGACAGCTTCATTGCCTACCTGCCCGAGGAAGAAAAGGACGCCCAAGAGACCAAGAAGATGGTTGAAGAGAAGGGCCAAAAATGCTATACTCTCGCCATCGATCTCAAGCCAAAGGAAAACTGCAAGAAGGTCATTGACGAGGCTGTCAAGGCTATGGGCGGCATTGATATCCTTGTTAACAACCACGCTTACCAGATGATGGTCAACGATATCAGCGACCTCTCCGAGTTAGTAGAGAACCTGCTTGTGAATATATTCGATGCTAATAATGTACAGGGATCAATGGCTCCACACCTTCAACACCAACATCCACCCATTCTTCTTCCTCTCCAAGTACGCCCTGCCACACATGAAGCGCGGCGCTACCATCATCAACAACGCCTCAATCAACGCATACATCGGCCGCCCAGACCTCCTCGACTACACCTCTACCAAGGGCGCCATCATCTCTTTCACCCGTGGTCTGTCAAACCAGTACGTCGGAAAGGGTGTTCGCGTCAACGCTGTTGCCCCCGGCCCTGTCTGGACCCCACTCATCCCAGCGACTATGAACGATGAGGCTATCAAGCAGTTCACCGCGCCAATCGGCAGGCCGTCGCAGCCTAGTGAGATTGCTACTTGCTTTGTCTTCTTGGCCAGCAACGACAGCAGCTCCATCAGCGGTCAGACTATCCACGCCAACGGCGGCACCATTGTCAATGGTTAAGCCGTGCGCTGGTTCCCACGACACCCGCGATTTTGATTTCAGAACAAGATGCATGTTACGAAGTTATGAGTAAATTACCATAGTTCATTGAATGAGAATTTAATCCACTTCAACCTTTTTTTTTGACCGCGTGCTGTGACATCTCACCGCACGTGTTTATTTCCCCGTCCCAGCGTTCTGGGTACTCGAGATGCAAATCTCACTCCTTAATAGTGACATGTCGTTTCAACCACCGACGCAACGAAAAATGTCACCCACCCCGAGCACCTGACATTGGTACTTGGACAATCTAAATTCCAAAACACGCTAATGCAGCATCATAAACCCCCATATCGAGATAAAAAAAAAATTCATTCCATCGCGTTTTTCTAGATGCAAGGCTTGCTTCTCAAACACGCTGATGCAATATCAGATGGATAGTTTAAAAAAGCAAGAATTCTGCACTAAGAATGCCCCGCAGTTCCCTCCTTGGACGGCGTAGGTCCTTCCTTCATCTTCTTCATGATATTACTCAACTTGGCCCTGCCATGTCCACTTCTGCCTTCAATCTGGGAGCCGGATACCGGCGGCCCCGTATACGGAGTCTTGGCCTCGGCTGGCTGAGGCGTATGAGGTGCTGCGTCTCCACTTGCAGAAGCTTGTTGTTGCTGGTGTTGGTATTGTTGCGCCTGACTTGCATACTGCCTCGCGCGCGCAGCTTCGATTTCTGAGCGCCCTTTTTCGATGACGGCTTGGTTTTTTGCGTGGGCGGTGGGATTGCGGCGGTCGAACGTGTCGTTGAATGTACCTCGGAGGGTTTCTCCTGCGCCCTGGGTATATTACTTAGTTTTTGCTTATTTTCGAAGAAAAGGCTGGGGTGGAAGAGAGAACATACATGGATGCCGGCGGCTGCAGCTTTGAGATTGGCCATTGTGCTTTGCTTGGGTAGTTCGTGGCCTGATCGGTAGGGTACCGGGCGGTTCGCGTCGTTTGAGTCCAGGCCAGGGTGGAAGTCAGGTAGTTGCTGGGTTGGGACGAATGGTGGCATCATAGCATGTTGGTGCTCTGGCATTGGTGGTACGGGCGGTATGTTATTTCCGAGAGACTGCCGAGGAGTACCTTGAGGTGGTGCCCGAGCTGGGTAAGAGAAATTTGCGCGTGAAGGACTGCTTGGAGAGACTGGGCTAGCAGTTTCGTCCATGGGATCTGGGCGTTGTACCCCTGGTGAGACTGAGTCCAGCTCCACCCTATGCCGTATGTTGTTTTTCGCTGGGATTGGCGGAGACGAGTCTCTACCGATTTGAGAAACTTGAGGAGAGAGTCTATTTCCTTGCGGAGTGCCGTTTTCGGGTATCGGGGGAGTCAGGTCATGGTGTATGCCAGATTGAGCAGACAGACCTGGGCCTTGGGGGTGGTGATTATCAGGTTGAGGCGGAGCTGGTTGTGGTGGACTAGGACCGGAGGTGTGTACACTTTGTGGGCCCCCGTTACTGCCGTCATGAGGTTGCATTACTGTGGTAGAACCTCCTGGGCCAGTCGTTGTGGTGGTCGTAGTCGTCGTGGTAGTTGTCACTGTGACTATGTTCCCCGTACCAGCCTGGCGGTATGTCTCTCTAGCTACATCCTCGTGGCTTGAACGATGCTGGATCGTTTGCGGAGGTGGCGCAAGACTATCTTGTATATGTCCATTGGGCGACGGGGTATGCGGTAGAGGTGCTTGATTGTTCGATGATTGGCGCTGAAATTGCTCGCCAGAAATCGGACGCGTTTGGTTTACTAGGCTTGGGTCGGCGCTGCTGCGTTCGCTGCTGTAGTAAGCAGAGTCGATATCTTTACGAGACTTTTCCTTTTCCGCATCCTTTGGAGGTTGGCTGATGCTTTCTTTTGATGTCTTATCCTTGGATGAGAATGGATTGGACATGCGCCATTTTGACCGCTTTTCTTTTTCAGCGGGCGTCATGTTTGCGAAGCTGGAAATAGGTTGCGATGAATTGGCTGTTGGTTGGCCACTCAAGCCGCCGGTCATCTGCTCAAGTTCCTGTCGTTCTCGACTCTTGCGTTTTTGAAGTTTGGCAGGTTGCCGAAAACCGTCGTCCATAGCAGGTAAAATTCAAAGTTTAATCGGCGATCCGATGACGAGGAGCAGATTGAGGTGTTGGGTTATTCAGGATCGCGAATAGTTCAGTGAGGATGATAATTGTATCAGCAAGTTTTGTGAAGAGTTCAGAATCTATGTGAATACAATCAAAGCCGCGACAACTCCCACAGCGGGGAAGCTCCTCTAACGAGAACAACAACCAAGCAGGTCCTCTACGCGCTGGACCCCATGATATCATGTCGTGGTTCTGTGGCGCTGAACAGCTGTGGCGTCCAATCAGCGTGAGATGTTACATGGCGATCAGAGGAAAGACGGCTGACGGACAGGGATGGTATTGCTCAATGATGACGGAGGAACGTCTGCTAGTGACAGTGCAGGTTTTCGGAATGCGCCATGTTTCCTTGAGGAAAGGCGCAGCCAGTCTACCCGTGACTACCCACTGCAAGACTTGAGCATCCTAAATGTTTCATACGTGCTTTGTTTTTTTTGGGGAGTTGAATTACATGTATCATAAGGTGAATGAACACGCTAAGGGACTGTAGGATAAACTCGTAGTAGGTAACGGAAACGCGCCAGTCACGGGATCAGCGCCCACCCCACTACGCCCTAAACGATCAGGCAGCCACATGTGATGGACACAGCTGAACTGATTTGTTTTCCACTCAACAAAACAACATTTCAAATCATATTTCATGAGTGCAGTTGTGTGTGAAAGAATAAGTAAATCGGGTTTTTGTGTGGAGAATCATGGCTGAAGCGATTGGTCTTGTCGCAAGTGTCTTGCAATTGGCAGGGACAGGTTTGAAACTTTCACAGGCTTTGTATCAGTATGCCGACAGTGTGGCGACGGCTGACCGTAGGATCAAAGATGTAGCGAAAGAGATCAAGCTTACCAGCTTCGTCATTGAGGAATTAGGCGGAATTTTTAAGCAAGACGATACCTTGAGCCTAATTTCGAAGAGTGCTATTGCGACAGCAAACGAGACTCTGGACGAATGTTCTACAATGTTCGGAGAAATTGAAGTGACTTTGAATAAGAGCAAAAAGGGAAAGATGGGCCGACTTTTACTGCCATTCCGGGAGCCCAAGATTGAGCTGCTGCGAAGTCACATCGACAAACTCAAGAGCACACTGCAACTTCTAATGCAGGTGCTTATGCATGCATTTCAGGTAGCTTCAAAAAAGCTTGACCGCGAAGCTGAGGCAAAACAACGAGACGAGATTCGACAGCTGCTGGAAAACAAAAAGAACACTACCAAGAGATATGAGGAGTCATTGCAAAGATTCAAGACAAGTGATAGCAACACTGAATTTGAGGATGACGAGGTCTTTTTTGATGACAATGGATCCGTTTCGACTCTGGTCGCCAAATCGATCGGCTCTACGATGACTCCTGATTCTCTTGCAGAATGCGCTCAGCATGTCCGGACACTCTTGGAAAGCATCGAACGACTGCAACAAGCTCTGGCTAGTACATCTGAAGGAGATGACCAATCCGACGATCATCAGATGGTTATTGGATCTTACTTTGCCGCTCGCTCCCATCTCGACAGCGTCCTGCTTGGTAGCTCGAACACGGGGAATAAAAACGTGATGCTGAAAACGGAACAGCTTCTCAATGTAGAGGCTGTATACCGAACATCCAAACCCAAAATTTCCGTATTGGAAACAGAGAAGAAAGAACCCACTGCTGTCATTGCGATAGGCGCGGGTGAGGTAGTTGTGGAGCGGGCAAAAACACCAGTACGACTGCAAGGAACAAAGAAGCCGGAAGAGGACATAACCTACGTGCAAAGACCAAAGAGTCAAGGTCATGTGTTTGAAAAGATATCTATTTCCGATAGGGCTAAAACAAATCTTGGGCAACGGTATGATGAACACTCTTATGCTGTATCCGGCGAAGCCATCCAATACTCATGCCGGCCAAGCTATGGGAGGCAGAGCCAGGCTTTTGGTTTTGGAGGATCTTCTGGTTATTCCTATAACTATGCCACGATACAGGGAACCCCAGAGCAGGTAGAAATATGTGTGCCTGTATCTCGCTCGTCAGTATATGCGCCAGCTCTTTCTCTACCAGCACAAGCGCCAGGACGCCCCCCGTTACCCTTTGCACTTGCATCTGCGCCTTTACCTGAACCTGCGCCTACGCCTGTATTCGACTTTGAGCCACGAGATCATGGTAAGTGGTGTACTCCGTTTTCTGAAACCTAAAATTGACGCACTACAGAGCTCGACATTCGGATGGAAGATATGGGTCATATGGACGCCGAGATAGCGAGCTCGCTATCGGGAACAACGTCTCGAGGAAATGATGAGGTAGACGATTTACTCAAAGAATGGACTACCTGTTTTTAGTATTAAAGAGAGAAAAAAGACCACAGAAACATTTCCAAACTTGAGAATATCTCGTCCATTTCGCAGATCTAACTAGGCTAGTACCAAAACACCCTCTCTACGCAATAACCAACCCCCAATCTTCCCGTTTACAAATCAAAAACACCTTCCTTCCCTCCCCACATATAGCAACCCAGGAAAAAAAAGCCCACTGCCCTACCCCTCTCGACCCTCCATCCTTCCTACATCTCCCGATACACACACCCATACTTTTAATTCCGCCCCTCCGATATCGAATGTCGGAAACCATGCGCCCGCCCTCTTTCCCCACCACTTTCGCGCTAGCAGCTTAGTCCGAATAAAAACCCCCACCAACCGAGTCGGAGGTCTAGCCAAAATGTCGCCGCCGCCGCCGCCGCCCTCCCCCCACGGCAATAGCATCCGGCGGCGAAACCCAGATTTCCGATGCTTTTCCGGGACCGAGAAGGAACATGGATGCGGATGTATGGTATGGCGAACAGTATTCGATAGCCCAAGTAGTTCTATACGTGAAGATGGAGGAAACGCGCAAGATGAATGACAGGCGGGTATAGTAATGGACTCTGTGTGTGTGTGCTACTTTGCGAACCTTGCTCGAAAACAATCCTTCGCGAACGACGCAAAAAACGGCTCGTGTATATACTTACTACCCCCCAAACCATTCGCATGCAAAAAAACGTTTTTGCACATATCCTCATAACACACACACACACACACACATACATACATACATACAAATCACACCCTTTTCTTCTTCTTCTTCTTCTCGCGTTCTAGTAATATCACACATTGTATGTACGTGTGCGAGCGTTTTACATTCACATGCGCAGCTAGAACTAATACTACGAAGCGTTACACACAACAAGCCCATCCCAACCTCCCCCCACCCTTCCCAAACCAACCACCCAAACCACCCCCTGACCGTTCCTTTTGCGTTATGAGAATTTTTCTCTTCTCTT